CTATGACGTTTTGAACCTTAAAAAAGCGAGTACATCAGAAAAGTATTTTTGATCAGCACCGCTATTTAGCTTCTTTTGACGCTTTTGTTAATCCGATTAAAAGCCTCCTCGGATATATATAAGCTTCATCACCAACTCGGTCCCCCTAAAACTCCTTACGAAGTTGTTTTAGCCCAGGGCTTAATTGTACGCGGCTCCCAACACTATTAAGTGCGAATCGGCAGGTGTTTGTTAGTGTTGATTGGGTGGACGTTAATGCAGATTAAATCTGGAACATAAATACTTTGGCCTAAGGGGCTACAACTTGAAGTGAACTATCCAGAAACCGGTCCTTTGACATTTTTTTGACATCCGAAATGCTGTGAAGCCGGCTCATCAAAAATGCTTTTGCTACTGCTAATCGTTTTTTCCGTGACCACTGTATACCGCACAAGCCGTATTTCAGCGCCCGGTTTTCAAGCTGTTAACTTTGCTCAGACAAAAGAAAGACGAAAATTGAACGGAAGCGTGATAAAGCAAGTTGATGTGATGTCAGAGGATGAGTGTAGTCTTCCATGCGTCAGGAATCAACGTTGTGTTTCTTACAACTTTGAGAGAACAAAGAACGAATCAGGGACATTCATGTGTGAGCTGAGCAATAGACCTTTTTACCGATACAGCGGCCATATTGAATTAATTCGATTTAATTAACAATTAACGAATGAGGCTGAGTATCTTATGAAGAATTATGGAGATCGAGGAGGGTGTTATCCGTCGAGGCCGTAGGCCGAGGCGGATAACACCCTCCGAGATCTCCATAATTCTTCGTAAGATACGAAAGCCGAATGCAATAATTGTTTTATTATTCATTCAAAATAATTCCTAGTTTAAAAACAAAGCTAAAACATACTTACCTCCATCGATGTTAAGTTCACCTTCGATAGTGCACATTTAGGGTTGTTTAACTCCGCTAATATTCTCCAAATAGCAGATGTCGCCCTTCGAGTTGTGTTCTTGCTGGTCTTGCCTTATTTTTAGCTATAATTTCGCCTAGTTCTTACTCTTGAAACGAGTGAAATGTCCGCCATTTTTTGTTTTCACAACCAAAACAATTCAGCCTCGTCCCCAGGTCTTATCGGTTAACGGTCCATTATCCTGCAAGAACGCTGCATTTTTGACGTCATTTCCTCGTTAACCACAAAATTCTTCCAAATTTGGTCATCAGTAACTGGTTATGGTAAATTATGCTTGTGCTTTTAACCAATCAGAATAGGGGAACTATTTTGAATGAATAATAAGGAGTATTATAGAATGCCCAGGGGGCATGAGCACATTTCGATTGTATTTTCAGGCGCTTTTCGGGACATTTTTTCTTAAAGTTTTCTTAGAATAAGATTGTAATGGGAAAAAAAAAATCGTTGTGCCGTGTTTGGATGTAATAATGATCGTCTTTTTCTAGTTTAGTATTAGAAATATGGTCTTTCACTGTATATTTCACGGGAAAATTTATTCCAAAAGTTTCACATTGAGACCTGAATTTCAGTCAAAATATTTTGGAATAGGGCGTTCACCGTTCGAATTGGAGCTTTTTTTCTCTTCACAATGACGAAATAACCATCCTTTAAATGCCTTGATCACCTAAATATTTTACCAAGATCAAACCCAAAATAAAAGCAAATACCGTTTTTGTTATCAACATACATGTACTAACGGTTGGCTGTCATAATATAAAGCATTGCATTCAAAGGTACGTTTTTAGCATGAGAAGGCGATACAAGCTGGAATCAAGTGAAATTAAGCAATTCGTAGAACCGCCCGCTTGAGGGGTATACATCCCCTGAAGGCCTTCGTCTCCAGAATGTTAAGAAAACATTAAATGACATCAATTAAACAAACCTAAAAGCAGAGCTCCAAAAGGAAAATAAGTAAGATTATGGAAACACAGTCATGGCAATTCTTAAGCCGAAACTGGAGGGGAGAGCCTCATAAACTATTAAACAAATCATTACCCATTTAAAAAAAAAAGCCCTTAATGTTAACGCGTCAGACATTACCAGAAAATCGAACTGTGAATCAATGCAAACCGATGAATTTTATCACATTTTCGACACCCACTGACCAATCTTAATCTAGCATAATTATCTTTTACGAGTAATTTCAATTACACCTGCGTATCTAAAGGTGCCTTAGACAACCCAGCACGAGACTAAAATTTGAAAACAATGCGTCGAGAACATTTGTCCCTACTTTTGAAATGATGTTGTTCACTAGAGGAAAAGTTAAAAGCAATTCACAATATCGGATTCCTTGCTGTTTCAAAAATCCATGCACGAATAATAGGAAGAATGGCGCCTTGTCATTCTCTGGGCAGGCAACTAGTTTTGAAGGGGACAGCAATGTTCCGGTCAAGGCTTGAAGGAACAGTTTTTCATTGTTTTGAGCATTTTCGATCTAAAATTAAAATTTAAAAATGCCGATCCCCTTAAAAGTCAAAATTTGTTTAAATGTAGAATTCCCATCAATTTGTCACCAATTAAACTTAACAGGGATTTCCTATGAGATATTAGGCCTTAATTTTTTGGCTTCATCGACATTGACATTTTTAGTCAAATTAATTCATCTAAGACATTTTCATCCTCAAAACAGAGTATCTGCGAGTCAAGCATTAATAATCCTTGTGGAAACAAAGGAATTTGTATCCCAGACTACTTCAGGAGCAGTTTTGAATGCAAATGCTACACTGGATATGGAGGAACGCCTTGCAGTAAGTAATGGGCCATTTTCTATATACTAAAACTCAGCATGATAACTAGCTTAGAGGACACAAACAATGAAGCTGAATAAACAGGATTAGTAAAACCCAACTAGTGGTCTATTATTAATGCTGCGTTCTGATTGGTTGAGCTACTACTAGGCTATATGTTATAGCCCACTAGTAGCGAAAAGCGCGGGCTTTTTGGCGGCAAAAAAGGATTAAAGTCTAGCTTTAACTAGCTAAAAGTTTTTTATTCTCGATATTTTTGACCAACTAGTTGGATTTTACTAAAACAATTATTCCTCTCGTCCTCATGGGCTATTGACTCAGAGCCCATTCGGGCTCGAGGAATAATTGTTAAATAGACACGGTTCATTCATTTTGTTTGTTAGTGTCCTCTAAGACTCACTATTACTGAGGAATTTTGATATATCGTTTAAGTGGCCTTCTCAAACGGAAGGGAAAAGACAGCAATTGGTGTGGATAAAACATTCCTGTATCTAGCTGTAAGTTGTAACTGTTTACCAGTAGGATGCCTACACACAATATACAATGTTTCATTTCCACAATTGGTTTGGTTCCATTAAGTCTGATAAGAATTGGAAAACATTTTAGGAGGAGTCAGACACGCGGGACACGCGGAAAGTTACTAACAAGGAGAAGGAGTAAGGAAAAAAATTCCAACGCCTGAGAGGCAGTGCGTTGAATAATGAACACATTTAAATAATAACAAAAAAAAAAACAAGTAAATAACTAGTAAATGATTTTTTAAAAATACCTACTCCTTGGATTGATGGTTCTGTCAAAGACATACCAAACGAGAAAAGCTCGAGCCTTGGGGGCGTAGCTTATTACCCTTTCGTAAACGGCACTTAACCACCTTTAACGGTCGATCCAACCATTACTAACCAAGCCTTAGTCATGATAGATGTAATACATTCCCTGGATTAATTTACAAAAGGCAAATAATACGTCTTCGTCGAATAGTGTTAAAAAGAACGTCGTTGGAGCCCAAGTTGAATTTTCGTTAAAATTTATGGGAAGGGCTAGGGTCACCTGTTATTGATGTAACAGTTAAGAAAGACAGTTTGTCGGTGTATGAACTTAATTTTTTTCGGAATTTTGGATGGTCACCGAATTGGGGTGGCGTGCAATAAGCTGGGCAAAATTTGGAAATCTAGCCCGTGTAGGGAATTAAAGGGTAGGATATTCCTGACAACAGTTGAACGTGTTTTCCTTTACGGCAGCGAAACATGGACTCTAACCAAAAGCACAGAAAAGAAAGTTGATGGCGCCTGTACTAATTTGCTTCGCACAGCACTAATTAACGTTTCTTGGAGGGAACACATCCCAATTAAAGATCTGTACGGTTACCTGCCAAAAGTTTCTGGCAAGATCAGGGAAAGAAGAATGAGATTAGCTGGGCATTTTGTTACACACAAAGAGGAGAGGGGGCATTGAAGCTTGTTTTATGTCAGCCACAATTCAACACTGACAAACTAAGAGAGGATTACCTAAGACCACGCACATACACACTTTGCTTAAGGACTCTGGGTTCGCCAGTATTGGAGAACTCAAAACGGCAATCAGACCAAAGTGATTGGCGAGGGAGAATCCATGCTGTTCGGACGAGCGCTTGACCAAACTTAAAACTAACTAATTAACTTGCCTTTTCGAAATGGAGGTTAAGACTCAAAATATTAGGAAGCTCGTCAACGTTTTTGAGCAGCGTAAGTCAACGGGAAGTGAAGTGAAGTGCATTCTTGGGAAATGGTGTTGTCCACATTTTCGATTAAATCGTTTCTATAGGAGTAAGGACACCTAGCCATCAAATGTAATAGCGTCAAGGCATATTAAAACAGAAAAGGTGTCACCAGTGGTGAAACGCCTCTGGTTATGATCCCTATTAACTTTTGGACGCTTTTGACGCCTTTACGGTGGCCAACTTGTAACGTACCTCAATCAGATCTTGTGTATATATTAATTAGTTTCTAATTACTTACAGAGGAAATGAAAAGCTGCCTTGGACTTTCTCAGAATGGTTTCACTTCTCATGGCGTCTATCACATCATGCCAGATGGTTGTAAGCCGATACAAGTGCTTTGTGACATAACCAAAGACGGTGGAAGTTGGACCGTGTTTCAGAGACGTTTAGACGGCTCGGTGGATTTTCAGCTCGACTGGAAATACTATAAAAATGGGTTTGATGATATGAGCGGTGAATTCTGGCTTGGAAACGACAATCTTCAGTGTTTGACAGCCACCCATGATGTCATGCTTAGAATTGACCTGGAGGACTTTGATGGCAAAATTTCGTATGCTGAATATTCCACTTTTAAGGTCGCTGAAGGGGTGGATAAATAACGTATTGCGGTTGGAAGGATACCATGGCACAGCTGGTGACTCCATGACGGATAGCGTTAGGTTTCGACCCGCAAAGTAAGTATTGATTTTAGACTGGTGCGACTTACCACAGCACACTCTTGTTCTTGCCGTTCTTCTCCTTCTTCTCCTTAATCTCCTTCTATTCTTTCTTCTTTTTATTGTTATTTTATCATAATTTTTTTAATAAATCGTTATTGTACTTTCCGCCACACGCACAACAGTTACATATTTTACGGTAACCAGTAACTAAAATAAAAATAAAAGGCTAAACAGGAAGCTATAACTGTACAGAACAGTCCAGTGCGTAAAAACTGACAACTCCACAAAAAAAGAAACAAATTTAAGCGGGCGAGATCGTCACCGAAAAAGGTGCTCTTAAGTAGGTTAATTTTCTGGCATTTATCAATTTGCCATTGAGCTAATACTTTTGTTGCTAGTTTAGAGGAAGTGGGGTGTTTTCTTAACGTTTTGCATTGTTGATAATATTTCTAAGTTTGAAAATTGGGATTCAAAATTTACGTTTTGACCAATACTTTTGAAGGAGGTTTGTAATCGTTGAAGACCAACTGCAAGCTGGATAGGTTGAGTTTTACCTTGTGTTTATCATTAAACCATCCGTATCACCTCTTGCGAAAGAGAGAGGCCACCAAAGCACTCCAGAAAAGCGTGTTGTATAGAATCACATGATCTACAGTAGATGCACTCGTCGTCAACAGAAATTTAAATCTCTGTTGCTCCATATTTGGTTACTAAGACACGATGTAGCAGTTTTAAGGAACATTTCTCAATTTCTTGTCAATAGATAGCCCCAGTATATTTTTAAACAGTTCTTTCCATATACTCTTGATGTCAACTAGTATTATGCTTTCACCACGTTTTTACGGTTGTGGGTGCTACATCGCATTTTTGAAAGCAAGAATGTCTTCTTTTTCTTTATTTTCTCTTTCAACTACTTGTTAAATTTTAACGGAAACGTCTTTATCCTACACTTTCACTGTTCGCCCCATGTATGGGTCTGTTTGCCCCATGTGTGAGTCTGTCCTCCCTTATACGGGTCTGTTTGCCCCATTTATGAGAATCCAAGACAGTCCTGGGTTCTGGATTCCACGCTTTGCATTCCGGATTCCAGGTGCTGGATTCTAGCCTTTGTAAGGGGAACTGGATATCAGTCGTTAGTGGGATTATGGATTTCTTTGGCTGTATTCTGGATTCCAAAGCCCAGGATTCCGGATTCCACAAGTAAAAAATTCCGGATCTCGGATCCCACGAGCAAAATTTTCTTGGATTCAGGCCTTTAGGTGGGGCCAGACTGTAGAACATTTGTGATGTTATTTTATTGTTGGGCGCGGGAATTATATTTTTTCAAGTACGTCTGTATCGCGGACTACAGAAACACTCGTCCGCATTACTTTCTTCCCCGAAAGGAATCACATCATCTTCCGCTGAGAGGATGAGCTACAAATTCTTGGTTCGGTAACGCCCATTTGTCCAAATCAAGACCTTAATTCAAACCATTGTTCACAACTCTTCTCAAATTTACGTTCTGCAATCAGGAAGCCAATCAGTTTAGCACAAATAACAGTGTACATAAGTTGCCCTACGCTCTCTTTTGTGGTATATTTCATTTGATACACACACGACATATCTCCTTAAATGAGCCTAATAATACATTTGTTAACATGATATATTTCGATTATCTGTCTACCTTTCATTTAATAAGTATGTTAACACACTCCAGCGGTTCCTTTTGAGATCTAAACCCCGGGAAGATCTCAGTGTACGCGTGTTCTGAACAAAAAGTCTCAAAAACTATGCCCTTTGGTCAGACTTTGGAAAGCACAGATCAGTTCAGTTCCCTTCAGTTTATTGTTTTGCCATAAGTTGTACAAAAGCAAGGAAATCAAATTATTTAAACCCTCATGGCGTGGAAGCCCAAGAGAAACCACTGGGCTTATAAGGAATGGGTTCCTTCAGTTAAATAATAAGAACAAAATATTATCATAATTACACATGGAAAAATCAACACAGATCTATAAAGTATACAGGGAAGTGTACTCCCGGGGAGATGCACTATTTTTTCCCTCGGTGGATGGGCCGATAACGACTGTTCTCTATTTCCTAACAGCAACATGCAATTTTCAACCAAAGACGTTGATAATGACGGATCCAGCGCAAACTGCGCGGAGACACAAAAAGGAGGATGGTGGTATAACGCCTACAGTTGGGCAAATCCTAATGGCATATATTACAGTGGAAAATACAGCAACCAAAACGCCGATGGAGTAAAATGGGTCACACTAAGAGGACATTTGTACTCATTCAAACGTATTGAGATGAAAGTAAAACCCAAAGTGTAAACTGACACCAGGGTACAGTCGTACCTGTCGATGTTGTAACAATTCAGAAATTGACAGATTATCCTCGTTCAGCAGAATTCCCATAACACTGTTTTTACACTTTCTCTCACCCTCGTAGCGACAGGACATAATTTTGAGGAAAATAATATATGATTTCAATAAAAAGTATTGAAAACAGTAGCGATCTAGATAAGATATAAGATCTTCGAACAGTGATAAGAACGAACTTCCTTTTATTTATTCCCTGAAAAAGTCACACCATGCCTCACGAAATATTGGAAGAAAATATGGTCTCATAGCTGTACAGTCAGCCTTGCTTTTTTCACTGTTGAAATAGTTATAACATGTTTAAGAATCACAGCAGGTTAGTTTGGCGCAAAACATGAAAATTGTATGTTCATTAAATGCCCAAGTACTAAAATGCTTTGCGTATCTTTTTATTAATCTTTTTTTTTTTTCACCTTTTAGCGGTGGTGGTGTTGCGGAGGGAGCGGGTGAGGGTCGTATAGTAGAAAAGCTGGGAACAAATTAATTAGGAATAACAGCAGGAACAAGGGAACACAGGCAAATTACGACCCAGAGTCCTGAAGACCCTCACCTTCAGTGTTGTCATGAAGTTACTTACTTCAAAGGTCTCCAAGGCAAGTTAGCAGCATAGACTAGACGAGATTCTGAAGAAGAAAAGCCTTTTTGTCAAAAGCTGATGACGAATTCTAATAGTTCTCAAGATACTGTGCTTTAGTCACGGAAAACCTGTTACCAAAAATAATATCGCCATTTCAGGAATGAAATAACCTTTCAAATCATGTATTGATATTGAAATTAATACACTCCGTTAGTTAGCAATACAACACGTTCAGCTATAAAATCACCTCTTAAATTTGTTTTAAACTTCTTTGTTAAAAATTCTGTGATAATTACGAAGAATTAAGTCGAGCTTACTTGCGGATTAGATAAGAAACGAGGAGGCGATTAATTCCACACGAACTAGGATTTCCTCGCTAAAACGTTTTAACGTCCTTCTTTATCGACAGTCCAGTATTCTTCGGGACATTGACTTTTTATATCGTGCACTAGACCAGAAAACTCGACTACGAAATACTTTTAATCCAATTTCCTATCTTTTCACGAGTTTTAAAATATGGATGCCATACATGTATCATCAATTTTATTAATTTTATTGGCCCCGAAGCGAACCTTACTCAATGCAAATCGGCAGGTGTCTTTGTTGATTGGACAGATATATGGAAATTTCATTTGGATCATAGAAGCTTTGGTCTGGGGGCTTAAATCCAACAACCTGTTCTTTGGCAAAACTTTATTTTTAAAAGAGCGAAAGAGAAACCGGCCTCGCCGTCAAAAATGTTTTTTCTGCTTATCGTTTTTTTCTTCACAACTGTATACAGTACAAGCCGTATTTCAACGCCCGGTTTTCAAGCTGTTAACTTTGCTCGGGCAAAAGAGAGGCGAAAGTTGAACGGAAGTTTGCTAAAGCAAGTTGATGTGATGTCAGAGGATGAGTGTAGTCTTCGATGCGTCGGGGATGAACGATGCCTCTCTTACAACTTTGGAAATACAAGAAACGAATCAGGGACATTCGTGTGTGAGCTGAGTGACTCCGACAGATTTTTTGGCTTTGGTAATTTCACAGAAGATAACAATTTTACGTACAGAGGATTGCAGGTAACAATCGCTACGACATCAGTACAGCGTATAAATTTAAGTTTTTTTAATAATTATTAAACTGTCTTATTTTCCTTTAAACAGGGAATCCCGCTTAATTTCCACTGTGTTATTTCTAAAAATATCGCGCCAAAGAGAGGTACGAATTTAAAAGAATCAAAGTTTGTAAAAAGCTCTAATTTTTTCGGCAGTGGTCTCTTCGAGTGAGTAAGTACAAGCAAAACGCTTTGATGAAAAGCTGAGAAAACCGTTAATATTATGCAATATATCATTTGTTTTATAATTATTATTACGGACTGTGATTAAGATGAGAATGATTCCGTTATTTGATTATTGAGAGAGTTTCCTTAGAATGCTGGGCGATTTCACGCTAGAGATAATATAACATGCATAATCAGGATAATCCGGACTGGTTACGTAAGACTGATTACGGATCTGTTTTCACATTGACACCGTAAATTCGGTCAAACTATTTTGGGAAAGGAATATCACTGTTCGAATAGAGGCCTTTTTTCCTTCTCTTTAGAATTAAGAACAGGCCATCTTTTAGTTGCCTCGATTACCTACATTGTTCTCCAAGAATCAAAATTTGTAAAAATTTTTCTGCGGTGGTCTCTTTGAGTGAGTACTGGCAAAGCTCTTTGATGAAAAGCTGAGAAAACTGTTAATATTATGCTATACGTGATTTGTTTTTTAATTATTGTTACGGTGTGACTGAGATGACAATGATTCCGCTATTTGATTGAGAGAGTTACCGATTTCACGCTAGTAAATATAACATTATCCGGATAATCCGGACCGATTTAGTAAGACTGATAACCGATCTGTTTTCACATTGACACTCTAAATTCCGTCACACCATCTTGGGAAAGGATGATCAGCGTTCGAATAGAAGCTTTTTCTTCTTTGTCTTCAGAATGAAGAAAAGATAGACCATCTCTTAGTTCCCTCGATCGCCTGTAGAATTCTCCAAGATCAGACCCAAAATAAAGAGAAAAAATATATATATATAGCAGGTATTGTATTAACATAGTAGCATTTAATTTGTTATTCTATTAAGACTTTGAAGCGTTACATGCTTTTTGGACAAATCAGCATGAGTATGAGATACATGTTGAGAGTCCTGTGAAATATATGAAAGTAATTAACACTAACACCTGCTTATCTCTCCAGGCTCCAGTTGTTCAAACGGTGGATAGCGGTATCCAGCGGATAAATCTCTATCCAGTGGATAGTGATTTATCCGATGGTTAGTACCATCCACCTTTTAAATAACTGGGGCCATAATGTTAAGATATAAATTAAGTTAGGCCAATGGTTCCTTATGTACATACCGAGGCAAAGTTTACGTACAACAAAAGAAATAATACAACCAAAAATAAAGCGCCCAGGAGAACTCTATTGTTTGGTTCCTTTGTTTCTTTTGTGATGACGGTACCTGCAGAAAGACCCAGGCAAACCTAAAAGCGGAGCTCCCAAAGGAAAGCGTGTAACATAATTAAAATACAGCCATCTCAATTCGTGAACCGGACCCGGAAGAGAGAGAGCCACACATGCTATGGAAAAAATTATTACATGCAAGCCAATTAAAAACGCTCGTTGCGCTTCTTTTCTAGCAGAAAATCATACTGTAAATCAATGCAACCCGATATACATTAACACATTTTTTAAAACATTCATAAAAAATGACCAGTAAAGTTCGAAAAAAAGCCTTTCTCTTACCAGCAAAACTTTACCACTAATTTTTAAACACAGCTGTACATCTAAAAGTGCCTGTCATAACCTGAAATAAAGGGTGCGTTTCTTTACTAAAATTCGAGGTCGGATAAAAAATCCGGATCATTAGGATTTTTCGTTAAGAAAAGAAACGATGGATCCAAAAAACGATAATTTCCCATTCATTTCTATTACCAAAATATGGACGGTATCCTGGAGATAGAACAACACGGCTGCTGATAACGTTGCAAATTTGCTGATCCTTCATTGTGTTCTGGACGGTGAGCTTAAGGATATCGCTTAAAGATGAGCCTAAAAATAAGATATCTACTGGAAAGAACGTTAAATGTTGCCAGACTCGCAGGCGAAGTTGAGGAGCAGTTTTGTTTCGATTTGTCCTCGTGAACTATAGCAATGCAGGTCCTGTTTGTACTGCGATTTTACTATCCCGATAAAACGGATGAAATTGATCGTTTACCATGCCTCGAGTCGAGAGATGGCCGTGAAGATGAGTAGTGTTGTCAAACAGCTGCTGTATTCACCCTTGTCGAATTCGTAGTAAAGGAATGCTTCGGATCATGTATTTAAAGTATCCGGGTCTGGATATGATCCAAGGAATTCACCTCCCTTGTGGATCGATAATATCATTTGGATCAATAATCCGTTTTGGGGTTTTAGTAAAGAAACGAAATAACCGTTTTCGGATTAAAAATCTGGTTTTTGATTTTAGTAAAAAAAACGCACCCCAAAACTTGAAAATAATGCGACCAGAATATTACTCACATTCGGCCTTCGAAGCAATGCTGTATCTAGAGGAAAATAAACTGACAACTGAGTTTAAATCAATAGCCCATTTGCACGATGACGTAATTTTACTACTAAGACCAGAATCCTTCAGGATTTTGCTTTCTTGTGCAAATTAGGGCTTTTGTTATCGAAACCTCCCTGGGATTACCGAATTAGAATATGAAAGGAAAAACGAAAAGGATTGTGGTCGTAGTAGTAAAATGACGCCATCATGCAAGTGGCCTATTCGCAATATAAGACTATGTGGTTTTGAAAGAGTCAATGCAAGATAATAGGAAAACTAGTCTTGCCGTTGTCAAGGTACGCAACTAGTTTTCTAAGGCACAGGCGATGTTACCGTGAAGGAAAGCACTCTCTAAAACATTAAAAATGTTAAAATGTCCATCCACTCAAAAGTTAAAACGTTTTCAAATTTTGAATTCTTGCCAATTTGTTACTAACTGAACTTAAGCGGGATTTCCTACGAAATAAGGCCTTTGTATATCAGTATGGGCTGTTCCCCTTCTTACTCTTTATTTGCCTCTTTTTCCCCACATTAAATAACTGAGTTTAAAGAACCTCATTCTCAAAACAGAGTATCTGTGAGTCCAGCAACCATCTTCCTTGTGGAAACAAAGGAATTTGCATCCCAGACTACTTCAGGAGCAGCTTTGAATGCAAGTGTCACGCTGGATATGTAGGAATACCTTGCAGTAAGTAATTCAAAAGGTACACATAGCAAATTGTTGCTGCTAAAAATATCTACAAGCCGTAGCCGTCCATCAGTAAGATGCCTAAAATGTTTTTTTATTCCATACTTGGTTTCGGCTCCAAAAAAATTCTATTTCAATCGTATATCATGTTAGGAGGAGCCACAATAGCTTAGCACACTGAAAAGGCATACATGTATGAGTTAGGAAAACAATCCAAAGTAAATGTAGTGCGTTAAAATAGATCTAAATCCACCAGAAAATTTAAAAAGTAAACTGGCAGTAGCCGTTAGCAAGGAGGTGTGGGCGAAACCGCTTTCATATGAATGTGAATGCCCTGTAGTTATGGTGTCAACAAAAGGAATCACCGCGGATCATGAAAACTGGATTGAACAATACAGTAAACCAGGCTCATCAGTTTAATTCAACGATTTTATTCGCATTTGCTTAGATACAATTAACCTGCGAATAGTAAGGAGCGAGGAGAGACGTTTGTATTCGCCGGCAAAGATACATTGAACCCGGCACTGAAACAGCAATGCGTGACACAAGTAATGCGTGTATACAGCTGTCATGCACGACGTCTTTATTCAATCGAATATTCAATCCGTTTTCAATGACCAAAGGCCGTTGATATGAAATGGAAAAATTCCACTGGAGTTTAAAGCTTATTGAAGCTATCGGATGATAAGTAACGTAACATACTTGGAAAAGTATAAAAGTATAAAAACCATGCACTGCAATGAACCTGAAGCGATTTCTAGACTTTGCTAGCACTAGTACCTTACCGAAACCTTGTCCCACACTAAGCTGAGATCAGGTTCTACTTTTATTTTCCTGGCTAAAAAGATTCCAGGTCGGCAAGGCGACTCGAAAAGTCTTCCATTTAGTACAGTACTTGTGTACGTGAATTACGTGTGCTTGCGAATCGAATGTAATAATTATTGTTGCATCACTTGCATGTGCATTCAAAGTAACCGCTGTGACGTCAAGACAGACCTTAAACTCAACACCACGCCTCAACACTTGAACGCAGTGTTAAGTAAAATCGATATCACTATGACAGCAATAAAAAAACTTTGAAATCAATAAAAGCCGAATTCTAATCGGTCTAGTCCAGCAACTAAAAATGCGACACCAGGAACTCAAAGTGTAGTGTTTAATTAGCAAATAACCTTTTTCAGCTCTTTTGGAACAAAAGATATGATCTTTATGAAGAAGGTTCCACTGGTATCTAAGAACGACTGGCTGACCCTTTGTATATACTTTCAGAGGAAATGAAAAGCTGCTTTGAACTTTCTATGAATGGATTCACATCAGATGGCGTCTATTACGTCATCCCAGATGGTGGCAAGGCAATACAAGTACTATGTGACATGACTACAGAAGGTGGAGGCTGGACCGTTTTTCAGAGACGTTTAGACGGCTCGGTGGATTTTCTGCTCGACTGGGAATTCTACAAAAATGGGTTCGGTGATCTTAGCGGTGAGTTCTGGCTTGGAAACGACAATCTTCATCGACTGACAACCAACGCTGATGTTATACTTAGAATTGACCTGGAGGACTTTGATGGTAACATTACGTACGCTGAATATTCCACTTTCAAAGTTGCCGACGAGGTAGATAAATACCGCATTTTGCTTGGAGGATACAATGGCACGGCTGGTGACTCGATGGCAGTTACCTCTTCACAGTCAAAAACCGCAAAGTAAGTATGACTGCAACTGGAGTTATTCAGAATGCCTCCTCGTCCTCTTCCTCTTCCTTTACTACTATTAGTAGTAGTTGCAGTAGTAGTAGTGGTAGTAGTAGTAGTGGTGGTGGTGGTGGTGGTGTTAGTGGTAGTGGTAGTGGTAGTGGTAGTGGTAGTGGTAGTGGTAGTGGTAGTAGTAGTGGTAGTGGTAGTGGTAGTGGTAGTGGTAGTGGTAGTCACGGTAGTAGAAGTAGTAGTCGTGGCGGCGGCGGCGGCGGCGGTGGTGGTGGTGGTGGTGGTGGTGGTGCTAGTAGTAGTAGTAGTAAGTAATAAGTAATAAATTGCTTTATTTGCATGACCGCATCATTTTACAGTATTGCAAAAGCATGCTTATGACAATCAAAATATAAAACAAACAGCACTAATAATAATCTAGAAAAATTCAGTTACATTACTAACAATGAATCACGTATTTTCATACAGGAGGAAACAAACTTCATAACTGACTTATTTACATGATGTTCCTTCGAATTCATTATCAGTTTTATGCTTTCTGGAGATGATTTATTGTCAAAGTCAGGTGTTATTCGATTGATTTGATTAATAAATGCCTGTCTCTATACTGAGTATTTGTTACATAGAAAGAGGAAATGAATCTCATCTTCTACCTGATTTGAGTTACATAAGGGAAATAATCTATTTTCTCTTGGCAAATGATCGATTTGGTATCGACCATGTTCAATCACAAGTTTGTGATTACTTATTTTAAATTTAACAAAATTCTGTCGTTCGTCATAATGTCTTAGCTGGTAGAGATAATCAGATGTAGAATATTCATCTTTAAAAGTTTTATAAAATTTTAGTTTTTTTGAATTTTCAAGGCTGTGCCGCCAAAAAGATAAATATTTCTCTCTCATTTCTGTGGTATATCGTCTAATTTTATCATTATCTAGAGATTCAGCATCTAAACTGGTTAGATTGTATTGTTCAAACATGTTTATGAAATTGGAAAAATATCCTGAATTATTCATAGAATGTAGATTCTTTGACATAAGCAAAGACTGTTTGACTATAGAGTCATTATCTTTGTTGTTGAAGTAAACAAAATATTTCATAATTTTCTGATTTATCGGGATAAGCAGCGGCAGCCTATCAAGTTCAGCTCTGTAAGCTATCTCAGAGGTCTTATTGTTAACCTCTAAGTAACGTTTACAGAATTTGAGGAAGATTTTTTCTATTGGGGAGCTATCCCATTTTTTAAAATCTTGCTTGGTGCACATTCCCCATACCTCGCTGTTGTAACTCAAGATTGGGAATACCATGGTGTCAAAAATTTGGGATGCAGTATTAGGATTAAGTTTGTTAAGAATTTCCCGCTTCCGAATACTAGAAAACGCGTGAAGGGCCTTTTCTTTTAAGTGTTCGAGTGCAAGTGTAAAGTTTCCCGTTGGGATTAAACGTGTACCTAAATAAATGTATTCTTAGACAATTTCAATTGACTCACTGCCTATGTTGAATTTGATGTCAATAGATTTTTTTGGGCATTTCTGGAATATCATAATTTTTGTTTTCTTCGGATTAATTTTTTGCTTCCATTTGTCACAATACAAGGAAAGCGAATTTAAAAAGTTCTGTAATCCAGTTTTCGATCTTGATAGAATAACTAAATCATATGCGTACAAAAGTGAATTTATTTTTTTCCCATTTGGAAGAACAAATGGGTCAGATAAGGTGTTTTCGAATAAATGTGTTAGATTGTTTAAATAGAGGTTAAATAAAGGAGGGCTTAAAATACAGCCTTGACGTACACCTCTGGAATATGAAAAAGGCTGTGTTTTGTTTTCATCGATTTTGATGGAACATGTCGAGTTGCAATAAAGGCTTTTCAGGAGGTTGTACAAGTTTCCTCCTATATTCGTTTTTAGCAGCTTATAAAACAATCCTTCGTGCCAAACAGAGTCAAACGCTTTGCGGAAATCTACGAAACAAGCGTAGACTTTTTCCTTGTGATAATGTACATATTTATCTATTAGGGTCCTTAGAGTGAAAACATGGTCTGCAGTGCGGTTTTCAGGCAAAAAGCCAATTTGGGAATTATGTAATATCTTATTTTCCTCATTATACTACTACGTGGGAAATTTCTGCAATTTGATTGGCTTAGAGGAGTGGTATTTCAGCTTAATTTGAAATACCTACATGTGAAAATTACAAAACCTTTGTGGGTAGTAGTATAAACAAAAAATACAAGTGAAGTCTTAAAATAGAACAGAACAGTTTTCCAAGGCAACTAGAAACACGCATGCCTCTGTAATTTGTTGGATCACTCTTGTCACCAGATTTGTAAATTGGGGTTATGAGGCCTTGACACCAAACATCCGGCCTTTTTTCCCGGATTGCAAAATGAGGTTTGACATAGACAGGCATTAGTGGTTCGAGGCTTGCTTTGATCATTTCATTTCGTATTTTGTCAACAAATTCTTCGCCGCTTGACGTATTTCCCCCTCAGTTATCTCATAATCGAGATAGGCAAACTGTTCAATTTCGTGTTCTAAAGAATTTAGTTCCCTATGGATTTCATGTTCATGCGTGGAATTCGTCGGGTCAATAGAATGCAGAGATTTGAAATGGTGAAGCCATGATTCTTCCGAGATTGGGGCAGGAACATTTTCGTTGAAAGTGTCGCTCATCGAATTTAAACAATTCCAAAATGACGGCTTGTCGGTAGCAGTAGTAGTAGTAGTAGTAGTAGTAGTAGTAGTAGTAGTAGTAGTAGTAGTAGTAGTAGTAGTAGTAGTAGTAGTAGTAGTAGTAGTAGTAGTAGTAGTAGTAGTAGTAGTAGTAGTAGTAGTAGTAGTAGTAGTAGTCTGTAATTGTTAAAATTTACCTTGAATTATATAATTTTCGCAAGGTATTAGCTTTTTTCTCTTCCTCTATCATTCACTGAAGTCGAAAACAAAAATACATAGTTACACTTTTATACACTCTAGAGGTTCAATAAAAAATCAAGCCCGATTTCCGACCTTATTGGGCAAATTCTATATCCATTTTCAGACCAAAACATCCAAAACATCTCAAAAAATTATACCCTTTGCGCCGCCCCGTAAATTATACCGCGAAGTTTTCCCCGTGGGATGCGCTATCTTCTCCCGGGCGAGAGATGAGTATTATCAAGACTGTTTCTTTTATATCTCGACAGTAACATGCAATTTTCAACTAAAGAGAGAGACAACGATTTATCCAGCGTCAACTGCGCGGTGAGACACAAAGGAGGATGGTGGTATAACCAATGCTCTTGGGCAAATCTCAATGGCGTATATTACGGCGGAGAATATAGCAGCCAATACGGCGATGGAGTAAAATGGGTGACTTTAAGAGGACAATTTTACTCATTCAAACGTACTGAAATGAAAGTAAAACCGAAAGTATAAAATAACATCTACAGCATAACACCTCGATGTTGAAATAATTCAGATATGAATAGATTAGTTACTATGTCTCTCCCTGGGGCAGGAGGAGGGCATTCAAAAATTCAAATTTATTCAAGACTCTCCACTGTTATTCTAAACGTGCGTTTACTTCTGGCCCCTGCTTAGTAAGTAATGCAAGACATATAAGCAGACGGCAGACCTGGTTTTTTATCATAGTTATGATTAAGGGGGAAATCTGTAGTGGGATTGAAAACGAGGTTTTCAATAGAGGCAGGTATCTCAAACGCTTTTGTACCTACAAGAAAATCAATAAGATTTTCTTAATGTTCAATTATTCTTTATAAAAGATGCCAAAAATCGTAGAAATCGGTTAAATCTTTTCTGCCCAAAAACTTAATACAAAAACATGACCAACCCAAAACGCATATAAATAGGGGTTCGGGCCACCTTAACAACTAGGAAAACTAACTAGGGTAGAGATTGCAGCGACACTCGTCTTGGTCCAGCAGGGTACGTTCTTTCAGGTCGGCAACGAAATTTTTACAATCAAAGGCCTTCCAAACAAGAGGTGGTAGATTGTTCAAGAACCGGCATGCAGGTATATGTTGGGGTAAGTCACAGAAATAGGCTCCTGGGGAAGTAAAACATATAATGCATGTAATTTATCATTTGATTTGCTTTCTTATCGGAATCAGATAAAAGAGACGACCGGAAATACCTCTGCCGTCGCAATAAGGCAACCGCATTTTACAAATTAAGTAGTCTGCAGAACAGGCCCTAGCTTTTAGTGTTTTTTCAGACGAGCACGAAGCGGACGCGATTGCAAGTCAACACATACATCTAGCCGAATTTTTGAAACATACCTCAAAACGGGCCAGAATATTCGCACAGGAACCTGGCGATAGCCAGGTTTCTGGTCACTGCGGTGAGAAAAAACATAGGGGGCTTGCTGTCCTGGTTAGTCTCATTGTGCCTGAGCTAACTCGCCATGGGTTGGAAAGGGGCCTCCATGTCAATCCCTAGGCGGGGAGGGTGCTGCAAAAGCGTGGTACCCTCCGTTAGTCTTGCTCAGGGAGAGTCAGTGCACTGGTCATGTCTGCCTTTAGTTTGTCATGTCACCTTAAGATAACCATGGGTAAGAACTGAGTTTCTTGGCGATATTTGCTTTAGTTGAGTCAGTTTAAGGTGTGTGGGCTCCAGGAGTCCGATGGTACGGTTTTTCATAAATCCGGCTAGACATACATACATGCATACATACATACATAACCTAGAGTAGCTAAACTATATAGCTAATATCTTCCAGAAACAAATTAAGATAACTTAAAACTGAAAAATAAAATACAGACAAAAAGTTAGTGAAAACTAATCAAACGTATTGAGACTTTGCACTCGTCGCTTAAAATCATTAAAAGTACACTTCCTTAATTCGTCGGGAAGATCGTTCCACTGTTGGGCGGAAAAATAAGAAAAAGAGTGTGGTCCATAGGTTGTTTTTCTAGGATTGCTTTGACTCAATGTATGGGTAACGCGCAAATTATAAGGCGAACAGTAAACATATATTCCTCATATTACTTTGATACTCATTAAAAAATAGTGATTAGACTCTTCTAAACTAGTATTAAGAAATTCTGAATGCCTGTTAATAGCACCTGTTCCACAGGGCTACAAATTAGGTGTCTCACAGTTTGAGTTCAGATCACCTATTTGGAGTTTTCAATTTTCTGCTAAAACGATAAACGATAAACAGTGTGCGATTATCCGCGCTTGAACAATGAGGTCCGGCAAAATTAGCGAGCTACAAACACTGTTCCGTCAATGTAGTCTTACTAGTCTGGTCAACAACGTTTTGGCAGCAAAAATCACCTTATCTTCGCGATCTATAATCACTTAGGATTTAGAAAGCTACCCAATTTTCATTGTTTGTTGACTAAACAAGGCGGGTGACTTCTGTGTTTAAATTTTTGAAGATCTTGACCTTTAACTGTTGCTCTGGTAACAGTAACACAAACTGACAGACGCTTTTAATCGTCTGTCAACCTTTCATGAGCCGAACCTAATAACTTGTAGTACATGGAAATTCTAGACTACGAGTAGTCCCCCATTTTTCCTCAGGGATAGTAGAGCGAGCGAAACGCGAGCACCCGTGAAACTATCCCTGAGGAAAAATAGGGGACTACTCGTAGTCTATACAAATTCCGGCTTTTAATTGACGAATCAAGAGCCATTTTTATTCAAAACGGCGAGCCTTTCTTTAGGCCTCTCCCGGCTGGAAATTTTTACTACGAAACGACCTTGATCGAGATGCCTAATTTTTCCCAAATCATAATTAAAATTACATGTAGTCGCATACCATAAACTTCCGCTTACAAGCCTCCCCTTCCTCCCCCCCTCTCAGTTATATAAGCCACCCTCTAGCTTGTATTGAAATGAAATCGACTTTTTATGACGTTTTGAAGCTTAAAAAGAGAGTATATTAAGCATTTTAATCAGCACCGCTATGTAACTTTTTTTTTTTTTTAAAAAAAAAAAACCCCCTCGGATATATATAAGCCTCATCCCCTCCCCCTCCCCCTAGTTTATAAGCCAAGGACTTATAAGCGGAACTTTACGGTAATTGTTTTGGCATCCAACACTATTAAGTGAGAATCGGCAGGTGCCTGTCTGTATTGATTGGGTAGAACTTTTATAATTACATCTGAATCATAAATTAACACTTTGGCCTAAGAGACTATAACTTGAAGGGAACTATCCAGGCGATCGGTTCTTTGGCATTTTTTAGAATAACCAAAATTCTGTGAAGTCGGCCCCATCAAAAATGCTTTTGCTCACTCTGATCGTTTTTTCCTTGACCACTGTACACAGCACAAGCCGTATTTCAGCGCCTGATTTTCAAGCTGTTAACTTTGCTAAGGCAAAAGAGATGCGAAAATTGAACGGAAGCGTTATAAAGCAAGTTGATGTGATGTCAGAAAATGAGTGTAGTCTTCAATGCATCTCTGATGAACGATGCCTCCCATACAACTTTGGGAACAAAAGGAACAAATCAGGGACATTCGTGTGTGAGCTGAGTGACTCCGACAGATTTCTTGGCTTTGGTAATTTTAAAGAAGATGTCAATTTTACGTACAGAGGAATGCAGGTAACAATCGCTGCAATGGCAGATGCTGCGCTGAGTTTAATCTATTATTATTATTATTATTATTATTATTATTATTATTATTCAATCGTGCTAGTTTCTCTAAATCAGGAAAATCCCGCTTGTAAAAGAAACAAAACCTTATTCGTATGCTATGTCAACATTATTTTCCACTTTCTTATTTCTAAAAAGATCGCGCCTAAGAAAGAAAAAAGAATTAAAGGTAAAAAAAAATCTGAAAAGCCCTCATTTTTTCTGCAGTGATTTTATCGAGTGAGCACCATAAAGGCCTTTTGAGGAAAAGATTAGAAAACTGTTTTGATATTATACTCTAGAATTTGTTTTATCAGTAGTAAGGTGTGACTAACATGGCAATCATTCCGCTGTTTGATTAAGATAGTTTCCTTAGATTTGGGGAATTCACGCTAGACGGATAAATTAAGATTGATTACCTTCATGTTTTCACATGGAGACCGGAATGTCAGTCATAATATTTTGGAAAAGGACGATAAACACCTTTTGAATAGAAGCTTTTTTTTCTCTTCAGAATGAAGAAAAGACCATCTTTTAGTTGCCTCGATCACCTAAATAGTTCTCCAAGATCGAACCCACAATAAAGAGCAAATACATACCAAAATTACATTCTTTTATTAACATAGTAGCACTTACGTTTTTCTACTATTAAGACTCAACAAAGCGTTGCATGCTTTTCGGACAAATTAGCATGAGAAAGCGATACATGTCGAGAGTCCTATGAAATAAATGAAAGCAATTCATACAACCACCTGCTAATCTCTCCCGAATGTTAAGATATAAAATTAATTTAGGTCAACGGTTCATTCTGTAGGTACCGAGGCACAGATTACGTACAACAAAAGAAATACCGTATTTCCTCGAATAATAGCCGGGGGCGATTATTCGAGGGTGGCGATTATTTCAACTACATGTATTGCTCACTGGAAGTCGTGCAGTAAATATTCAAATAAACTAAACATTGGCTTTTTAAGTGTTCCAGTTTGTTTCCTTGGGTTCAATTTCAATATCCTCGGTGTCAGAGATTGAGTCGTCACTGATTAGTTTTGTAACTATTCAGTTGTAAACAATCAGTAAATGAAAACTTGTTCATTACTCTAGGTGTCAATCTTACCTTGACGGGGAGGGAATAAAAAAAAGAGAAGACAGTGAAAAGGGTGGGGGGAGGCGATTACTCGACGGAGGCGATTAATCGAGGGACGGCTATTATTCGAGGAATACAGTGATACAACCAAAAAATAAAGCCCTCAGGAGAACTCTATTGTTTGGTTCCTTTGTTTCTTTTGTGATGACGGTACCTGCAGAAAGACACAGGCAAACCTAAAAGCAGAGCTCCCAAAGGAAAACGCGCAAGGTAATTAAATCAATTTCTGAACCCGAACTGGAAGAGATAGAGCCACACATTCTATGAAAAAAAATTATTACAAACCAATTAAAAACGCTTGTTAACGCTTCTTTTCCAGCAGAAAATCATACTGTGAAACAGTGCATCCCGATATACTTAAACACACTTTAACATTCATAGCAGATGACCTGTAAGTTTAGAAAACCAGCTTTTCTCTTAATCTAGCATAACTTTACCACTAATTTTAAAACATAGTTTTTCATTTATAAGTGCCTGACATAGCCTAATTTGATTGAAAATAATGCGGCCAGAATATTACTCACATTCGGCAGTCGAAGAGATGTTGTACCTGGAGGAAAAGTAGTAAGATTTAAAGCACCTTTTTTGTTTTCATTTATTTATCTAGTAATTTTTTTTATCCTCTAAAAAGGCAATTTGCAGTTTAAGACTAAGCGCCTTTGAAAGAGTCCATGCAATATAATAGGAAAAATAGTCTTGCCGTTTTCAGGGTACGCAACTACTCTTCTAAAGTACAGCCGATGTTCCTATGAAGGCCCGAAGTAATATTTTTCCATTGTTGAAAGCACTCTCTAAAACATACAGTAAAAATGTTAAAATGTCCATCCACTAAAAAGTTGAAGTGTTTTTGAATTTTGAATTCTCGTCAATTTGTTACTAATTGCACTTAAGCGGGATTTACTGTGAAATAAGGCCTTCATATATCATTATGGGGTGTTCCCCTTCTTACTCTTTATTTGCCTTTTTTTGCCTACATTCACTGAGCTTAGAGAACCTTATTCTCAAAACAGAGTATCTGTGAGTCCAGCAACCATCTTTCATGTGGAAACAAAGGAATTTGCATCCCAGACTACTTCAGGAGCAGCTTTGAATGCAAGTGTCACGCTGGATATGTAGGGATACCTTGCAGTAAGTAATTCAAAAAGGACAGATGGCAAATTGTTGCTGCTAAAAATATCTACAAGTCGTAGCCGTCCATCAGTAAGATGCCCAAATTTTTTTAATTCCACAGTTAGTTTCGGCTCCAAAAAACCTATACCAATAGTAGATCAGTGAGGAGCCACCCACAATGGTTTAGCATGGTTAGGTTGAAAATGCATATATACGAGTTATGAAACCAAACCAAAGTAAATGCAATGCGTTAAAAACGATCTAAATGCACACATGAAATAAAGAAAAAAAATAAAGCAGTTGCAGGCAGTTGCACATATTAAAATTGCGCGCGCACACACAACTTACACCGACTGAAAGAATCCTGAAATAATTAAAGTAACAAAGGAAATGGTGTCAGTACTCAACCATTGAATGAAAGTCTCATCTCCCACAGTGTGATAGCGCTATCTATATCCATAGCGCTTGAATAATTTATTAAAGGATTTGACGAATAGAGTGGACGTCAAGATCTTTGTTGATTAAGACGGGATAAAATTCGGCGAAGTCTGAAAAAAAAAAATATATTCAAAACATCATAGGCGAGTTTGGCAGAGCAAAAAAGTCTCTTAGACTTTTAAAAATTCCTTCTTAGTCGCGTGCTTTGCTTTGTCAAGCATACGTTGCTCGCTTTTGGGTTACTGACAAACTTCCCTCTTAAGGTGTTTCAATACAATTTTTCGGGAACCTGATGCCGATATTTTTCAATTGCATTAAAAGTGATTTTATCCTTGTCCGATCGCTATAGTATTTCACCACTAACTGATTGATTGAAGGTGTCAAAATGCAATGTTAAGCAAAATCGATATCACTAAGATAACAATAAACAAAAAACTTTGAAATCGATAAGAGCCGAATTTAACGCGATCTACACCTGCTACTAAAAATCTGACACCAGGAACTTAAAGTTTGTTGTTTAGCAAATGACCTTTCTTCAGCTCTTTTGGAACAAAATATATGATTTTATAAAGACCCTTGTTCGCTTCCTGACAAAGTCTTCAACGATCGAAAGTATTAAAGTTACGGAGATTAAATTCCTCTGATCTTTGTAGGATTAACTGGTCTCCAGGTATGACTGGCTGACTCTTTCTATATACTTTCAGAGGAAATGAAAAGCTGCTTTGAACTTTCTAAGAATGGATTCACATCAAATGGCGTCTATTACATCATTCCAGATGGTGGTAAGCCAATACAAGTGCTATGTGACATGACTACAGAAGGTGGAGGCTGGACCGTTTTTCAGAGACGTTTAGACGGTTCGGTGGATTTTCAGCTCGACTGGGAATTCTACAAAAATGGGTTCGGTGATCTTAGTGGTGAGTTCTGGCTTGGAAACAGCAATCTTCATCGACTGACAGCCAAAACTGATGTTTTACTTAGAATTGACCTGGAGGACTTTGATGGTAACATTCCGTACGCTGAATATTCCACTTTCAAGGTCGCCGACGAGGGAGATAAATGCCGCATTTTGCTTGGAGGATACAACGGCACAGCTGGTGACTCGATGGCAGGTACCTCTTTACAGTCCCGAACTGCAAAGTAAGTATGATTGCAACTGATGTTTGAAGCCTGGAATGATTCAACACTCCTCCTCCTCCTCCTCCTCCTCCTCCTGCTTCTTCTTCTTCTTCTTCTTCTTCTTCTTCTTCTTATTATTATTATTATTATTATTATTATTATTATTATTATTATTAGATTTCTTAAAATACAGCTTGAATTATATAATTTTCGGAAGGGTAAAAGCCCGGGGGGTACTCTAGGAATTTCTGGGTGGGGATGTGCCGCTGCGACCCTGGAACCCTTAACCTATACCAGAGCTAGTTCAGCTAAATTTTGCTACCCTATACTAGAGTAAACTCCCCAAATCCCCCCTATCCTAAAGTAGCTGTTTCCCTAGTCTAGATAAAATCTTCAACCAACTGATCAGTTTCCTGAAAAATGATACCCTATTCTACACCCAAACTCTCTGATTTATATACCCTATCCTAGAGTAAACTGCTTGAAAACCATAACCTTCACAGCGGCACATACCTATATAGCCCATATATGGCCCCCCCCTCGGGGGGTTTAGCTTGTTTCTTTTCCTCTCTCATTCAGTGAATTTGAAAAGAAAAACACATAGTTACACTTTTATACACTTCAGAGGTTCAACCAATTTCAGACCTTATCGGGCAAATTCTATACCCATTTTCAGACCATAACATCAAAAACATCTCAAAACATATAATCTTTGCGCCGCACCGTAAATTCTACAGCGAAGTTTTCCCTGGGGGATGAGCTATTTTCTCCCGGGCGAGAGATGAGCAGGATCAAGACCTTTTCTTTTATTTCTCGACAGTAACATGCAATTTTCAACTAAAGAGAGAGATAATTATTTATCTAGGATCAACTGCGCGGTGAGACACAAAGGAGGATGGTGGCATAACAATTGCTGTTGGGCAAATCTTAACGGCCTATATTACGGTGGAGAATATAGTAGCAAATACGGCGATGGAGTAAAATGGGTGACTTTAAGAGGACAATTTTACTCATTCAAACGTACTGAAATGAAAGTAAAACCCAAAGTGTAAATTAAAATGAAGAGCATAACACCTCGATGTTGTAATAGTTTAGATATGAATAGATTAGTTACTTTTTATTCAAGACTCTCCAATGTTATTCTAAACGTGCGTTGACTGCTCAGTCTCTGTGGAGTGAACACCCACAGGATTTCTGCTAGTGTCTTCCGAAAAAAAATGTCAGATCAACTGAATATAATTATATTTTTGAGAAGAGGAGGCTTGAACTCACTGGAGCTGTTTCCCGCTTGCTACTGGTAATACTAGATTCAGGCGCGAGAATTAGGAGGTCTTCAGTCGTGTGACCGTCGGGTTTCCTAGACAGGAATTCAGGCCTCCGATTAGCAACCAAAGACAGAACATACAACTCGGATTTGAATTATTTTAACCCCAACTTGAAACTATTTTTTCTCGTGGCTTCACCTTGCTCCTGAATGTTTCTGAGCTGTTCCAAGTACTCCCGAGCTCATTCTAGTTATCATGGAATAGTTTTTCTTCTTTTGTAGGTTTTTATGACATGTAAGGTGAATTTCGTGGACAGAAAATTCTGCGCGAATGTTTTAAAATCACATTATCCCTATTGTCAGAGTAAAATTCAGGGACATATAAGAAATATTGCTCTATATTCTTAAACTATAACTTTAGCCGCGTCTTGTCCAGGCCAGGTGAGCCAGGTAGACCCTAGTTGACCCAGACTTACCAGGATTCAACAGGAACTGAAACCCTGGGTAAGCCTAGTTTTGCAAAGTTTTTTGGGTAAGCATGGTTAAAATTTGAAATTCTGGCAAACCACATATCCACTCGAAAATATAAAACCAAAATTTTTGGTTAGTTTGGCATTCCCAGGCTTTCGTAGTAAGCCTGGTTAAAGGTACTCATCTGAAAAGCTGGTTAGACCTGGTTGGATTAAAGCCTACGAAGTTTATGTTAGCAACCCTGGCCCCTGGTTATAGTAAGTAATGCAAGACATATAAGCAGACGGCAGGCCTAGTTTTTGGCGGCTCACCTGGCTTGTGAGCTCAGTTGGAGTTCACATGAAAAGCTTCGTATCTTAAAGCTATCAGCTAGTCAGCTAATGCTAAAAGTATGTCAACGAGCCAGAGCTAGCCTACCATGCAGACCTTACAGTTTCGCCAGGCGTTCCCCACGAGCCTGTTCGTGGGGGAGCAACGAGTGGCAAATCCCTAACATAACGGCTGCCTTGGAGGCTAGGCCCTGAGAGCAAACCTGGAGGTAGAGCGTTTTCCTCCGTTCCGCTCCAAGAGAGCTTGCTCGTAGGCTAGAAGAATATGGCTTTGTGTATTTATCATTTTCCCAATCAAATGTATACGAAGTAGATGTATTTAACCAAGGAGCTCTAAGTTGAGGAAAAACAAAACTGGTCCAAATTAGCGGGTGTCCGCATTAATAGGGTGCTCCCAAAGCGGGTTTCATTAAGCATTTTGAATTAAAGAGAAGCTATTAGAAAATGCACTTGTGGGTTTTACTTGTCTTTACCCCAAATGTTATTGGAATAAGCCGTATTTCAACGCCTGGTTTAAAAGCTGTTAACTTTGCTAAGGCAAAAGAAGGAAGGAGGTTAAAAGGAAGCGTTATACAAGCAATAGAAGTGGAATCCGAAGGCGCGTGCAGGCTTCTATGTGTCAATGAAGAGCGATGCCGTTCTTACAACTTTGGAATTACCATTAACAAAGGCGGGGGCTCCTTGTGCCAATTGAGTGATTCCGATAGATTTGCTGAGGCAGGTAACTTTACAGAAGATGGCAACTTCAAGTACGGAGGGATACAGGTAATATCTCTTCTCTCAACACCGATAATGGGAATTGTTACACCATCTTACCTAAATTGAGCGCACATGGTTTGTTTTTACATCTGTGGTCCCAGGTTAAGGATCACAATTAAGACGCAGAATACCTTAAGTAACGGTACGAAATCATGTCCTCTCAAGAATGAGCGTTTTAATGATTATAAGAAGGATACAAATCACGATGTTAAGAAAAACTTTGCAACACATTTAACTTTTATAACTTTTAATTAAAAAAACCTCGAAAACAATTGAAAATGAAGTGATTTAAGCTAAAATAACTAAACGATGGTTCTATAGTTTGGTCTAACGCAATTCTCTGCGAGTCTGAACTGTACACCAATTTGTGCACTGCAATTTGTGTTGAAAATCAGTTAACTTCAACGGAGAAAGCTGAGAACGTTTTTAAGTGTTACACCTGCACGAAAGACGACTTGTTTGCATTATCAATAATGCAAGATGTTTTACTGAACTCAAGCAGTTAGCTTTTCTAAGAAAAGTTTCAAGAATAACGAAATTAGCTTTGCCTTTACCCAATTCAATTAAAAATTTCATTCGAAATAAATTAACACTTAAAAGTTGGTTTTAAGTTGTTGCAGTTCTTGTTTTTGTTGTTTTGACCCTTGGTTTGCGACCACGTAAAAAAAATCATCATCGTGTTGGTGGCAATGTTCCTTCTCAGTCAAGTGAATGATAAGATTTGAAAAGTGCGCGAACAATAGCCTCGACGGTTCCAGAGTCGTTTGCCATGACCTTTGTTGTATTCTCTGCAGAGTGTGTGCGAGTCCAGCAACTTAAACCCTTGCGGCGACAAAGGTATCTGTATCCCAGACTACTTCAAGGACAGCTTTACATGTAAATGCGACAATGGTTATGGGGGAATACCATGCGGTAAGTGTCAAAAGCCTCGCTACCTCGGCTGGGTGTTACTTTTTGATGGTATGTTATCCATTCTCGATTTGTGGCTTAAAGGATTTCGTAGTCATTTTATAGCAAACAAAAACTTTGTTTGTCGAGTAAGAACGTTCAATAATAATTCATTGCAAAAGAATTTATTAATGAATCTAAAAAGAGCATAAGCCACTGTCTAGATTTCTATGCGGCCTAGTGACTCTAAACAAGAATTAGAAAAGTCGGTTTGAAATGTATCTTTAACACCCAAATTAACTTATAAACTCAGAACCTAAACCCAAAGGGGTTATTTAAATCTTAAATCTCTCATTCAGTGACAATGAAAGACTGCTCAAAACTTGGTGAGACCGGTTTTTCATCGAGTGGCGTATACTACATCATTCCAGATGGTGGCAGCCCCATGCAAGTGTTCTGTGATCTGATCACGAACGGTGGTGGTTGGACAGTCTTTCAAAAACGATTAGATGGCTCCGTTGATTTTTTTCGCAACTGGGAATCATACAAAAATGGGTTTGGAGATCTAAATAAGGAGTTCTGCCTTGGAAACGACAATCTTCACCGTTTAACATTTTCCGAAGATGTCATGCTTAGAGTTGACATGGAGGACTTCGACAGTAACATAAAATACGCTGAATATACAACATTTCAGGTAGCTGACGAAGCAGACAAGTATCGCATTTTGATTGGAGGATACAGTGGTACGGCTGGTGACTCGTTGACATATACCTCCGAGGTGAACAAAATCGCAAGGTAGGTTGGAATCCGAGGAATCTTTGCTTATGGGGTCCGGAACCCTGGAAATCTTTGCTTTTGGGGTCCAGAATCCAGGGCTTCGGAAAATATCACAAGCAATCTGGATCCCACTAGTGACTGTAATCTGGAATCCAAGTTCCACTGACAACGAAACCGGAATCCAGTAGCTGGAATCCGGAATCCTCCGCTTGGAATCCAGAATCCAAGACTATCTTGGATTCCTTTACAAGGGGCCAGGCACGCGAATAAGCCCGAGAGAGACATTGCACCATCCAAGTCTATTGTGGATAAAAATACATCTAATCTAAATATGTGAATTAATTTTCTCCACAGTAACATGCAGTTTACAACCAAAGACGCAGACAATGATCTTAGTCCCATTAGCTGCGCCCAAAGACATTCCGGAGGATGGTGGTTTAGCAGGTGTAGTTCGGCAAATCCCAATGGATTGTATCATAATGGTCCTTATAGCGGCCAATATTCCGATGGAGCAAAATGGGTCACGTTTAGAGGACATTTCTATTCATTGAAACGCATTGAGATGAAACTAAAACCTAAAACGTAAAAATCTGATTCCTTCAGATGTCAATGTGTTACGATAACATTTTGAAACGATGTATTCTTATATAGATGTGAAAACCTTTTTAAAGATTAAACTCTAACAAATGTTTTGAACGGTTGGGGTCTCTTGGTTTAATTTTATACTAAATGGTAAGGCGGTGGACCTTCGTAAAGTTTATGGTTTGTTCTTGTGTTTGTTTTCCAAAGGAAACAACTATAAACGCGATCGAATTTATTCTAAGCGCAAACCATTTCTTTATTCGGCTAGTAAGTAACCTTTGCAACAAACCTTTCAAATCCCATCGAGTAGCTTGGTAGCCCACTTCTTTAGCTGTGGTAGTCCACTTCTTTCGCAATGGTTATCCTCTTCTTCAGCTATGGTTGTCCAATTTTATTACCTTTGCTAGCCCACGTCTTTGGCAAATGATAGCAGAGTCAGACAGGGCGTGCAGACATGTTTTTTGTCTTTTTGCCATTTTCAAATCTCCCATAATACAGCTTTTTGTTTATTGTTGCCATAGTGATATCGATTTTAGTTAAAACTACATTATGACAAACTTCAATCCAAAATCAGTCAGTGGTGAAAATGTCGTAGCGATCGAGCAAGGATAAAATTACTTTTAAGCTAAGGCGATTGAAAATTATCGGTATGGTCTCCGAAAAAGTATATCGAAACACTTCACCGAAACCGGACTGACCGCGCATGAAAAACCTCTGGCACCCAGAGTAACAGGTAAAAGGCCATTTTAATTAAAAAGGGCGAAACTTATTTTTTTGGCCTTCCTATCTTTTCACAAGTTTTAAAACTAAATGAATTAACTTCATGGATTCGCAAACATGTGTCATCAATTTTACTAATTTAATAAGAGAACCCTACTCAATGAAAAATCGGCAGGTGTCTTTGTTGATTGGATAGACCTTTATTCTATGGAAGTTGTATTTGGATCACAGACGCGTTAGTCTGGGGGCCTTAAAATCCAGCGACCGGTTCTTTGGCAAACTTCATTCTTAGAAAAGCGAAATAGAAGCCGGCCCCGCCATCAAAAATGTTTTTTCTACATCTAATCGTTTTTTTCGTGACAACTGTACACAGTACAAGCCGTATTTCAGCACTTGAATTTCGAGCTGTTAACTTTGCTCAGGCAAAAGAAAGGCGAAAGTTGAACGGAAGCGTGATAAAGCAAGTTGATGTGATGTCAGAGGATGAGTGTAGTCTTCAATGCGTCGGGGATGAACGATGCCTCTCTTACAACTTTGGGAATACAAGAAACGAATCAGGAACATTCGTGTGTGAGCTGAGTGATTCAAACAGATTTTTTGGCTTTGGTAATTTCACTGAAGATGACAATTTTACGTACAGAGGAATGCAGGTAACAATTTAATTTAACTGTCTTATTTTCCTTTAAACAGGAAAATCCCACTTATAAATGATTTCGCTATTTGATTGAGAAAGTTTCTCTAGACTACTGGGCGATTTCACGCTAGAGATAATATAAGATAATTCGATTACTGTACTGTTTTCACAGTGGCACCGTAAATTCGCTCAAACTATTTCAGGAAAGGTTGATCACCGTTCGAATAGAAGCTTTTTTCTTTCTTCCCTTCAGAATTTAGAAAATACCATCTTTTAGTTGCCAAGATCACCTTTCGTATTCGCCAACATAGAAGCCAAAATAAAGGACACATACATTATTAACACTCCTTCGATTTAATTGGGACTCGTTCAATATAATTGGGACTAATTGGTGTTAGCTGTTATCGCCTGTTACCAGCCATTAGAGCCAATCAGGATCAAAATTATCAGTTTGGGTGAGAGTTCGTCTAATGTTATAAGATAACAAACTCATTACATCCAGATGAATAACAGGATAAATAATAATAAATAATAGCACACTAAATCCAATCGCAAGTTTGTCAGAAAATAACGGGATAATATGCTACATTCCACAAGTGTGAATTTGCCCAGTAAGATAAAAATCTATTTCTTGACAAGTGTGCATAGTTCTTGTATGAGTACATACTAGGATGCTGCACACATATATGCACATTTCAATTCATTCGCTCCCGTGAACTCATTTAACTTTTTTGGTGTTTATTTATTACAAACGTGAAAAATTTATCCGTTTTCAAATAACCGATAAGCTTGTTAAACTAGCACCAATGAATCTGTGGACTGTTCAGGAATAGAACAAGAAAATTAAAAATTACTTGATGTCTCGAACTTGGAAGAAGTGTAACTTGTAACAAGCATCCCTGATAAAATAAACTGAATGAGAACAGAAAACAGAACAGATCAGCACTGCCGAAAGTTTATCAGTTATCAAAAGAACGTCAAATACAGACCTGGACGGACTCTGCGTCGCATTATCAAATGCCTTTAAGTTCCTTTTTTGCTAATACAAGCATTGTCTTAGGGATGGATATGGTCGCCGGTCTTGTAAAAATTGTTTTCAGCAGAGGCTGATTTTTTATTAGATTCTAGTTTGCCATCAATGTATTTTTAAGATCTTGTACCGCTGGGTGATATGTTGTAACGAAAAGCAATAGCCTCTCTTGACTTTTTTGCTTTTGTTTTTTAATTCGTCGACCTTTATATATCTTGTGTTGGATACCCGCGTACCGCTCGAGGCCTTATTTAAAGCTCGCAAGGCACTCATCAAATATTTTGTTTTTTGGAAGAGTTTTTTCAAAGCAATCTCATTGCTTTGAAGCCTCTTTTTACTCCCAGAGGACGGCACGAGGTAAAGTGTGTATATTGAAAGGTTTCAGCCTTATAGTGGGTGTTAATGTCCAAGATGGATTTCTCTGTGAATAACTCACCTTTGAAAACTACGTGTCAAGGAAAATTGCTTTGTTCTCTGATATTTCGGCCGTGAACATCATTGTGGAATGGAATTTGTTTAACAAAAAGTTCTACGTCTTTTCTGTTACAGTCCCCAGGGACAAAACGTCATCAATGTAACGATTCTTCAATCTTGGCTTGGTATTGCTTTGTTGGATTAGGATTGTTTCAATCTCTGAAATGTAGATGTTCACAAAAATGCTGTTTTTGTGCCCAATTGCAACCCCATGGGCTTGGAGATAATTTTTTCCATTAAACTCAAATGCGTTTCAGTCTGTTAGGATTAGGCCAAGCATTTCCCTAAGGTAGAGTTTAGGGATCGGAGGATCATTGTTGAGAAACAACTCGTACACTATGGTGTTTGCTTTCCCTACAATTTCCGTTCCCTCTTCTTGCGGTATGTTCGTGCATAAGATAGCAACATCCATTGATACTAAAATAGCATCTTGACCTATCTTTCTTTTTGCCATACAATTTATACAATCAGTAGTATCCAAGATGTTTAGAAAAACTTTGCAAAACATGTAACTTTTATAACTTATTTTTTAACCCTCGAAAACAATTATATGTTGAATAGCAGCCATGTGATTTAAACTAAACTAGCTAAAAGATTGTTGTATAATTTGGGCTAACGGCCATTCTGTGCGAGTCCTGAGCTGTACACCAATTCGACCTGCCAGGCAATTTTTATCGAAAATCAGTTAACTTCAATGGAGAAGGCTGAGAAAGTCTTCTTAAGTGTTACACCTGCACGAAAGACGACTTGTTTGATGCGTTACTGAACTCAAGCAATTAGCCTTTCTATGAAAAAATTCAAAAATTAGTAAATTAGCTTAACCTTTCAATTTAAAATTTCATTCTAATTAAGTCAACACTTCCAAGTTGGTTTTAAGTCGTTGAAGTTGTTGTTTTTGTTGCTTTGTCCGTTTTTTGCGACCAACTGACAAAATCGCCATCATGTTGGTGATAATGTTCCTTCTCGGAATGATAAAATTTGAAACGTGCGCGAACAATAGCTTATAGGTCTTATGAAAAAAACTGTTCCAGAATCCGTTGTCAATGATCTTTTTTTATATTCTGTATAGAGTGTGTGCGAGTCCAGCAGCAAAAACCCGCCTTGCGGCGACAAAGGTATCTGTATCCCAGACTACTCCAAAGAAAGCTTTAGATGTAAATGTGACGATGGTTATGAGGGAATACCGTGCGGTAAGTGTCAAAAGCCTCGCTACCTCGGCCGGGTGTTACTTTTTATGTATGGTATTCTCAATTTGTGGCTTAAAGGATATTGCAGTTATTTTTTAGTAAATGCAAACTTCGGTTTTTGAACTAAAGCGTTCAATATAACAATTCGTCGAGAAAATTATGGTGGCCTAGTGCCCGTAAACCAGAATAAGAAAAACTTGGTTTGAAGTGTATCTTCAACTCCCAATTAAGTTAATAAACTCAGAATTTAAATCCAAAGGGGTTATTGAAATATTAAATGCCTCTTTCAGATACAATGAAAGACTGCTCAAAACTTGGTAAGACCGGTTTTTCATCGAATGGCGTATACCACATCAATCCAGACAATGGAAGCCCAATGCAAGTGCTCTGTGATCTGATCACGAACGGCGGTGGGTGGACAGTCTTTCAAAAACGGTTAGATGGCTCCGTTGATTTTTTTCGCAACTGGGAATCATACAAAAATGGGTTTGGAGATCTAAATAAGGAGTTCTGGCTTGGAAACGACAAACTTCACCGTTTAACATTTTCCGATGATGTAATGCTTAGAGTTGACATGGAGGACTTTGATGGCAACATAACATACGCTGAGTATACAACATTTCAGGTAGCTGACGAAACAGACAAGTATCGTATTGTGATTGGAGGATACAGTGGTACAGCTGGTGACTCGTTGGCAGATGACTTCGAGAAGTGGAAAATCGCAAGGTAGGAACGGTTGTGACTAGAATGGATACTTTCAAATCAGGTTGGACACCTTATGTTTACAACACAACGTTATCTCTATACGACGCTATGCTATATTTACGCGAATTTATTGGGTACGAGAACTCTTAGAAGAGTAGGAGACAGTTGTGCAAGGAAAAGAGTTGAATACATGGTTTAGCAGCGAAGTGCAGTAATTAGGATTAAGCACTGTTTAAAAACGGTTAGCCTTCAATAGTGTAATGATCAATGACATGTAAATTACGTCAAAATTAACTGGCCTCGGAAGTTAGCCCTTGACGGTGTGGTGGATACGGATATGGATTATACATCAAATGACGCGGGTTCAAGTCCTACATACTACCTACTGTTTTCTTCTGTTTTCTTTCATCTCTTATTTACTATAAGACGCCTATCATGTATTTTGATTGAAGATGACAACATGACTTTGTGACATCCATTCTAGTCACAACCAACGCAGGTACAAAGGTACAAAGCAGTGGCGGATTCAGACCTTTAGATAAAGGGTGGTGGCCGATCATTTAGACCCTCAGATAAGGAAGGTCGGTCTCCAAAAAAATTTTTTCCGCCCTTCGGGCCTAATTTTGGTCTAAAAACAAGCGCCCTATGTATAGTAATCCTGATTTCAGAATCCGGGAAATTTTTGCTCGTGGAACCCGCAATCCTGGACATTGGAAAATATCAGAAACAATCCAGATCCCACTAATGACTGAAATCCGAAATCCAAGTTTCGCTGACAACGAAACCTGAATCCTCGGCTTAGGATCCAGAATCCAAGACTGTCTTGGATTCCTTTACATGGGTCGAGACAGGCGAATAAGCCCGAGAGAGACTTTTCAACATCCATGTCTACGGTGGAAAAAAAATACATCTAGTCTAAATTTTCGCATTGATTTTCTCCACAGTAACATGCAGTTTTCAACCAAAGACGCAGACAATGATCATAGTCCCCACAGCTGCGCCCAAAGACACTCCGGAGGATGGTGGTTTAATAAGTGTAGTTTGGCAAATCCTAATGGATTGTATCATAATGGTCCTTATAGCGGCCAATATGCCAATGGAGCAAAATGGGCCACGTTTAGGGACAATTTTATTCACTGAAACGCATTGAGATGAAATTAAAACCTAAAGAGTAAAAATCTAGTTTTTTCAGATGTCAGGGTGTTAGGATACGACTTTGAGATAATGCAATGTTATATAGATGTAAGAACCTTTTTAAAGCTTAAAACTCAAACTAATGTTTTCAACGATCGATGTCTCCTGGTTTGATTTAAACTGACTAAACGGTGAGGTGGCCGACCTTCATAAACTTTATGGTCTGTTTCCACTACACGAATTTGTGTTAAGTGCGAACGATTAATTTTTTTTCGGCCGGTAAGCAACCTTAATTTGCAACAATCCTTCAACATCCCATTGAGTAGCTTGGTAGCCCACGTCTTTACCTATGGCAGCCCACTTCTTTAGCTATGGCAGCCCACTTCATTAGCTATGGCACTCCACTTCTTAAGCTATAGCAGACCACTTCATTAGCTATGGCACTCCACTTCTTTAGCCATGGCATCCCACTTCTTTAGCTATGGCAGCCCACGTCTTTAGCTATGGCACTCCACTTCTTTAGCTATGGCAGCCCACTTCATTAGCTATGGCACTCCACTTCTTTAGCAATGGCATCCCACCTGTTTAGCTATGGCAGCCCACTTCTGTAGCTATGGTAGTCCATTTCTTTAGCTATGGTAGTCCACTTCTTTCGCTATGGCAGCCCACTTCTTTAGCTATGGCAGCCCACTTCTTTAGCTATGGCAGCCCTCTTCTTTAGCTATGGCAGTCCACTTCTTTAGCTATGGTTCCCCAATTTTTTTTTTGGGTATGCTAACACACTTCTTTGGCAAATGATAGCAGAGTCAGACACGGCACGCAGACAGACTCTGGATTTATTACTTGGGCTGATTGGTGTGGTGCAATGTTTGCATAAGCTACAAACCTTGGCTTTCTAATACAACTGGTATTCTGCAAACAAAAACTTTGTAGTTTTTTGGTGTTGAAGTAAAACATGAGACGAGGTTGCAGAGTTACGTTAAAGGCCGTAAGAATGGTAGTTAATTAAAAATAGTAGTTCCTTAGTGGATCCACCCTTGAAAGGGTAAAGGTAATTATCACTCCGCTCACACGATTTATGTGAGTTCACACTATTTTATTTAAATGGTTTGCATCAACAACGTTTTTGTTTAAGCACTTTGGCGCAAACGTTATTGTAGTTTCCGTAACGCAAACTCCGTTACAACTTATTTAGATTATTTAGCACAGGTTTAATTGAAAAACAAAACAAAAGAAGCTGACAGTTAACCTTTTGCTTTTTAAACTTTATTTTTCATCAAATTTTAATTTGACACTTACAATGTAACTACAAGAGTATTACATCTTCCCTGCATTCAGCACTTCACTTCCGACTTCCTCATGTGCCATGCGTTTCTTCAAGAACGCGTCCAAAACGCAGTGCAAAGGTAGAGAAAAACCGTGTGTCACCTTGAGAGGGCGCGCCCAAAAAATATATCCAATTACCGTACAATTTGTGAAAATTTGTGTAAATCACCGTAAAAAGAGTGGCGGCAGAAAAGATGAAGCTATTGATATCCGACAAGGAAGAAATGAAATGAGTTAGTTATTTGTTACACCGATGAGACACAGTGTCACTCAATGTGCGTAATTAAAAGACATCACACTCACAACTCAAGTGTCTTTTGGTCATGTTAGTTTTTATTGCCACTACTACATCAAGTATTTTGTAATCTCTGCAAATTAAATCATCATTAGTACCTATAATTAATTACTTTACTATACATTTAGCTTTAAACTAAAACGAAAATAATCACACAGACGACACATTAGTTTAAGTGTTTTTATTATATCGAGTTCGCAATTTACAGAAATAAAGTACTCCATATAGATGGGGTGCGCTCCTAAGAATTTGACGTCCAAGCAAGACCGAGGAGTGTGACTTGTGTCCATAAAACCTTTGACACCTCGAATGAAACACACCAGGGTCTCCCAGACGGCTCGCAAGGATATTTGGCGGCTTGCTATCGAAACATTGTCGATACTAAGCCTTCACATTTTTTAAGCCGAATCCGGAACCAGATCGAAATTCAAATCGAAAACCGGAAAAAGCCGAATGGACCGAACCGAAAATTGAATCGCCTAAAAAAGGAAAAAAATTCCACATACCTTGTGCCACTTTGGATTATTACTTGGGCTGATTGATGTGGTGCAATGTTTGCATAAGCTACGAACTTTAGCTTTCTTACAAACACAACGTTGCCGAGGAAATTCAATCTGCCAATTATTACCCTATTACAGACTAAATAAGCGAGTCAGCTTTGTGCAAACTTTGTACCAGCATAAATCAGCCCTACCTTATATGGGCTGATGTACACTGTCCCCATGTTCCTCAGCCAAAGGACCAAGGAGACTGGGACCCACAATCCAATAAGCCAAGGTGTAGATATTGGAAAGAATAAGTAGTTGTAGAAGTCCATGATGGCGGAGTTGTCCAAAGGGGAAGTCCGGCCGGCCAATTATTTTTAATCATAAAATATTAGTAGCTGTCTCAACTAACATTGAACTACCGACACCAAAAACTGCGGAACAGGGGATCTTAGATAACAAAAATTCAGAATTACCGTGAGTAATTATTTTTAAGAAAAATTGAAGGAGAGGGGTGTATATAGGCCCTCACAGAAGTCAACGTTAGTTAAGACAGCTCTCTTTAAAGTTACTGCTATATGCTGTCTCCTTTGACTTTACCTTGCCTTCCTAATGATGCAGTGGTTTTCACTACGATGTCATTGGCTTCTGTTTGCAAAATTACCAATCTACATTCAGCGTGATTTTCTTTCAATCAATTTTCTTTCAATTTCTTTGTTCTTCTTTCTTCGGCCGGCCTCTTTCTTTGATGTAGCCATGGACCCACAGTACAATACATTACAAAGCAATACCATACAATTCGATAAGATTTATTTTATTCACAATTCCAGAAGCAAATACCTCTTGTTACAAGATTCAGAAATACGTTTAATTAAAGGTGTGCTGCTTTAGGATTCAGTCCCAATCATGACGTACTTCAAGAGCTGTGGGGGTAGAACACTGCAGGCCACTCTCAGCTCAGGACGAATAAGACTTCAAGCCACGAACGGTCGACGTGAAGACTACATACGCCTACCATTTGTAGACGGTCTGTGCCTGCGTGGTGCCTTGCAGGGCTTCCTAAGAAGAAAACCCTCCAGCTGAGCAAAATTAACAAGAAGACAAACCAAATCGTCTTAGTGTCAATGATGCAAAGCCAGAGTATCCTCTCTTATTTTCTTGTCGCCTTTAAAAGACTATCTATAACCTGCAAGGTTTTCACCTGAATGCCATTCAGAGGCACGCATATAAAGGTATGGTAGGCCTAGCAGCATTTTCGTGATTACTTCGCAGGCTACTAACGTTGCTAAAAGCTTGTCGGCTTGTGCGGGTTCCTCCAACGATGAAACTGCGTCGTAGATTGATCTCGAAGACTTCCTACGCTTACGATTTGTAAACTATCTAGCCTATGGTGTGTGGATTGTCCCATGTTACCCAGGTAACCTGCAACAAAGTGTTGACTCTTCGCGGGAAGAAACGCCCCGTCGCAGACTACCTTCTTTGTAAGACTAAACCTTTTAACTGATCTACCCTCACAAGTCCGAAGTCTGAAAATCAACGCACATCAAACATTTCCGCTTCACATTCGTACTGTTTAAGGTGAAAAGTCAAATTGGTATACTTAGGAGCAGACTCGAATATGCGAGACTAAACTAACTATCTACCTGTAACCAGAGAGAGCTTGTAAGTGGTCACCAAATAAGGTCCTCTCACTGAAGCTGAATGATCTGAAGTCTCAAGTTTACTAACTTATGTCTTTAAATAATCAATATCTGGTTGAACCTTAGGAATTAAAGCTTCACTTGCCAAGCGCATAGACTGTCAAGTGAAGTGTAATAGATAAATTAAATTTGGCGCAACTAAGCGGGAGACTGCAGTGAAGACGATGACGACGACAGCGAAGTCCACGTGAAAAAGGCGCACAAAGTCGGAGCCGAAACGAGTGCTAAATGCCAAACCGAATCCTAAAAGCCGAACTCTCGTCTTTGACCGAACACCTGCAAAGGAACCCAACTTATGAAAAAGGGCAGGGGAGGCCCTTACAGCCCAGGGAACCCCGCTAACTAATCTTACTACAGTTAAGTTAAGCCGAATAAGACGTGCGGATGCTTCAGGCCGAAAGTGTGTGAATAGTATGCTTTGCAAGGTTCATCCAGAACTCTATATACCCCCCTTTTACCCAACCCACAAGGAATGCACCAAACCCGTACCATTTCAGGAGGTTGGGTGTACTCAGGAGCCTGGTGTACTGTACTGATTTGAAGCTGAGTAGTCAAGGGCAGTAGTCTGGTGGGCTCATCTGATCTTGTAGTCTGGTGTGGCCGTGGCGGTCTGATCTAATGGTCGTCTTATTTGGTGGACGGGTCTGATTGTCTGGAGTGGTATTCGGATTTGTTAGTCTGATCTGGACTCCGATCGGATGATCTGTTGTGGGGTGGATCTTATGCACTGTTTTCTGGAAGTACGCCTGTGAAAGATGGTCTGGTCTGACAGCTGAAAATTGAAAATATAAAAATATGAGGTTATAGTAGTGAAATAGCTCTACTGAGCCCGCAAGAGAGCTGCGTAAAAAGAACAGGAGGAAAAAATACAAACGTAAAGTTTTCACATTCAGTTGCATGAACTTTTGAAAAGCACTCTAGGCCAAAAAAGTTTAAAAAGCCCCAGCCATAGTGATACAGGACCAGCTGTGCTGACGATCTTTTATAATCTTTTCCATTATTTGTAGTACGTGTCGTTAACTGCAATGCCCAACATCATTATGGTAATAATCATAACTATAACAAAATTGTCCAATCTGATTGGCTATCAACTGCCCTGATTTCAGCCTTAATTGGACAGTTTAATAGGACAGTACGCGTCATGCCTAAGTAATTGGACAGTACGCGCCATCACGCGCGTACTTACATGGCTTTTTTTTCACTGCTAGCAAAACAAACTTTCGAATTTCTTGTGTTTTGATTTAAAAAATAGCCTATTATATCACAAATTTTGTTAAAGTTATGATTAATTGGTAACAGAACTTCGTGTCGTCCAATTCGGTCTGTAATCATACTCGTGATTAAACAAATCGGACTCCCGCTACGCGGACGTCCGATTTTGTTAATCACTCGTATGATTACAGACCGAATTGGACTCCAGTCAGTCCCGTTACCATTACCTATCAAGGCTCTGTCGCAACCTATTTGCGCGAGAGATCGCACGAGATGTGCGCAGTTTTCATCATAGGAGGTGTAAATCAACGTTAGATTGCAAATGGCTGCCATATTGAGCATTGTTTCCTTGTTTGCTTCAAAGAAATTTAGCAGAAATTGGATCAAAAACTGCGAAAAACCAGAAAAGTTATCAATATTTTCACAACCATACTGTATTGCTATTAAGTCACTCTTGGATTAAACATCGATCTAACAATTACATTTTCAACCTCAGATAATGCATTTCTAGCATTCTGATCTCGGTTATCAGCTCATATACCTTAGTTTGACCTGATATGGAAAACAACAAAATTTCTCTCTGACAAAGCGGCAAAGTAGATTTCGCGAGCTCTCTACCGACGAAACAGCAAACAACAGCAAAAAACAGAAAATGCCATACCGGCAGCGACAAAAAAGCCACAAACTTTGGTTTGAAACTATTCAATGGTACTACGAAGTTTCCTTATAAATTTAAAGAAATTATAAGCTAAGTTTACCTTAAACATTTTCAGAATGCCTTGCAAGTCCTTGCAGCAGTGAGTTTTCAAAACCATTAGCAGATTTTTGGGGTATTTGAAGAGCTTTTACACCTCTTAACACTTTCGCAGGTACATAACGAACCATAAAGGGCCTCAAGTGAATCCTACAACGAGCGGCTTTCCATTGAACAACAACAACACCAACAAATTATTAATGAAGCTGGGTATTTGTGCAGCTCTGATTCAGTGGAGGAAGAAAACGAAATTGAAGAGAAATCAGGTCCACCTATTCAGCGTCAAATTCCACAGTCACAACGAGGAAAAAAGGACAGCGAAATAAGTACTTGTCGAGAATAATTTAAGCACAGTGTCCTTCCCTTTCAGATTTTTCATTCAACTAAGTTCGCAAACGGCGCACATGTCATGTGATTTTCCCTTATTGGTTTACCGGAAGTTACTTTAATATCCGGTCGCTTTGTAATGTTTAAAATGAAATTTACCAGAATTCAATTGTAACAACCAGACGTTTGGAGTTCAAAAAATTTAATGAAACAATTATTCCACTCGCGCTTGTTGTATATGAGATGGTTATAGCTAACTCGGCGCTATGAGGTGGTAAATAGCCAATACATGTAATTGTTAAATCATTTTAGACTATAGGTTGTATGCATGTAATTCTTTTTTCGTAGATTCAATTTATTCATTTAACGGCGATCCCATATTTTTTATATGATCTAGTCGAATCTAAGAGCTCTCCCATCTAACGTAAGACACAAAAGAAAGAGCTTCACCTCAATCGAAAAATTTCAGATATTCCAACATTTTTACAGCAGTAATGCATCCGTGGAAGCGAAAACCGAGTAGCACTTTTATACAGAAGTTGTTCAAAATTGCCCTGGCAACGATTTGCACTGTTTTGCCTAGTCTGGGAGCCCGGTACATTGATTTTTTCCTAAACTCATTTCTCACGGCTGCAAAAACAACATGAATTTAAAAGTTCATTGCTCCTTGTTTTATAACTGCAATGTAAGATAATTCGTCTCTAAATCACCAATATAATTTGGAGGAAGAGCAAGACATGAATTATTGGTTTTCTTCTTGGATGTTGACGTCTCCAGGTCTCCATGTCAAGCTCTTGTATTTTTAATTAGTGACTGCTACCTGGCTACACGCGCGTGAACTATGCAGAGCTTTCCAAATCATTCAGCAATCTTGCCTTAGCATTTGCTTTCTAGTTAAGTCTCTTCTGAGCCGAAATAAATTGGTTTTCTTTAAAACAAGAACAATTGAAAACGAAATGACTTAATTTTAAGTTCAACTTGCCGGAATTCAAATGTCAACCGAATTGATGATAACATTCAGAACTTAAACAAGCAATCAGTATCCCATGATGCATGTTTCCAGAAGCATCACGCAATATCGCAGTCATAGCAGATTCCATCTTGAAATAAGGTCGTTTTCTCGTCGGCTTTTTTCTCACTCGATTTCCAGTAAAAGTAAAAAAATTACATTAGTTCGTTATTTGACATGATTTCTCCGATTTGCAATGGCTTAAGAGCGAAGTTTCCACTTAGAAACATTTATTTTCACGGTTTCAATTAGTCTTCCCATCACAAAGTGTTCAGTGACCCACAACCAGGTCATGAATATTCAAGGTTTTGTGGTTTTGCGAGTCTTATAATTTGTGTTTACAGTGCGACCGAGCGCGGCACAAGTAGTTCTCGACAGATCAGTGAAATACATGTAAAACCCTTCTCAGTCAAAGCAACGCTGAAATTCTCCTTTAAAGCACAGTGAATATTAGCCAACTCGATAATCTCAAAAGCAGAAGCTGCTGAACCGAAACATGTTTGGAAACCATCCACATCGAGCACTGCGATCGATGTTCACTTCGCGCGTGCTGAAGGTTACTGATCATAATGTGTCACGTACGCAGTGATAATATAACATGAATCGAGGTGCATCATGGGATACTATTCGATCGTCGTCTGACAAGCAATTTTACCTCATGGACGCTTTAAACATCCCAGAATGCTTTCATAGTTATTTTTCCAGTTCTGGTAGCGAAGCTGAGAAAGACGGGTAGCCAGCTCTTCTGTGATAGGGCCTTGTTTCTCTTTCATGAGCAGTCTCTTCGCCAGCTTTCGCAACTAAAGATATCAATTCAGTTTTGAATGTTGCGCGATTCAGTGAATAACAATTTCTGATTGGATTTTCTTACTGCACGTGTCAATGTAGCAAGAACATGGGTTGTTTATCACACACACCTCAGGGTATTTGGGATCTGTAAGGTAAATTAGCATTTCAAGCCCCGAGCAAATTCGAGTTGTAAAAGTCTTGGGCGAGAAACCATTTCTAATGCAGAAAAACTGGTTCTGGCTATTATATTACAATGTGGGCTTTTGGCAAGATTTTCGTATAACCCCATACATTAATGATATACATATACACCTATTGTTTAACGAAAACAAAAGACAGAACCATACTAATCCTTTGAGATTTCAGATATTATTTTACAAATTTTTTATTGAAGTCTTTTTTAAAACGCCCTAAATTTTTGCAGCAAAATAGAAACTTTTCCGACCACATTTCGAACATTTTTTTCTGTTCCTAAACCGGAAAAGTAAAACAAAATATTTAGAAGCATAATATAGGGCATTAAATGCGCTAAACAAAATGAAATAAAGACCTGCCTTTTTAGCTGTGTTCGTCATAGTTTTGTTTTTCCCCAAATATTTTCTTAGGTACCCGCCTTCCACGTCTGATCTGTCTGTATTCCATACAACTGACTCTGATGCATTAATCTTTGGGAGGGGGGAGAATAGGCCAACGGATCGGCGGAACTTAAAAATATTTTTGCAATTGTAGCGGACTAGAACAACAACAACAATTTTATTGTACTAATAGTAAAAACAGAATTAGAAAAAGATTATAACAAGCTAATAATAATTCGTGGTACTGGCTGTCTGGAATAAGCAGGGGGCTAAAAAGACAAGACAGCCATTGCGGACTAATCCATTTTTGGGCCGTATTTTGGACTTTGCGTGTAATTAAAATATTTTTGCCCGGATTCCGAATTCAGGGCGAAATTTTAACGGCGGATTTGGTCAATAAATCATAACGGATCGGCGGAGGTGCATACTCCTTTTAACCCCGTCTTTTGTGATAATGATAGAGCTCAACGTAACCTGGTAATGATTAAAGAAAATAAATGTGGCTGGGAAGAAAAACTTCGAGTACTCCCCAAAATAGCAGAACTATTCTGGTAACTAGTCCAAATGCTCTTCCAATGAACTAGGAGACATCGTGGGAGCTGAGACCAGTGAACTAGGTTCATGTGACAAACATCATGAATGAAAAGGACAATAAGAAATGGTGACGAATATCACTTTGAGAAGGGAAATAAAATTTCTGTTAAAAAAATTCATAAAATGCTTCTTTTAGTCTTCCTTGGCTTATTAATGGCCTATTTGAAGCGTCATAGATTACGTAGTTATTTTAAAACAAATAACTGCCTTATCATTATTTGAGTTAAAACGGGAAATAATCATGCATTTTTCGCAAAAACTAAATAAACTGTTTAACTAGCCGATTTATGAAAACCGCACCAGCGGGCTCCTGGAGGCCACACACCTTAAACTGACTCAACTAAAGTACATATTGCCAAGAAACTCAGCTCTTACCTATGGGTCTCTTAACGGGTCTTAATGGGTCTCTTCTTGGTTCCTGATGAGTAAAAGCAAGCATTTAAGTCCATCCAAGAGACACTCCGGATCGACTTGGCCATACACTCTAGCTGCTTGAAGGCTCTAAATGACAAAGGATGCTTGAGGCTTAACCAAGTTCTAAGCAGAGAGTTCAAGGTTAAATCACCCCCAGACTTTCCCCCCTCAGCCTAGCACATGCTTGAGGAGAATGCTTTCACTGGCCAATGGGCCTCAAAAATTAAAAGAATTTGGCATGACAAACTAAAGGCAGACATGACGAGTGCACTGACTCTTCCAGAGCACGGCTAACGGGCAGTACCACGCTTTTGCAGCACCCTCTCCCCCTAGGAATTGACATTGAGGCCCCTTCCCAACCCATGGCAAGTTAGCTCAGGGACCGAGCTTGACAATGAGACCAACCAAGACAGCAAGCCCCCTATGTTTATTCCCACCGCAGTGACCAGAAACCTGGCTATCGCCAGGTTCCTGTGCGAATATTCTGGTCTGTTTTGAGGTGTGTTTTCAAAATTTCGGCTAGAATAACAGTAAGTAAATAAATAGAATGAAAAAATATTAAAAACTTCAATGTGTATTAGGTCCACTTTATTTCGAAAGTTTAGACAGCTTTGTAGTCCGGAAAGTATCTCACGTTAGCAATACTTGCGTTAAGGATCTAATTTTTGTGGCTCTCAAAGCAAGTCAGTGGTCAATAAGTGTAGCTACATTTGTAAATATAAATTTCACTTGGAAAAGTTTTATTAAATCGACCCCAGGTTCCTTCCTTATACTAGATTTGCTGAATTTACTGTACTAGGCCATTCTTAGGTGTGAAAGATGAACAAAAGAGATGCGTTGTATGAACTATACTATCTCATTCTCAAAGGCCTGGAAACCAGAGGCGCTGTTAAGAGTAGCCAAACGAGTGCTGTCTTAGTGTATTAAGCCAGTGACTCGCGTTTCATAATTTTTTTTTATCAACATGTTGAATGCACTTAAGCCTTTTTGAGCAAGATCAAATATGAGCTCGATTCCGCTCAGTCAACAATTTGCGACTCGTTCAACAATGAAAGTTTGATTTATATACTTGAGTCTGCAAACACGTCAAAGGGTGGTCACCTCCAGGCCCTCATCTGTAAAGAAGCAGTTCTTGTTCTTATATTCCACTTCCTCATCATCATCTCAGTTCAGAGGAACTTCGACTGATCTAACCAGGGGCTAAGGCACTGGCAAAGTGTATTATTTTTCTATTATAACGAGGGATCGTTACATTGAAGCTTTTTGCACAATTATTTTACTATTTCTAAACGAATAGAGCATTTTCACATGACGTCACGGTGGCCATATTGGAGTTCAAAAACAATGAAGCGGCGGCGACGTTCGTGTTCCAAGAAAATCCTTTGGGAGTTGAATTCTTGTCTCATGTAAATGCTTTCTTTTTTTCCAATAAATTAGAATAGATGCCAGCCACGTAAGTGAAAACGCTCTATAATAGCGGTATATTAGCTTTGCTCCTGGATCCCAACTTTATTTAGAAAGACCTCCTCCAGACAGATATCTTGGGGGAGGAGAGAGAGAGTCGCTGAGCGGCAATGCAATTTTTTTCGGAAAATAATTATGGTTTCTATAGGCCGTAAATTACCGCGCCTCAATCGAAATTGAACAAACGCGTTTGAGCATTTTACCTATGTTCACAAAAAAACGTATTCAACGAACTTGAGTTAGTATAAAGAAGGTGGGTGAAAAACAGAACTGTTGTTAATTAATATGCTGATGCCAGTGCAAAATTTTAATTAACTTTTTTTTAATACACAGGTGCTGTTACACAAATGTTAGAGTGGATTTTACTTGTTTTTGTCACAAATGTTTGCGGGATAAGCCGTATTTCAGAGACTGATTTCAAAGCTGTTAATTTTGCGATTGCGAAAGAAGGACGAAGGTTAAACGGAAACGTGATAAAAGAGATAGATGTGGAATCAGAAGGCGCGTGTAGGCTTCATTGCGTCAATGAAGAGAGATGCCGCTCTTACAACTTTAGAATCACAAACAACAAACCAGGCAATTTCTTGTGCCAGTTGAGTGAATCTGATAGATTTGCTGGATTCAGTAATTTTACAGAAGATGGTGATTTCAAGTACAAAGGGATACAGGTAATAACTGCTTAACTCAGAATTGTTGGTCAAGTCTAAAAATACTCCTCACGGATAGCTTTTCTCTTGTTTTCAAATTTACCTGTGGTTCTAGTCTAGTTTACGATCAACTATTCAGAAAAAAAAACGAAGAAAACGGAAAAAAAATCTTGCATGCTGTCGGGGATATCTTGAGACCTCAAATTTATTTAAATTTCCAGTTGTCAAAACACTGATTTACGCTTGAAAAAGATTGCCTAAATGCTTTACAGCGTAACTACGTCATAAAGGAAATGTATTTACTCGTTCATGAGTACATAGTTAGGGTGGCCGCGATTTGTTTGCAATTTGGAGAGCTACTCTTTTAAGATCAACTGAGTTCAGTAATCAGAGTTCCTCTCCGAAGGAACTCCAAAAATATTTCTAGCTGCCATACACCTGCTGGTGGTCACTGAAATGGGCTTATGTCGGTCATTGTTAATAATGCATGATAATTATATTGTTGATGTTAGAGAAACTTTATCCAGCTTTGCCTTCTGTTTAAAAGTGTTTCAAGAATAAAAATATGAACTTCCTCTTTCCATATTATTCCAGAAATTTTAAACCTCGTTCAGCAAAAAATGTGTGGTTTGATAAACTTAATTATTTCCCTGCATATCCACCCGGCTTTGTAATTTCATTGCATTTTCTCTAAAAATAGGTTTTTGTTTCTGTTTTTACTGAGTGAATTATTGTATAACACTTTTTAATTAGCATTATTTTACCAAAGTTATTGTAAATGTTAATTAAATCCAGGCCTTTTAGTGACTAGTGTGAGAAAAAACATGAGTTTAATATGACTAAATGGCAGATTCTGAGTAAAATTTTTTAAGAATAATCATTTCTCTCTCATAGTCGGCAGATTTTTGTTTCTTCCTAAGCATCCTTTTATACTCAGATTAAGTTAACTGTTAAAAATACCTCGATTTATACGAGTTTTAATTGGCATACATTCATGAGAGGACACAGAGGCTTTTTACTTGAAGTACCATCGCACGCAGGGAAGTTTTCTCCGCGGGCAGCTAATCCGACTTAATCCCATTTAATGTGTCGCGCTCCTCGAAAGTGCGAAAATTTTCTTGTCGTGTATTAGATTTCAGATACATTTTCTTAATCTTCATTTCGCGCCAGAATAAATTAGTTTGCGCGCAAAGGGCTCCTAAAAAAATCACAAGGTTTGTCCCACTTCGAGTCCACCTTCTGGAGATACGCCGGCTTGGTAACCGGAATACATTGCCGAGGCGAAGATCTGGCATTTTTTCCTCCTCCTCGTCTTTTCTTCACGACAAATGTTTATATTTGTAGTGAGAATGCATCGCATATCAGTGGATTTTGCTTCATGCGGCTAGCTACTTCTGAAAGAAGAGTGCCGGATTTCATCGTTTTGTTCATGTTTATTAGTGTTGGCAAATGTAAGGTAAATGAACCGACCACGTAAGGTAAGAATTGAAGTTTTAAATTTGTTACTCGGCGAAAAATCGTGGAATTGCAATTCGTGAAACTCCTGAGTATTACCTCTGTTACCTAATGTCATGCGATGACTCCTCGCTTTTTCGATGCGTAAAACGGATACAAACGATAAATTTCTTTCGCAAAGTGAAGTATAATTTACTTAACGAGACCATTTGACGACTATTTCTCGTTACATGCTTTATTCATTATATTTGCTTGAGTTATTCAGGCGACATGCCAGGAGTTTGATGACAATGTTTGTGTGCTATAATTATGCTGATAAGTTTTTGCACCTTTATATTGAAACTCATGTAAGCCAAACGTTTGTTAACTCTAGCAAAACACTCTTCTATTATGGAGGAACTTTTAACGTCTTTTGGGGCCCTAATATGGTGACAGATTTTTAGGGGAAACAAAGCTTGATTTTTGGCCAAACAGACTATAGCTTTTTTGCCTTTGAAGAGAGCGCGAGGCAAACGTCCGTGAGTACAGTGTAAGACAGTGATTCTTTAGTTGGCACACCCATGGGTGCAGTGTAACCCAGTGATTCTTTAGGTAGAGCTAACAAACATAGGCTGCACTTTAGGTGGCACACCCATGGGTGCAGTGTAACCCAGTGATTCTTTAGGCAGATCTAACAAACATAGGCTGCACTTTAGGTGGCACACCCATGGGTGCAGTGTAACCTAGAGATTCTTTAGGCAGAGCTAACAAACATAGGCTGCACTTTAGGTGGCACACCCATGGGTGCAGTGTAACCCAGTGATTCTTTATGTAGAGCTAACAAACATAGGCTGCACTTTAGGTGGCACACCCATGGGTGCAGTGTAACCTAGTGATTCTTTAGGTAGAGCTAACAAACATAGGCTGCAATTTAGGTGGCACACCCATGGGTACAGTGTAACCCAGTGATTCTTTAGGTAGAGCTAACAAACATAGGCTGCACTTTAGGTGGCTCTTTAGGTAGAGCTAACAAACATAGGCTGCACTTTATGTGGCACACCCATGGGTGCAGTGTAACCCAGTGATTCTTTAGGTAGAGCTAACAAACATAGGCTGCACTTTAGGTGGCACACCCATGGGTGCAGTGTAACCCAGTGATTCTTTAGGCAGAGCTTACAAACATAGACTTGGGATGGTAACAAGTTTTCCAGTTAAAACTTGGTCATAAAGTGCTGCACCATGGCACTTCGACTATTTCATTATCGCGCTTGTTTTGACGCACAATTGATAGTCAGGAGAAGTCGTATTGTCTAAAGCCATAGCAAAAGACAAATTTACACACATCACAGCGTTAAGGTAAGGTAATACACGGTATTTCCTTCAGGTACATTTACATTTTCTGTTAGGTTATAAGCGATTAAATCGCATGCAGCGACGAAAAAAACGCGAAGCCGTCAGATATTCTAGAACCGTGTTATTTACAGTCCTGTGCATTATTATAATTGCTTAACTAACTAACTACGCGCTGATGGAAATAAGTTTCGGCCGCTTTAAATTTTGAAACAATTCACTGGTACTGTATAGTCATGAATTGGAGCGGAAAGTTAGCACGCGAGCAGGGCGATTCAGTGGCGATTCTGCTGTGGTTTCTGTAATGTAGAAGATATTACGGCAATGAGGCTTCCGAGGTCCCTTCTGGAAATCACAACTACATGTAGGATGAAATGTATTCTGCGTGCAGACGTCTCCTTTTCCAGGTTAGGTTAAATAAACCGTACCAACGGTTTGTTTAACAAAGCTCCCGCGAGACGGTTTCTTGGTGATTTTATTAATTTTTCCGATCCACTTTTTTGTTTCAGCTCTATTTTCGCGGCTTTTGCGATACAAACTGTATTCATTTTTAGTTGTGATGGCATTACACTGCTTAATCATAACGGCTTTGGAAGAAACTGAATATATTGCGCTTCGCGATTTCGCAAAATTGCTGCGGGAATTAAAAAATATTTTCTTCTAAAAAAGCGTTTTCACGCTTCTTTCCGTCTCTAGTCAATTATCTCGTTTGTCTCGTTTTCTAAAGGTCCTTGAGAACAGAATAAGACAATATTTTATTACCTACAACCTAAAAACCCGATTTTTGACCAGATCGAAACAAAACTGACCTCTGAAATGGAAGAAGAAAAGCCTTTTATTTTTGCCGGCTTCGGCCTGCCGACGAGATCGTGTCTGTTTTGCTTTCATATGATGACATTTTCCTGACAGAAGGGTGTCGGGAAAAACACCTCGCGCTGATCATACGTGACAAAATCCGCCGCGCCTAAGCTAATTAAGAAAAGTCTCCTCGAAAGCTCCATACAATTCCTTATAACAAAATTATAAGGAATTGTATGGAGCTCTCCGGGATACTTACAGTGCAAGCCCTTTGTGTCTTCTCATGAAATAATTCAAAATGGCGGATGACGTCATCACGACATCACTGCTATTGTTAAACATCTTTTATGTGTTAGCCAACTTCCTTGATTTTATCAGAGACCCTAATATTTTTCGCTTTATGGCTAATTTGAGGGAAAAATGGATCCCGGCTGCCAACAAATTCAACAACATGACGTCATAATGACGTCAGATCACGTCATTGTGTCAATCCAGCTATGAAGTTGTAAATGATGAGTACATTATTGAGTGCAATTTTGGTGGCCGTAGGATGAGGGGTTTTAAAGGCAAAAAAAAAGCCCTGGGCTGAATAGGGTTAATGCTTGTCCACCAACATTACTGATCTGATATCAACTGAAAACTTTTTAAAATGGCCATAAACCTCCCGGTTTGTAATTCGAGGAACGGTCTTTTAAAAAAATAGATACCAGAAAAGCACAAACTTTATTTTGTCAAAATTGCTTTGCTAATAAATTGACATTACAAAATTTTTATTTCCACAACAAGCAAGTTGTTATTTACCAACGGAAGATTATATGTTCGTTTTTAATCTTGTTAAAGCATCGACTTGTCATGAAGACTCGCCAGGCGTAGAAAAAGGACAAATTTCTTTTGAACAACAATTTCCTTTCATACAGCTTAATTGGATTGCTATTGAGGGTAAACTATTGAGACTACGTGACGATATAAACATGCCCTGACCGCACAGTCTTGTCTTGGCTAAGAGTCCACATTCTAGGAGGTTATCTTCCTGCTCTTCATCTTTCTCGGTCATCTACTTAGTCAGGCTTCGTGGCAGGTATTTTGAAGGGAAATGGAGTATCATTAGGCGCGTGAGCACATCACGTTCACGTGCCCCTTTATTCATAAAACCCTAAATTGATGTTGTTGCTGTACTTGTTTATGTTGGGAACAGAGCGTCTGCGAAGCCAGCAGCGTAGATCCTTGCGGTGACAAAGGAATCTGCATCCCCGACTATTCCAAGGACAGCTTTACATGCAAATGTGACAAAGGTTATGGAGGAAGACCATGCGGTAAGCTGCAAACGTTTCACCTCTAAGGATCTTCTCCTGGGGATGAAATGAGGCTTTAACTATACACGACTTTATGGATAGTCAGTCAAAAGTTACACTTAAGCTCATTGACCTTTTAATTACCCATTTCAGAATTAATAAAAGACTGCTTTAAACTTGGTCAAAGTGGTGCCACATCAAGTGGAGTCTACTACATCATCCCAGATGGTGGCAGCCCAATACAAGTACTCTGTGACATGACTACGGACGGTGGAGGTTGGACCGTCTTTCAGAGACGTTTAGATGGCTCGGTAGATTTTTATCGGGCTTGGGAATCATACAGAAATGGATTTGGAGATCTAAACAGTGAGTTCTGGCTTGGAAACGAAAATTTACATCGTTTGTCAGCCTCTGGTGACGTCATGCTAAGAGTTGACCTGGAGGACTTTGATGGCAACATAACATACGCTGAGTATACAACATTTCAGGTAGCTGACGAAGCAGACAAATACAGGATTACTTTTGGAGGATACAATGGTACGGCTGGCAACTCAATGGTAGATAACGGAAGAGAGTCCCTAAAGTAAGCAAAAAAATCGTTGGCAACTGATTGTAACAATCATATCAATCTATCACTCTCTTTTTACCGTTACCGACAGGCAATCCGTCGCCATCGCCGACCACCTCTCATACCATCTAGGTCGCAATCAAATCAGGTTCATTATTTAACAATTAATGAATGAGGCTGAGTATCTTATGAAGAATTATAGAGATCGAGGAGCGATAACGCTCTCCGAGATCTTCATAATTCTTCATATCATAAGAAAGCCGAATTCATTCATTCAAAATAATTCCAAGTTAAAAACATAGCTAAAATATGCTTACCTCCATCAATGTTAAGTTCATCTTTGATAGTCCACGTTTAGGGTTCTTCAGCTTCGCAAATATTCTCCAAATAGAGGATGTCGCCCTTCGAGTTGTCTTCTAGCAGTTCTTGCATTGTTTTTAGCTATTATTTCGCCTAGTTCTTACTCTTGAAACGAGTAGAAATGTCCTCCATTTTTGTTTTCACAACCAAAACAACTCAACCTCGTCCCCAGGTCTTCTCGGTTAACGATGCATTAACCTGCAAGGAAGCTGCTCTTTTGACGTCATCGGTTGATTAATCGCAAAATTCTTCCAAATTTGGTCATCAGTAGCTGGTTATAGTGAATTATTCGTATGCTTTTAGCCAATCAGAATCGGGGAAATATTTTGAATGAATAACAATAATCGACTCCAGATTTAATAGCCTCTTTATGGGCATCTTAGAGGAGTCGCATCTGCATTCTTAAACTATTTAAGGTTCCTATACATACTATTAAAGCTGGCAAGTGTCCGCATATCTTTGCCATCAGCAAAAGTCTCAAATTACCGGTAGCACAATAATACAGAAATTTCTATCATTAGATCAAGGAGATCCTTAATGCACTCTCAGACAAATCAACCAGAACATGTAGTTGAGCTGTTTCAAACTAGCATTTCGTTTTAGTCTTCATTTTCTCGACACTTTTTTTTTCACAGTGGTCTACAGTTTTCGACTAAAGATGCTGACAATGATCTGGACAACAGCATTGTATCAGATCCTTGTGCTGTAAGGCACCACGGTGCATGGTGGTATTACTCCTGCAGCTGGGCAAATCTTAATGGTTTGTATCATGGAGGACCATACAGCACCAGTGGTATCAGTGATGGAGTAAAGTGGGTCACGTTTAGAGGACAGTATTACTCACTAAAACGCACTGAGATGAAATTAAAACCTAAATTGTAAAATTAAACAATAGTGATACGGCATCGAGTCGCATCATTATTAAGTGAATCGCAATTTAAAAATTGCGATCATAGGTAGGTATTTGAAAGCGTTTGGTACCTCCGCCCATAAAACTCCCGGGTCAAGAATGAGTCCAAGTATGACTTTTCTTGCGTTGGTTTTTGTATTTTGCAGCCTGTGCCAGGCACTCACGCGGCTTTTTGCACTGTTTTCTTGACCCGTTCTCCCCACTATCTTAGACCTTGGAATGCTATTGAAGATTACTCCTTTACACAAATAGACCCTATTCACGATAACCGCCATCTTTGCACGCGCTCAAGGACTGATGGGATTAAAGCAATGTCACTTGGTTTCTCAGGGGGCAAACAAGTGAAAAAATTGCCATTGGAAGAGATCGCGGTTGAGTTTGTTTATTCTAGACAAGAGGAAATGAAGACCTTTTCATCTTAAAGACGATAATGTCAAAAAATGGGTGGAAGTGGTCATTGTTGCTTTTTTGTTTGTAGTAGCGATCGACCGTAGATATCCTCTTTGCAAACAGTAACGACGAAATCTTGTCAAAATTCGATACGTACATTTTGAAGGACTATGAAATCGTCGTCTTGTTTTGATAGAAGTAATAAAATCGACCGGGATTACTCGTATTGGCAAATTTTATCACTTGTTTGCCCCCTGAAATACCACGTGACATAGCTAATATCCCATCGATCCTAGAGGACATGTAAAGATGGCGGGCATCGTGAATTGAGTCACGTTATCGCTTGATTTGCAGACTGGTGAAAGTCGTAAAAGGAGTTAGTCGCATAGCTGGGATTTACAAGCTTTGATAGACGCCGGTAGTTAATTTCATATAACGGTGATATTATTACAACCTCCCAACCCGAGAGTTGAATTTAGTCATGATATTTTCAGGGATAATTTAAATGATAAAAAATACATAAAGGCAAGTTCCATTGATTATATTTCGGAATACGAATACTCAGAATCTCTTTGACCGTTTTTTGGACCACTGTTGAAATGCCAGTTTTATATAGTTTTTACCATGCAATTTGCATTAAGCTCCCGCAACCAATTTGACGCCATAGGGGGACTAGCCCTGGCTTGCTATACAATAGCACACGCTCAGTACTGGTAGGTTTTAGCTGTATATTTCTTCAAAGATTCTCAGTTTTAAATTAAGCATGCAATTGTAATCTTCTAACGTCCTGATTTTATAGACAAACAGCCCATTTGGCAGTTATATAGGCGAGAACTATCACTCAGATTCACTTCATGAATTTCGAGAAGACAGCTGCAACAGGATAATGCGTTACTGATAAGTTAGCGTGTTTCATATACTTTCAATACTGGAACTTGATGACTGTTTCTCATAAACACAACGCCACAAGGAAAAGCTAAAAAGATCAGTATGGTAATAAAATCTTCATTTCAATTCTAGTACAAATATCTCAAAATATGAGCTGAATTCTTTCTTCCATTCATTCATTCATTCATTCATTCATTCATTCATTCATTCATTCATTCATTCATTCATTCATTCATTCATTCATTCATTCATTCATTCAGGCGGCCTCGGCCGAACTACTGTAGTCGCTTGGCTGCCTAGCCCGCTCTGTTGTCCAAGCAGTATGAGAGTTCGCTGGTGGATACGACCCTAGCCTCCCTCATCAGGGTTTCTGTGAATGTACACACTGCGCTATCGCGCGCGTCGTAGGTGTCCGTGAGTTGGTTGCCACACGACAAGCTTGCTTGCTGGCAATTCGGGGCTACGGCAGCAATGGCCAGCAAGACCAAGCCGATCCTTTCTGATAAAGTTGGAAGGTCGCCGTGGGGTGTGCGTTGGTGACTCGGTCTCGCCAGCTGGTGTTATGGACACGGCCTAGCATGGGGGTATATGATCCATTGGGAAACTTTACCATAGTGATAGTAAGTGACCCCCCTTTGCAGCCATAAAGCAAAACAGAGTCTATCGTCGCTTGAAAGAGTCGTATCTTAAGATCTCTAAAAAGACTGGATGACCAGATACTCGACGTGTCGTTAAGTGCCTACCAGGCTAGGCTGTTCCTGACTTTGATGTCCTTTTCGGAGGAGTTGACCCTTGAATCAAGGTATTTGAAGTCAGAAACCTCCTCCAAGATTTGACCTTGTCGAGAGCGTAGAGGTGGCTGACTTTCCACGTTACATGTTAGTACCCTCGTCTTCCTATCACTGAGCACTAGTCCAATGTCACTACACTCAACTTCCACCAGATCAAATGAGGTTTTTGCTAGGGAAACGGTGTTTGATAGCAGAGCACTGTTGTACGCTTGCTAAAGGCGGACGCCCAGGGGAGCATACAGTATGTTGTCCAGTATCCGGACGGTACCAGTATCCGGACACTTGAAACAAAAACTCAATTTTTGAGGCGCCCGTTTCAGTTCTCGGTAAACGAAGTATTTCGAATGAAAGCTGAACATTTCAGCTTTAAGATGAAAGTTTTGGAAACTGGAAAGCTTGCGAAACAGTCGCAGAAGACGCCGTTCTGTTCAGTAGGGGAAGGAGAAGCCTTTAGTTACTACTCCTTATGGGCCACTCTTCAAGGTGTGCCTTAACTGCTACCCCTTTCAGCAGATTACAATATTCACTTCTAGGAGTAAATAAATTAATTTTAGACATGAGAAAGGCGGCTTGAAGACAGCTAAATGAAATGCTATAAAAAAATCTTTAATGGTACAATTTTATTAAAAGTAAAGATAAAACGATTAATAAAACAGTACAAAATAAAAATTAGTTGTTCTAACCGAAGAGAGGGTGATTACAAGACTTTTTCATTACAACTCCAGTTAAAGAGGTGCAAGCGTCTTCTTAATATTAAGCAAAGGAAAAAGATTAATGATTATTGCAAGAAACAAAAGTTCACGAAAATATGCATCAAAAAGACTTCAAATACAAAAAAACGTTGTACGTACCAAACCGTCCAAGTCCGTCCTCTTACGGCAACATACTAAAAGAGTCTTGGAATAACTTCGCTCTTTAAGATAACCACCGCAGAAAAAGGTACAATTTCTAATAAACACTAAAACATTATGCTATGTTCACCACTATATCGCATAGCTTTTCGTGCCAACACGAGCGACAAGCTATCCGCTATGGTATCAATCACCTTTTCGATATGTGACTCTCCATTTAAGAGATCGGTACGGCGCAGCCTCGCTCCGTTAGAGAAATTGCGCCGAAATCACCGTTCATATGTGTGAACAGAAAAGCTTACATTGTATGGTTTTTGTGTCCGGGCAAAAGCTACCCGGTAGACTGTCAGCATAGCCTTATTTAAACAGGGTATATTGAGTCTACTGATTACTGACATAACACATTCTTGAAGCGATTCTAATTTCGGGAATGAAAATTCATTTTATCTATAATTTCCAACTTCTTATTTTACGTTCAAATTTGTGTTTTTGTGATTTTATTTGTCTTTTAATTATGCAACTCTAACAACTCCATAGAGATAGCGCTACATATTCATAAAGGGGCGATTTCTTGAAAACTTCAGCAATATGATGGTTTCATTTAGGTCGCCTGAAACATTTAAACCCAGAGTCTTCCCATAAAACCAATACAAATTTTTGCGGGGTCCTTCCTTTTGTTCAGCTGGAACTTGTCCGAGGCAGAGCACGAGCCAAACGTTTCCCTGTAGTCCCTACATCAGTTTCTGAGATCCTAAACGTTTGGATACATGGTTCATTCGTCTAAACGAATACTTACTATTTATGGCCTTGGTCACCGGTTAATAAGGCTGTTTTTACACAACATCGTTCTAGCCTGCAGCACAACGAAAAGGTGCTGAGCACCAGTAAAATTGATCACTTTCCAAGGACAATTAATATATCTTAAAACACCTGTTATATCGTAAGCTCAATGTCCAGTTGAAAATGCTGCTACTATGGCTTGTACTCGTTTTTTCTGAACATGTATCCGGCTTAAGCCGAATCTCAGAACCTCGTTTTAAAGCTGTTAACTTTGCTGAGGAGAAAGAAGGACGAAAGTTGAACGGAAGCGTGATAAAAGAAATGCAAGTTGATGCAGAGGGTGAGTGTAGGCTTCGATGTGTCGATGAAGAGCAATGCCGCTCGTATAACTTTGGACTCAAGAAGCATAAAGCCGGGAATTTCTTGTGTCAGTTAAACGGTTCCGATAAATCTGTTGGCTTTGGTAACTTCACAAAAGATGACAATTTCAAGTACAGAGGAATGGAGGTAATAAAGGTGAAATTAAAGAAGAATGGCCATCAGTAAAGGCTCGGGGGGGTACTCCCTATAATGGCCTCTACGGGGGGGCTCAGCCCGAAAGTACCTTTTTCAGGCTGCAGGTATATGAAAGGATAGGGATTTTACTCTTTGAAGTATACGAAAGGGAAGGGAAATCTGTCATTTGGGTCTGTGAAAGGACCCAAAGGGCTAACAGATGAATTGTATGGCTTTATAAGTCGAGAAAAAGTTCTATTTTTGAGATTGATTCCTGTTTTTAAAAAACGACAGTGCATTTACAGCAGTGAAAAGGGATCAGCAAAGTTCTACACAAAATATATGAAAGGGATTCCATTTGTTAATAGAAGGTACACGAAAGGGATACCTTTTTCGTGAACAATGGTATATAAAAGGTTAAGGGGTTGGACCTCGGGGCGGAGCCTACCCGTAAAAATATTTGTTGAGTGCCCCCCTTCCCCCAACCCCCGGAGTAAAGGATTGCCTCTTCGGACGGTTTCAATTGTCGCAGCATATCCCACAGTGCCGAATGCAAATGAGCTTCAACAAAGGATTTTCTATCCTCATAAGCATTAAAATCGGCAGATGAAAAATGGGACGTTTGAACTTGACATGAAGGAAAAAATAGCCACAAAAAATATGGAAACTCGCGGGTAAGGTAGGCTTCACTTAAAAGATTTTACAAGTGATGAATCTGTTATTATTTTTTACGAGTGATGTATCTGCTGTTTTTTGTTTTGTTTTTTGTTTTTTTAACAGAGTGCCTGCGTAGCCAGCAACGTAGATCCTTGCGGTGCCAAAGGAATCTGCATCCCAGACTATTCCATAGACAGCTTTAAATGCAAATGTCACAATGGCTATGGTGGAATACCTTGCGGTAAGGTTTCACCCCCACCCCCCTTCCAGAGTCTCCTCCCTTCCTGGGGATGGAAAGTAATTGACTACGACTCGAAGGTTGTTTCTTCATCTGTAAACATCTGTCTGTCTGTTTGTTTTCAATTTGTGTTTAACATGTCTTTATTTAGAAAGCAAAGTTTAAACTCGGATCAAAGGCTTTCTCGAAGTCTATGACGCGGACATTTAGTAAATATATATGAGGTTTAGTCTGAATAATTCTTCAGATGCTTTGAAAGCCAAATTTCATGCTTTTATTGCTCTATCGAGTACGTTAAAAACTCATTTACCTGTAAATTACCTTTTTCAGAGGTAGTAAAAGACTGCTCTAAACTTGATCAAAGTGATTCCACATCAAATGGAATATATTACATCATCCCAGATGGTGGCAGTCCAATACAAGTACTGTGTGACATGACTACGGACGGCGGAGGTTGGACCGTCTTTCAGAGACGTTTAGACGGTTCGGCTGACTTTTTTCAGGGCTGGGAATCATAAAAAAATGGGTTTGGAGATCTAAACGGTGAGTTCTGGCTTGGAAACGACAATCTTCATCGTTTGACAGCCTCTGGTGACGTCCTATTGAGATTAGACATGGAGGACTTTGACGGCAACATAACATACGCAGAGTATACAACATTTCAAGTAGCTGACGAAGCAGATAAATACAGAATTACGATTGGAGGATACAATGGTACGGCTGGTGACTCGATGGTAGACAACGGCAGCGGGGTCACCCTGAGGTAAACAAATAGTTGGTTTATCTATAAGGAGGAAAACGCCGTGGCCAATTTCATAGTCAGAGCCCAATTTTATAATCAACAATCTCTTATTTCCTTTTCTTTGCAACCAAGTTATTCTTACATCTGTGATCTTTTTCGATTCTTTCTACTCTCACGATAATCAATCTCCATCGCAGACCACCTCTTTTAATTAAAATCATATTTGAATTTGGACAAAATATGACTTTTCAGAAAGACCTTTAATACTTTGTTTGAACGCTGAGCATCTTGAGGGCCTGATCTCAGGCTAAAGTGCTTACAGACAAATCAACCACGAAAATACTAATACTCCTTCCAGCTTGAAACATAGTTTGTCTGTAGTACTCATTTAAGCAGGCGCGTCATTGCTCTTTCTTTACAGTGGTCGACAATTTTCAACAAAAGATGCTGACAATGATCTGGACCTCGCTGTGACACCCTGTGCTGTTAGACACCACGGTGCATGGTGGTATCATTCATGCAGCTGGGCAAATCTTAATGGTTTGTATCATAGAGGACCTTACAGCACCAGTCGTGTCAGTGATGGAGTAAAATGGACCACATTTAGGGGAATGCGTTACTCACTACAACGAACTGAGATGAAGTTAAAGCCAAAACCGTGAAAAAAAAGTGACATTGCAACAATTTAACTGTGGCATCATTTAAGCTTCGGTCATATAGTCACGTCATCGTTATGCTAAAAAAGCAGATGAAAAAAATGGTAAAGAGTACCCAACGAGGCACTCATGGGGCTTATGTCAACAACCCTAGATACAATTTGGTGATACAAAGTGTGAGAATTTTCAGCATTACAAGCACAACATATCCAGACATCAGCACTAACCGATGATATAATTTTCAATATACAATCATTAAGGTAATAAATGTACCAAGGTCGCTTATTATGACTATTGGGGACTTTAAGAGTCCAACGACCCGACGGCAACGAGAACTTCGCTTTAAAAATGAATTTGCGTTCTTTCAGTCTTTATCGCAATTATTCCTACTCTCTTACTTTGTCAAGTGTAGGCTAATTCTCCTGGAGTTGAATTCCTAGGACCATATCCAACGGTTCAGAAAATGAAATAAATTTCGTCGTTGCTTGTTTACTCACTCCAAAAGATGCGAAATTAGGCATTTTCAAGTCGTAGTCGTGCAAAAGCGGGCAAAGAAATGTACAAACAAGCGCGATGCACGTGCAAAGTTTTTGTTTGGCTTATAAAACCTATTGTTTTATGACATTCTCGTCAGCCGTCCGCGTCTTTGGATCTTAAAGTCCTTATTATTGCAGAGAAACTTTAGGTAATTTCAACGAATCCTGGAAAAGGAGTCAACATGAGTTGCGAAAAGATCCGGAACGTAGCAAGATATTAAGACTGGGGTTTAAAAGTGTACACTGCCCCGGGAGACCCCAGAGAAATCAGTGACTGTATTTGATCAACACTTCACACAAATCGGGCCATGCTTAGCCAGCTGTTTCGTTAGCCAAATACATTCTTCCTACACCTATTGCCTTTAGAGAATCCTGACATCATCTTTTCTTTAAAGAAACTTATGGAAATTATGTGTATGAAATCATCAAACCTTTAAACTCAAGGAAAGGATGTGACCTTGATGGAATTTCCCGTAAACTGTTGTAAGAAGCGGCACCAATAATAATACCATCCGTAACGTTTATCATTGATTTGTCAATAAAGACTGGAATATTTCCTGGTTACTGGACAATTTCAAAAGTATCCCTGATTTATAGGAAAGACATTAAGTTTGATCCAAACAATTGAAGGCCTATCTCTGTCTTGTTAGGTATAGGCGAATCCTTGTTTACATTTTTTGCCTCACTAGCGTAGGTTTATCATTATCTGATGAAACTAATAAAATGAAATTTCTGTTATCTCTGAAAATGTGAGCCCGATATACCAAATAGCTTCGGAGAAAATCTCTTTGAAAAACCCTCAAATTTACAAAGAATGTATGAGCTCATTAACGTTTTGCCACCCAGTAATTTTGCAATTTTTAATTGCTAATAGTTTACTTTGTTACTGATTGCAAAGAGCTGAATCTTGCACAAACTCTATAAATTAACCAGCTCTTTTAATTTTTGAATCTTCTATGGGTTAACTCGTATGCTAATGCGCAAAAATGTAAACAATGACGTCACGATGAATCCGCCTTTAACAATAGTGAAGATTGCCTTCAACCAGCTTGTTAAGGATCTACAGGAATTGAAAATTCACTCCTAGAAGATTCTCAACATGATTTTATGCCAATGCATTTAACCCTTAGAGCCCTACGTGAAGCCACTAACGACTGGTATCTAAATATTGACAATACCATACTAAATGATATACTTTTTCTAGAGCTGAAGAAAGCTTTCGACACTGTCGACCATCAAATCTTATTTCAAGAGTGTAAATTATATGGAGGAGACACTCGTAATATTTCCTGGCTTACCTCTTTTCTTTCGGATCGCACAAAGTGTACCTATGTAGGCGGTTCTCTTTCGAAGAAACTGCCAATTGTCTTTGGAGTGCCTTATGGGTTAGCCTCCCACGCAGACGTTCTTAGGGGTTCGTCACGCGTTCCTGCCCCACACGTGGTGGGGCAGGAAAGCGTGACGAACCCTAAGAACGTTTGTGTGTGAGGCTACTTAAGGGTCTGTGCTCGGACCCCTGCTTTTCTTTTTCTACATCAGCGATCTCCAAGCGGGAATTGGGTAAGTATGTATGAGACAGCACTTATTCAGAAGAGGAGCTTTTTCAAGTATAAATGGTACGTGGTGCAACTAAATGACGAGATAGCTGACGTATTTTGAATCAATCCGTGAAGCAGTTTATGCAAAGGAAAATACACCAGCTTTAGGAACGGGATGAACAAAATTGTTCGAAACAAATGGGTTGCTTACTAATTGGGGCACCCTCCGCGACATTCTGATAAAAAAATTTGAATTACAGAGGTTGTGTTAGAAAAATGGCCGGGTGGGTTTTACTTGTTTTTGCCACAACTGTTTATGGAATAAGCCGTATCTCAGAGCCTGATTTTAAGGCCGTTAACTTCGCTAAAGCAAGAGAAGGAAGGCGGTTAAACAGTAGCGTGATCAAAGCAATGAATGTGGATTCAGAAGGCGCCTGCAGGCTTCAATGCGTCAATGAAGAGCGTTGCCGCTCTTACAACTTTGGAATCACAAAGAACAAACCCGGAAAGTTCCTGTGCCAGTTGACTGACTCTGATAGATTTGCTGGGTTCAGTAATTTTAAAGAAGATGATAATTTCAAGTACAAAGGGATACAGGTAACTGCCACTGAACGCAGAAATGAAAATAGTTACAATATCGGACGTAAATGCTACACACAGATAACTTTTCTCTTGTTTCAAACCTGTGTCTCTTGGCTAAGTTTTGGATCAAAACAGGCATTTGGCACTGGGTATTATCTCGATACTTAAAAAGCGCTGAAAAAAAGTTCGTGTTTGCTAGTACTAAATATGATTAAGGCACAACATAACTTCGCGAAATGAAAAATTATTAGTATTATTACAATATGCTGATAGACTAACAAATCGTTTATGAAATTAGTAAGAAAGTTTTATAGTTTGAGGTAGTTGCGATTTCTCTGTGAGCTAAAGGGCCACACCGTTGCGACCAGTACGGTAATCAGAGTTCTTCTCAAGAAACGGGATTTTTTTGGCACGTAAGAAAACTGACATTCTCAGTGTTCATATCAATTATGCATGACATGTCGAGAAACTAGCCACCTCTCCTTTCTGTTTCACGAATGAATTTCAAGTTTCAATAATAACGAAATGAATTTCATGTACAAACAATGTAAACATTGCTTTCCAAGAAATTCTACAACTCGTTCACAGATGCGATAAAACTACACTTACCATCTTCTACAACTTTCTCATATTTAATTTTTGTTTCCTCTATTGTATCCATTCCGTTTTCAATTATTCAATATTTCCCAATCAATTATTCAAAACTTTTCAATCGCAAACCAAATGTCCGGCAGTTTGGCATTTCGCGAGTCAGCTTTACAATTAACCTAAAAATAATTATAGTAATTATTGGATTCGGCTTTCGCATGATTTGAAAATCTAGGAGGGTATTATTCATTCCGCAATTCTTAACATGTTTACCTCGATCAATATTAATTTTTAATTTGCGTGGTTCCCGACTTCATAAATTTCGGATAATATGCAAATCTAGGATAGAAAGGGATGTTTAGTCTAGCAGATATATTGGGATCAACTAACAAATGTTATCAAGACATTCGATGCAAATTTTTCTTCCTTTTCATTAGCCGAGAGCCCACCACGTGACCTGCAAATAACTGCCTGCAAATAATGGTCTGCTCATGCACAATGTCGTCCACCTATTATTCGTCCAGATATCATTCCACTCATGCCAAAATGAAACCACGCTTTTCTCCTCCTTGCGATCGCTTTTGCGTGAAAATGGCAGATCGTTTCGCTTCTCCGAAGATATTCATTAAAAAACAAACTTGCTGATCGAATGACAAAACTATTTTCCGTTAACTTGTATTCTTGCTCATGTCTTACTGTGTTTTTAGGCAAAAGTTCGGTTTTTTCTTCCGTAAAATTTCCACCATTTTCCCCAGCTACAGCCAAAACTACTAAGCTAACGGAACCTCGATCCCTTGGGCTTCTCGGTTGGCGTGAAATATCCTGTATTAGTATTTACCGAATAGGTGAATTGCAATTTTCGCGAGTTTGATTGGCTCCCGTAACTCGGAATATCCTTGGCTATTCACTGTTTTGCGACCGGAGCCAAGATAGCATCTCATTTCGAGACATTTTCGGAAGACGAAATTTGAGCGATAAAAGAAGCAGTCGTACAAACAAATACCAAGAGAGCGACGAACTTTGGCTTGTCGGTGTTTACTGGTAGGTAGAAAATTATTTTCTGCTGAATTATATTTGCAACAAAATCATAAAAATGCATTTGAAAAAATCCCCGAAAGGTTTGTAAATTGTAAACAAACTTCCTACCAAGTGACGATTTTAATTTATAAAAAGTTGCTTTTTTTCATTTTTATCCAACTGCTTTGGTAAATACTAAAGCAACTTTCCCCCTCAGGGTCGGTGAACAGCGCTAGATATATACCTCGATGCTTCGCGTCTTGGTTTATTCACCTCCCCTTCGGGGGATAGTTGTATACTATTCGTGGAATGCATTTTTCTTAAAGACCTTTGAATGGAATGCATTTTTCTTAAAGACCTTTGAATGCAGAGGTTCACTCAACTCGTACAAGAAGCAAATGACTTTAATTTGCCGTCTCTCATTCGTAGGAAACGACATTTACTCGAACAAATCACCACCTGGAACCCCACGACCACCAGCATAATGATGTAAATATTGATATCAGTGCTGACTTTTGGGGGCCGAATCGCAGACGTTTCGCCTGCGAAACGTCCCTAGCGGCGAGGGCCGAGAAGAGACGGCTGCGTTCGCAGGAAATTAATTTAATAGAACCCTAAGGCTACTTGAAAACGGAGACAATGTTGGCCAACAAACTTGGGAATTGATGCGTCCGTGTTGGTGTGTAAACGGACTCAGTGACTCTCAACAATGCTGGGACCTACATGGAAGAGCTTTGCAAACGGGATCCAAAATTGTTGCGCTACGCTTCGGCGATGACGGAACAAAATAAATGTTGGGTGTTGTTGGCTCAACATTTTGACCGGTTTCAAACTTTGCGCAACAACTCCGAACATCCCGCAACAACATGCAACAGGGTGTGCAAACGGACGCAACATGTAACATCCAGCAATGTTGGGAGTTGTTGGCCAACAACATTGTGTCCGTTAGCACGGGGCTTTAGTTATTTTCCTTGCTTTTAAAACAGAGTGTCTGCGAGTCTAGCAACGTGGACCTTTGCGGCGACAAAGGAATCTGCATCCCAGACTACTCCAAAGACAGCTTTACATGTAAATGTGACAAAGGCTACGCAGGAACAGGGTGCGGTAAGTTACAAACGTCCCATCCCCTAGGTCTCTTCCACCTTGAGGGTTTGAAGAGGTAAGATTCTAATTATTTTGCATTAAATGTGACTTGAAGTCGTTTATTTAGCTGTTAACATCTAATTCTTCCCAAAAGAAGTCATTTACTCGTTCTTATTATAATTCAGTTCAAAGCCCGGGAGATAAACGCCTTCTCGTAGTCCAAAGAATATTTAGCAATTATTGAATAAGGCTGAGGAAAACTTTCGAGGCTTCGTGGTCTTAAAGATTAACACCATACACTCTGCTAACTGGAGCAAGACTAATAAATATCAAACATTACTGTCAATATAGAGCATCAAAATTCCGTTACGTCAGAGGTATTTTTTACTACATAGAGCACTTCCCAATTGTCCGTTGACGGTTTCAAGAGTGTCCGTTATCCGTTTTAGAGAGATGTCCGTCTAATAAAGTAGTCCGTTAACAGAGAGTTGACTGTAAAACGAGGGGGTGATGAAAGAAATCGAGACAGTACTAGAGGGCTTAAGGCGGCTCGGTTATCACAAATTTTGTGCCATAACTTTTTCGGCTTTAACGCAAAGGCTACAAAAGTTTGAAAAGTCCGAATATACAATTATTTTTGAAAAGAGGTGAAGAACCTTTTGACAATGTGTCAGCTTGGCGCGCATATATCATTGTATAGTTTGCGACTCTTATTTCAACTCATTTAAATTAAGAGTTATAAAACAGTTTCCAAATAATGATATTTGTCGAAAGATTATCTGGAAAAAAGTTCACACCCAAACTCTTTTGCCTCTTTTACATTTCAGAATTAATCATAGAAGACTGCTCTAAACTTGGTCAAAGTGGTTTGGCATCTACTGGAATCTACTACATCATCCCAGATGGTGGCAGCCCAATACAAGTACTCTGTGACATGAATACAAACAATGGAGGTTGGACTGTCTTTCAGAGACGTTTAGACGGTTCGGTTGATTTTTTTCAGGGCTGGGAATCATACAAAAATGGGTTTGGAGATCTAAACGGTGAGTTCTGGCTTGGAAACGACAATCTTCATCGTTTGACAGCTTCTGATGACGTCATGATAAGAGTTGACTTGGAGGACTTCGATGGCAACATAACATACGCAGAGTATACAACATTTCAAATAGATGACGAAGCAGATAAATACAGGATTACGATTGGAGGATACAATGGTACGGCTGGAGACTCGATGGTAGATAACGGAGGGCAGACACAAAGGCAAGCAAATATTTCGCCGGTAATTAATTTGTAGCAACAGAAAAAAAGACCAATACCACGCTTATAACTGGCTCCCCCACTTACAAGCCACCCCCAGTTATAAACCCATCTATAGACCCGTAAACACACAAAATACATCCGATTACAAGCCTCCGGATATGATTGAAAGGCTTGTTTCAAACGTCGTGCTACTGCCGTGCTAAGCTGAATCTACTGTAGCTCGACTGCAGCACGACACTAGCACGACTTGGTTTCAGGTCGAATTTAATTCAGTCGAATAGAACGGCTGTTGCCTAAAACAAAACACAAAAATAAAGAAACGGTTTAGCAAACTTTAAATGTATTCTTATGTATTTATAATTTATGAATTGAGTTCGGCACGGCAGTAGCGCGACGTTTGAAACCAAGTGGAGCTACTGCCGTGTAGCAGGGCAACGCTTGCCATGCTACACGGCAGTAGCACAACTTGGTTTCTAGCGCTGCGCTACTGCTGTGCTTAAGTCGATTTTAATTCGATCAATTTAGTTCGGCACGGCAGCAGCACGACGTTTAAAACGGGCCTAAGCCCCTTACAAATCTATTGAATTCGATTTATTATCAATGACATTTTAAAGCTTAATTAAAAACCAGTAAATGCAAAACGTATTAGGACTGCTATATCTTGTTTCAAAGAGCTGTTTCTATTTCGGTAATACAACACCTGGGATATAGCCCCTCTGTTTATAAGCCCTTCTACATCCCTTACGAAGATGTTTAGGCCCAAGGAGAAGAGGCAGTTAAAGGCCGTACTATCAAATCAGCAGTCTTTCATATACTTTCTTTACAGCTCACCTTACACTGCTGTTACAAGTCTTTTTACCCTTACAATAAGTGATCGCCAACGCTGACCACCTCATAGATAGATACCTTCTCTCTGATATTCAAACCATTTTATTAATTTGTAGAGTCAAGTAGACTCGTAATCGACCACAGCCACATAAGTGGCATCTGTATTTTAACTGCAGGTGTAGCAGTGAGCTGAAATGCACAAAGCCTTTACTTCGGAAGCATGATGCGTATTACTCGAATCACCTCATGTTGGGCAGGGGAATTTCGCTTGCGGAATATGGAATCCTGGTTTTTAGAATCCGGAATGTAGCTCAAGAAATCTGGAATTCAGAATCTAAGACTAGCTTGGATTCCCTTGTATGGGACGACTCGTAAATCCTAAATCAAAATCCACCTTGAAATCCACCTCGAGATCCTTTCTTCAAATCCTAACTCGGTAAATAGATCACCTCCTGACAAACAAATCTCTTTGTTTAATTTCTGCCATTATCAAACTGTGACTTTTTTCTGCAGTAATTTACAGTTTTCAACCAAAGATGTCGACAATGATCTGTATGACCCTGACAATTGCGCTGCTTTACTCAGTGGAGCATGGTGGTACCACTCCTGCAGTTGGGCCAATCTAAATGGTTTGTATCGTCGAGGAACTTATAATTCCAGCTACTTGCCCCACGGAGTAAAATGGGTCACGTTTAGAGGACAATATTATTCTTTGAAACGCACTGAGATGAAATTAAAGCCTAAACCATAAACAGCAATGGTATTACCGCATTATGATGACCTATGATTTGCGTCGCATCATTTAAGTTGGTAGACATTTGACACCACTTGCTACCTAATCTTATCAAATTTCCAGTCTAAGATTGAGTGCAAGCAAGTATGACTTTGTAAGTGTAGTTACGGCTTCAGACTACAACCCGGTCAATCAGTTGGAAATGGCTGAAATTGGCCAGGTTGGTTTTTTCCTTTTTATATTTGCCAAGACAAAGACGAGTTTCACAGGAACAGCGCAAAAAAAATGTAATAGAAGAGGAATGATAATAATAATAATAGAATTTATATAGCGCTTATACATCGCTGTTCTAAGCGCTGTTCTAACGATCTCAAACTTTTAGCCGTCGTGACTGAACAAACCTGGTCATAATATGGCCAAAGCAAACTATTTTGCTATGGAACAAAGCGGAGCAGTCTCGAGTGGCAAAATAGGCCCTAAATTCTTGCTTGGGTAGACAATCCGAAAACAGGATTCCCTTTATCTTGCCCACTCGCAGGCCATTTAGACAGCCCACTTCAGGTTAATTCTGAACCTGAAATTTTTAATTGATAAAGTGACAATTCGAATACGATTGGTTTTATCATGTGACACTTGTTAGAATGTATGTTTACAAGTGCCCATTGCAGATCAAGTGATGTTTGTAAGCGAATTGATCTTTTGCCTTGCAATAAATAAAGGATGAATGCAAGTGATTATCTTCAATTTCCAAAAGAGCGTAAGAACTCCCTTTTTAGTCAGTACAGGCTTTGCAGGACTGGCTAAATACTCAACCAAACCCTGCCCCCCCCCCTCCCCGCCCAATCCCCGTTTGCCTCCCTTGCCAGCCACTATAGCCCACGTTCAATGTATTAATAAAAATTCTTAGTAACATGACTCGGAGGCTTTCGGGTGAAAATTGCAAATTGTTCACGACTCCGTTGTCTCGCAATTCCCAGAAGAGACTTGAGTACAAAGAAAACCAAACCAAATATATAGAAATGACCAGAAATCAACGGAGTCATGGTAGAATTTTAATATATCGAACGTGTGCCATTGGCACAAAATGGGCTTACCTCTTATTTGTGTTAACCTAATAAAGTTTTAGGATTATTACGCACGAAGATGAACATTCCTTGCTCTTTCAAAACTTAGGGGCGAGATCAGTTATCTGTATATAAGGGGGTCTTAAAATAATTTACTTGTGTTCACTGAAAGTTTGGATTAAGCCGGTAGGTGGCCTGCGTCGAAGACGTACTTTAACATCGGTTAGTGACGTCTGAGAAGCATCGCCGAGATATATTCTCGTTGTAGGCCCCCAACGGACTCAACGAATTACCGGAGGTGCGTTTGGAATTTCCTTTATTACTGATTGGCAAATTAACGACGTCTTTTTTCACAGGCCAATCATGGAGCGTATTCAAATCTTGGTACACAGTTGTGGCCCAGAACAAGGATTTAGGCGCTGTTTTGCCGACTGACTTAACCAGAGTTAAGTTTCGTCTGTGGCGCAGGCCAGCTGGTACGCAGATTACCAGATTTAAGTTAAAAATCGCATCTTGGCCACAGTTGTAAGTGCAAAATGTCTTGGCCAGTTTTTTTACGAAGAATATTAATTCACTAAAGGGGTGACTTTGAAGAAACAAGCCGGTCAAATTTAATTGATCTTTAGATGTCGGGACGATATCGTTCTTGTAGCAGAAACCAGGCTCCAGAGGGAAACAACACAACGAGAAGATACTGGGAACCAGTATAACTAATCATCTTTAAAGGAAAACTTAATAGTTATATATTAAAACACCTGTTACACCGTTAAAGTGATCCGTGAAAAAATGTTACTGTGCCTTGTACTCGTCTTTGCCGAAACTGCATCGGGCTTAAGCCGTATTTCAGGACCTCGTTTTCAAGCTGTTAACTTTGCTAAGGCCAAAGAAGGACGAAAGTTGAATGGAAGCGTGATAAAAGAAATGCAAGTTGATGCAGAGGGTGCGTGTAGGCTTCAATGTGTCAATGACGAGCAATGCCGCTCTTACAACTTTGGACTCAAGAAGCATAAAGCTGGGAATTTCCTGTGTCAGTTAAATGGTTCCGACAGATTTGTTGGTTTTGGTAACTTCACAAAAGATGACGATTTCAAGTACAGAGGAATAGAGGTAATTAACCATCAAAATAGAAATGAGAAATTTTATCCTTGTCTGAAAAGTTTCACCAATGATTGACTATAGATTGAAATTTGTCAAAATATAGGTTTTCGTAAGATCGATATCACTTTTTTATATGACAACAACAAACAAAAAACTTTGAAATTAATAAACGCCTAATTCTGAGCGATCTAGACCAGCTACTGAAAATCCAACACTAGGAACTTAAAGTTTGGTAATTAGCAAATAACCTCCGTAAGAAGTAAAAAATTCTGTTTGTCTGAATTCGATTCAAAGGAAAATATATTTCAGACCTTAAATTTTCAATAGGCGTGATAAATTATTTAATAAAACGTTATAAATGACACAAATTAAAGTAAATTCTTAAGTAGCGTCAGAATGCTGCTTAATATCATATTTCGATGCTGGGAAATTTTGGTGTATTTTCGTTCTTACGATCACTTAAAAACTAACCCGTTTTCTCACCACCTGTCTAAGTGCAACTTCATTCAAAATTTGGACTTTTAGCGCTTTTTTGTATATCTCTGAAACGACTCGAACTATTTTTTTTTAAATCTCTTCACATAATCTTCATTATTATATGGCTGAGTCTGTTTCCGCCATGCGATTGGTCAATTTGGGGTCTGTAACTTGCTATACGGACCAAAATTTTTCAAGAAAATGATCATTTCGGAGCTCTAAATCTCTTTACCTCGGAAAATTGATTTAAATAAAGTAATAAAACGCCTGTCAACCTTGAAGACTTGGATGTTGACTTTGGCCTTCAACATTTTAAACTGTGTTTATTTGTGAACGAAGGCGACGAAGAAACAGAAACTCATAAAGGGTTGAACAACCCCTTATGAGTTTCTGGAAGAAACTAACTCGTAATCTTATCGACGAAGATTCTAGTCAGTGTTTGAAAATTTTATCGTAGTACACAGTTAAGAAGACGAAAATCGACTGGCAGAGATTCGAGATGTTTTGCCTGAGATAAAATGAGTAATTCCTTCAACAAATATGATAGCAAACATACCTGCACCCGATCATCTTGACAAGCTTCTTTGCCATTTGCAGTGTTTTTTCAAAGACCAACGAAAGAAAGATAGAAGTGAGTTCGAGCCAGACACAATAATGTCCAGTTTTCAAAAGACTCAAGCGTCACATTAACGAGTGAATACTTGCATTGCTCTTAGTTTCCACCGAATAAACTTTGAAATATGTATGTAAACCCTGAGGTCTGGGATGTTGACTTTGCCTTCCCAAATTTTAACCTAGCTTTGTTTTAATGAGAACGAAGCTGTTGTAGAAACTGAATCGTAACTTTACCGAGGAAGAGAATTTTAGTCAGTGTTTGAAAATTCTAAGGCAGATCACAACTGAAGACGAGGATGAACTGGCAGAAAGAGAGGTTTTCCCAAAAACAATTAACGGGCGAATCCTTCGACAATGACAACAAACTTACCTTGAAAAGCTTCTCTGCCTTTCGCAGTGTTTTTTTTTTTCACAAGGACAAACGGAAGAAAGATGGAAACGACTTCTAGACAGACACAGTGTCCTGTTTCCAAAATACTCCAGCGTTACATTAAAGAGCTAAAACTTACAGTGCTCTTAGTTTTGACCGAATAAACTTTTTCAACATGGCGAATTTGTTTTTACTTTCTCGGAAAGCCTTTGCTACGTGCTATCGTTTCCATGCGCCGATAAAAACTTTCTTTCTTGACGCCTCTCAAATGACTGTCAAATCGTGCGTCCTGCACTTGTTTCCGGTCCCCCAAACAGGAAGAAGCCATATAATAAACATCTTATTAGCCTCGTTTTTTCGGTCCGTACTTTAAATTACGGATCCTCGTTTTTTTTTCCATCGATTTATGGCCCGCGCGCCATAAATCGCCATCTTTAGCAAAACATCTCGAATCTCTGCCAGTCGATTTTCGTCTTCTTAACTGTGTGCTACGATAACATTTTCAAACACTGACTAGAATCTTCGTCGATAAGATTACGAGTTAGTTTCTTCCAGAAACTCATAAGGGGTTGTTCAACCCTTTATGAGTGTCCGTTTCTTCATCGCCTTCGTTCACAAATAAACACAGTTTAAAATGTTGAAGGCCAAAGTCAACATCCAAGTCTTCAAGGTTGACAGGCGTCTTATAACTTTATTTAAATCTTTTTTCCGAGGTAAAGAGATTTAGAGCTCCGAAATGATCATTTTCTTGAAAAATTTTGGCCCGTATAGCAAGTTACGGACCGCAAATTGACCAATCGCATGGCGAAAACAGACTCAGCCATATAATAATGAAGATTATGTGAAGAGATTTTTAAAAAAATTAGTTCGAGTCGTTTCAGAGATATACAAAAAAGCGCTAAAAGTCCAAATTTTGAATAAAGTTGCACTTAGACAGGTGGTGAGAAAACGGGTTAGTTTTTAAGATCGCAAGAACGAAAATACACCAAAATTTCCCAGCATCGAAATATGATATTAAACAACATTCTAACGCTATTTAAGAATAATTTGAGTCATTTATAACGTTTTATTAAATAATTTATCACGGCTATTGATAATTTAAGGTCTGAAATATATTTTCGTTTTAATCGAATTTAAGCATACAGAATTTTTTACTTCTTACGGAGATTATTTGCTAATTATCAAACTTTAAGTTCCTAGTGTTGGAATTTCAGTAGCTGGTCTAGATCACGCAAAATTCGGCTTTATCAGTTTCAAAGTTTTTTGTTTATTGTTGTCATAGTAATATCGATTTTACTTAAATCTACGTTTTCACAAATTTCAATCCATAGCCAATTACTGGTGAAAATTTTATAGCTATCAGAGAAGGATAAAATCACTTTAAAGGCGATTGAAAAATATCGGTATGGTCTCTGAAAAACTGTACCAAAACACCTTAACAATGGCAACATGTACAATTTTTTGCTAGTTAGAAATATTTTTTTGTCAGAGTGTCTGCTAGTCTGAAAACTTTTACCGGTTTCAAACTTTCTTTGCAACAACTTCCAACAACGCGCAACAACATTCAACAGAGTGTGCAGACGGACGCAACATATAACATCCAACAATGTTGGGAGTTGTTGGCCAACAATGTTGTGTCCGTTTTCACGGGGCTTTAGTTATTTTCCTTGCCTTTAAAACAGAGTGTCTGCGAGTCTAGCAACGTGGACCTTTGCAGCGACAAAGGAATCTGCATCCCAGACTACTCCAAAGACAGCTTTACATGTAAATGTGACAAAGGCTACACAGGAACACGGTGCGGTAAGTTACAAACGTCTTATCCCCTGGGTCTCTTCCACCTTGACGTAAGATTCTAATCATTTGTGTATAAAATGTGACTTGAAGTTGTGTATTTATCTGTTAACATCTTATTACTCTGATATAGTCTTTTACTCGTTTTTATATTAAGTCCAAAGTTATGGAGAGAAAAGCTTTCTCGTGGACCAAAGAATGTTTAGCAATTATTAAATTCGGCATCGAAGGATTCAAAATAATTCCAAGTTAAGAAACAAGTTAAAACATCCTTACCTCCGTCGATGTTAAGTTTATATCGATAATGCATCTTTATCGGGAAGTTTAGGTGATAAGGGCTGTTCAGGTCTCCAAATAGCAGATGTCGTCCTTCGAGTTGTTTTCTTGCTGTTCTTGCACCCGCCTATCACCCGCCTAAACCTACATACCAACCGGCGGATTTTTTGCAATACTTAACCCACTTAATGGACAATGTACTAGATCAACATCCTGGTTTGACTATTGTTGCCGGAGGCGATGTTAATCGGCTTGACACTAATGAGCTTATTTTAATGACAGGATGGGACTCTCTTGTAGTTTTTCCAACAAGAGGCGACACGTATTTAGACAAGGTCTTCACAAACCGGCCGGATTTATTTGCAAAGAGCATTCCATACTTTGTGTCCATAAAAACATATCACACAGCGGTCATTTTACCAGCAGGAACGAAATTAAAGCCGATCAGACACAACGTTCGCATTAGGGATTGTAGAAGACACCGTAAGGAGGGATTGTACCTAAAACTAGTAAGTAAGAATTGGACAGTGTCTTAAACTTAAATGATGTCGAGGAGGCAGTGAATAATTTGGAAGCAAAAATTAAACACCACATGGATGAGTGTATGCCGTTGCGGTCAGTGTGCATGTCATCACGTGATCCGGTGTGGATGACACCCTTAGTAAAATCGTTAATGAGGGTAAAGTCAAGAATAGCTCCAAGCAATGAAGATCGGCAGGCTGAGGTTAACAGGAAAATAAGCGAATTGATTAGTAAGAACAGAAGAACACTCGCAAAGGCACCTGTCGGATCCAGAGAATGGTGGAAGCACGTAGATAACTTGTCCCAACGACGCAGCATTTCTGCTAACGTTACATTGGACACTAAATCACTGGAGGAGCTAAACGACTACTTCGCCGATTTGTGCACTGATGACGCATATACGAAGCCTGTACCAGCTATTGTGGATAAGAGCTTAGAAGCCCCTCAGATATCAGAAAGACACGTATGGAATTGCTTACAACATCTGAAGAAAACCGCTATGGGACCAGATCTCATTCCCTTTTGGATTTGAAGAGATCACGCTGAGACCTTCACAAGTGTCATTCATAAGATCTGGAATGTTTCCCTGAAAACTGGCAAGTGGCTCTTCTCGTGGAAAAGGGCCCACGTCGCGCCCTTCCCTAAGATCGACATCCCTAAGGGCAAGCAGGACTTCAGAGGAATTAAGATCACGCCTGTAATTACGCGCGCGTTCGAGAAATCCGTGTATAACACCCATGCACGAGACATTGTCGAACAGCATCTGAGTTCAACACAGTTTGCTTATACGACAGGGGGGAGTTGCACTGATGCGCTCTTGAGCATGCAGCACACCAACTACAGCTATTTAGACGAGCAAGACTGCAAAGCCGTCCGAGTATTTGCAATGGATTTTAGTAAAGCATTTGACTGTGTCAATCATGAACTCCTGTCATCTAAGCTTAGGCAGTTGCCATTGAATCCCCTTATTGTGAACTGGTATTTAAGCTTTCTCGAGAAACGCCAGCAGCGAGTAGTTTATAACGGTTTTGAGGGACAGTGGCGTGAGGTTAATAGGGGTACGACACAAGGTAGTGTCAGTGGGCCATATCTTTTTAACGTGTTTATTAATGACTTGGAGATCAATCTAGAAGGTCGCCCAGCCTTGTTTAAATATGCTGATGATTCTACAATTATCGTCCCGTTTTGGGGAAACGGCCAGTGTCGCACTGACTTGGTGAATCAGTTTCTTAGCTGGTCCAGCCGCAATCGCATGACATGCAATCCAACAAAATGCAAAGAGATTATTTTCCGTAAGAAAGTTTTTAGTCAGGACATCGCGCCAGTTAGTAATATACCGCAGTGCGCAGAGTTATCCATATTAGGTGTTATTTTCCAACAAAATTGTAAATACAGTAGTCACGTGCGCGCGAAGGTAATTAAGGCGAACAAGTCATTAACGGTTAACGGTTCAATAACCTGCATTTTCACCGCACTTTTGACGCCATCGGTTCAATATGGCAAAAATTTTCCAAATTTGGTCAACAGTAGCTGGTTATGATGAATTATGCGTGTGATTTTAGTCAATCAGAAACAGAGAAATATTTTGAATGAATAATATATAATTTAATATGCGTATATGAAGTTTAAACATAAGTATATCTGCATAACCTAAAATACGGTCAACTCTTTCTGAGACGGACAGTCAGGGCTTGTCTCAAAGATGTCCGTCTTAGAGAAGGGCATCGTGACACCAGCAATTTTAAAGTTGAAACTATACGCGATGAATAAACGTCTGTTTAACTTGCACAAAACAGCTACAGCTGGAACACTGCAACAAAAGTGGAGTTCTTTTCTCATTGTGCAATCAGACGTTCATTACAATCAAACCGCTTTCACGGCTTCGTGGTCTAAATGCTTAACACTATACGCTCTCTTAACTACCAGAGCAAAACTACTTAACATATCAAACATTTTGCAGTTTAAGTTACTGTCATGTAGAGCACCCACATTTCCGTTTTGAGGTCTTTGTCACCACATTAAGCACCTCCCAATTTAGCCGTTGACGGTTTCAAAAGTGTCCGTTGTCCGTCTTAGAGAGATGTTCCGTATTATAGAGAGTATGGTTACAGTAAAATGACTGGGACCAACCTGAGGTGTCCGTCTTACGAACGAGTCCGTTTTATAGAGAGTATGGTTACAGTAAAATGTCTGTGACCAACCCTAGGTGTCTGTCTTGGAGAGGTGTCCGTATTATAGACAGTATGGTTACAGTAAAATGACTAGGACCAACACTAGGTGTCCATCTTTCAGAGGTGTCCGTATTATAGAGAGTATGGTTACAGCAAGATGACTAAGGTTACAGTAAAATGACTGGGACCAACCCTAGTTCTTACAAGACAGACGTACGTCTTTTAAAGTTGTCCGTTAAGAGAGAGTTTATTGTAAATCGAAAGGGAGATGGAGGAATTCGAGACAGTACTAGAAAGCTTAAGGCAGCTCGGTTATCTCAAATTTTGGGTCAAAACTTTTTCCGCTTTCACGCAAAGGCTACAAAAGTTTGAAAAGTCCGAATATACAATTATTTTTGAAAAGGGGCGTAGAACCTGTTTGACGATGTGTCAGCTTGGCGCACGTATATTATTATAGTTTACGACTCTTATTTTAACTCATTTGAATTAAGAGTTATAAAAAAGTTTCCAAATAATGATAATTGTCGAAAGATTATATGGAAAAAAGTTCACACCTAAACTCTTTTACCTCTTTTACATTCCAGAATTCATCATAGACTGCTCTAAACTTGGTCAAAGTGGTTTGGCATCTACTGGAATCTACTACATCAAGCCAGATGGTGGCAGCCCAATACAAGTGCTGTGTGACATGACTACAGACAGTGGAGGTTGGACAGTCTTTCAGAGACGTTTAGACGGTTCGGTTAACTTTTCTCAGGGTTGGGAATCATACAAAAATGGGTTTGGACATCTAAACGGTGAGTTCTGGCTTGGAAACGACAATCTTCATCGTTTGACGGCGTTTGATGACGTCATGCTAAGAGTTGACCTGGAGGACTTTGACGGCAACATAACATACGCAGAGTATACAACATTTCAAGTAGCTGACGAAGCAGATAAATACAGGATTACGTTTGGAGGATACAATGGTACGGCTGGTGACTCGATGGTAAATTACGCAGGGCAGACCCTAAGGTAAGCAAATATTTCGCTGGTAATTAATTTGTAGCCTGACAGAAAAAGGAAAGGTCAATACCGCGCTTACAAGCTCCTCCACTTTATCATGAGCCACCTCCAGTTATAAACCCATCTATAGACCCGTAAACCGAAAAATACATCCGATTACAAGCCTCCGGATATAAGCCCCTTACGAATCTATTGAGTTCGATTTATTATGACAATTTAGATTTATTATGACATTTTGAAGCTTGATTAAAATAATCAGTAAATGAAAAACGTATTAGGACTGCTATATCTTGTTTCAAAGTGCTGTTTCTATTTCGGGTATAAAACAGCTCGGACATAAGCCCCTCCGTTTATTAGCCCTTCTAAAACCCCTGACGAAGATGTATAAGCCCAGGGATAAGCGGCAGTTTAGGGTATCAAATCAACAATCTTTCAGTAATATAATTTCCTTTTAAGCCCATCTTACACTGCTGCAAGAGCACATAACCCGAAGAGAGCAACTCCCATACTAGGCCTATATCACGTCGTTTTTACGGACCAGTTTATTTTTAGACACATTTTAGGGCACTTTTTCCCGCGAATATAAAATCTTGGCAAAAAATATCATTTTTGGGTCTGTAGGTTTTGCTGACCGGTTTGTGGAATTTAAAAGATATTCAAAATTCGCGCCAAAACCGTTCTAAAAATAAACTGATCCGTGAAAAAGCCGTGACACGAGCGCATAGAAGTTGCTCATTTCTGACTGTTGTTAGGATTCTTTTTACCCTTACGATAAGTTATCGCCAGCCCCGACCACCTTAGATACCCTCTCCCTCTTATTCAAATCATTTATTAATTGGTAAAGTCTCTATACTCTTAAGCGACCACAGTCAGATAAGTGGCATCTGTATCTGAACTGCAGCGTGCAGCAGTGAGCTGTAATGAACAAAGCCTTTACTTCGGAAGCATGATACGTATTACTCGAATCACCCTATGTAAGGATGGAAACTTTTGCTTGAAGAATCCGGAATCCGGAACAAATTCGTTTGTGTAATACGGAATCCTGGGCTTTGGAATCCGGAATCTAGCTCAATGAATCCGGAATCCCACAAACGATTGGAATCCGAAATCCAAGTTCCAATTTTAAAAAAATGAGGAATCCAGTACTGGAATCCGGAAATCCATAGCGTAGAATCCAGAATCCAAGACCGCCTTGGATTCCCTTGCATGGGGTGACTCGAAAATCCGAACTCCAAATCCACCTTGAAATCCACCTCGAAATCCATCTCGAAATTGTAACTCGGTAAATAGATAACCTCCTGACACTGAACAAATCCCTTTGTAAAATTTGTGCCACTATCAAACTGTGACCTTTTTCTGCAGTAACTTGCAGTTTACAACCAAAGATATCGACAATGATCTGTATGGCGCTGACAATTGCGCTGTTTTACTCAGTGGAGCATGGTGGTACCATTCCTGTAGTTGGGCCAATCTAAATGGTTTGTATCGTCGAGGAACTTATAACCCCGGGCCCGGCTACCCTTCCGACGGAGTAAAATGGGTCACGTTTAGAGGACATCATTATTCTTTGAAACGCACTGAGATGAAATTAAAACCTAAACCATAAAAAGCAAAGGTATAGGCTCTTTGCAGGACTTGATCACGTGATCAACCTTCGGTAAACACGAAAATAGTTCACTTTTCAAAAATTTTGTTAGCACAAGCTGAAAGAGCATATTAAAATTAGGTTACCTGAGAATTTTTAGCCTTATATCTCAAAAGTAGCGATTGCGATGGCCGCCGAAAGTTGGAGGCATTTGTATGAGAAAAACAACTTTTGCCATCCAGTCACCCTTGCATGGTTTTCCATTCAAATCCTTGTAATTTCGAAATTCTCAAAACTGTACCGAAATATTTCCTGAAGCATTTTAGGGCTCAAATCTCCTTTTAATTCATAGCAGGTAATTTGTGCCCTTAAATGCGTAAGGGAAAGATTTAACGACAGTTTAAAAGTAGTAGAATTTACAAGGATTTGTATGGAAAACCATGCAAGCGTGACTGGGTGGCAAAAGTTGTTTTTCTCATACAAGTGCTTCTAACTTCCGGCGGCCGTTGCAATCGCTATTTTTGAGATATAGGGCTGGAAATTCTCAGCTTTCCTGATTTTAATATGGTCCTTCAGCTTGTGCTAACAAAATGTTTCAAAAGTGAACTGTTTTCGTGTTTACCGAAAGTTGATCACATGATCACAGTCATGCAAAAAGCCTATTACGGCATCATGATGATTTGCGTCCCATCATTTAAGTCGCAATGGTAGACATTTGAAACCATTTGCTACCTAATCTCATGACGAGTGCATGCTATATGACCTTTTAAGTATAGTTACGGCTTCAGACTACAACCTGGTCATACAGAACGTACTCGTTTATGGATGGATGGCCTTAATTCTGGCATTTTATCTTGTATTCAACACTTATTTTTTAGAAAGGAGAAAGTAACTGGAGCCGAAATGTGTCTAGCAATTACTTGTGGGATCGTTACCGCGCTGGACGGCAATTGGACATATTTTTTCCCTGTCCCAATAACAGTCCCACAAGTCTTTGCCAAAAATAACTCGGCGCATTTGTACTCAGTAGATTTAACCGGCTCTTACAATTTTTGCCTTTAACTTATTGACGAAACGTAAGGTCAAGATGGCTAAAATTGGCCAGGTTCGTTTTTTCCTTTTTATATTAGCCAAGACAAAGACGAGTTTCCCAGGAACAGCGCAAAAAAATGTAGTAGAAGAGGAAGGATCCCAAAATTTTAGCCGTCGTGACTGAACAAACCTGGTCATAATATGGCCAAAGCAAACTATTTTGCTATGGAACAAAGCGGAGCAGTCTCGAGTGGCAAAATAGGCCCTAAATGCTCCGCTCGGGAAGAACAATCCGAAAACAGGATTCCCTTTATCTTGCCCACTCGCAGGCCATTTAGACAGCCAACTTCAGGTTAATTCTGAACCTGAAATTTTTACTTGATAAAGTGACAATTCGAATACGATTGGTTTTATCATGTGACACTTGTTAGAATGTATGTTTACAAGTGCCTATTGCAGATCACGTGATGTTTGTAAGCGAATTGATCTTTTGCCTTGCGATTAACGAAGGATGTATGCAGAAAGTATGATTATCTCCAATTAATCAATAGACTGTGAGAACTTCCTTTTTATTCAGTGCAGGCTTGGCAGGACTAGCTAGATAGTCAAAATCCCATACCTGCCTTCCTCCCCCACCTACCTACAACCCCCCACCCCTGGGCCAACCCCGTTTGCCTCCCCTACCAGCCGCAATAAAAACATTCTAACATGACTCAGAGGCTCTAGGGTCAAAATTACAAAATTCTGACTCCACTTACACGAGATTTCATGAATGTGAAAACCTTTATTTAGGATGCGTCAGTCAGTCATCATATTCAGATGTATCAGCAATGATATCCTTCTAGCAAAATACTAATATATGTTCTAAGCTAGAACTTGTACCAGGCCAGATACGAAAAACCACTAAAAAGCCACCCTTGAGAAGTGGACAAAAAATGTGCGGAAATGTGTTCCCCTACTAATGCAATGGTACGTAAAACCCCGGGGAAAAGGGATCAAGGCAAGATTTCCGTATAACCCCATACATTAATTATGCATACATCTGTTATTCAAAGAAAACAAAAGGAAAACTATCAGAAGGACTGAGCTGACGTAGAATGGCACAAGTCTCGCGACAAAACCATAAATAGCCCGATACTATCCCAGGAACACCAGCGCGCCTCTATACCGTGCAGAATATTAATTTCTGACTAATTCGTTCCCATGTTTCTCAATCGTCAGAAATTACATTTTTTTAGGACTCCATTGTCTCGCAATTCCCAAAAGAGAATTGAATATAAAGAAAACCAAACCAAATATAGAAAAATGACCAGAAAGCCTCGGATTCATGATAGAATTTTAATATCTTGAACGTAGGCTATTGGCATAAAATGGGCTTACCTATTGTTTGTGTTAACCCAATAAAGTTTTAGGATTATTACGCGCGAAGATAATATTAGAATGCGGAAATAGAGCATTTACCCGTAGTTTGTTAATCTTTTTTAATTAATTGTTCATTAGCTTTTTAATTTTCATAATCGTAGTTTCAGCATTTAAATACAATTGTAACTGAAGTTTGTCTTTTATACATGTAATTTTTAGTTATTTCGCACATTACCTAACCTAATGAGTCCTGTAAATCAGTTCTGAAAAACCCAATTGGGAGAATAAAAAAATGTATCAATTTGTATTGTACAACTACAGTGGAACCTCGGTTTAACAAAGTGCTAACCAAAGAGACTGGGGGAAATTTTTTCGTTATACCAAGGGTTCGTTATATCGACAACCCGGACTTGAAAAAAAAAACAAACAAACAAAATGTTCGTTATATCGAGGTATAGTTAATGATTAATTTCCAACGCCCAGCATTTCAGGATCTGAACAATTTCTGTAATAAAGATTTTGTATACGAAGCTATTGTTTCAGTTCAGAGCTGTACATCATAGCTACAGCACTAGAAACACAAGAACAGGCTGGTAACTACTGTACACATAAATTTTATCCTCACTGGTCTGTTTCGCATTCACCTTTAGCAATCTTTCGGTCACATGTTGACATGTTATATTCTACGTTTCGTTTCTTTATTGTGTTCGTTATACCATACATTTTATAGTACCTTTGGCCGGGTTGAAGAAAATCGTTTGTTATACCGAGGACTTCGTTATATAGAGGTTCGTTAAATCGAGGTTCCACTGTACAATGCGGGTACCGCAGGTAACAATTAGAGAGCTTTAGATTCAAGGACTGAGGACGACTACGAGTACGAGATTTGACTTTAAGTTTTTTTGCGTATTCTCAAAATATAGACTCCTCACCGGTAACCTTCATTCTACCATTTTTAAATAGAAAAGTTAGCACTGTTATCTTTATTGAAGGAGGTTACTCCCTCGCCCGATCGGAAAATGATAATGACTTCTAACATTTGAAAACTTGTTTCCGCCACTACGACATTGGTTTACGCGTGCTTGCTACTTAGTACTGAGAGAATCTTGTACTCCATGTCGTACTCGTCTTAGAATCTAAAGGTCTCTAATACCTTGTGCAAAAACCACCCTTTTAGCTTCTGTTCACACTACACACGATAAGCTATCGATACATCCGGTACAGAATGATCAGCAACGCGGATCCAGAACTGGAACAACTCGTTCACACACATTGAACATCGTACCAAAGCTGTTGACCGAGAGGGCTTGGTGAACTAACTCCCAGTCCTATCTGTCGAATATATTTTTCCGTCTCAGTGGACTCCTGTCCTAGCTCCCACTTATTCACTCCCGTGGTCCTCCCGTGACAGTCCGAACACCTCAGTGTTCCCACTGCACCAAAGTATGGCACTGAATCTATCTCATATGTGACGTTCCAGTTTCAAGATCAGTGCTCCGTTCCAGTATTCGCGCCGTAATCACCATTCTTATGTGTGAACAGAAGCCTTATCCGGTATGATTTTCGCGCTTGCGCAAGAGCTACCCGATATGGTGTGAAAATAGCCTTAGTTAGATGCATCTCTACACAGATGAGCAGTTCCTTTCTGAGCACTTCAGGCTGCATTATTATTGTTAATTTAAAAGTAATATAAAATTTGTTTCCGAAAAACTTAGGGCGAGACCGTTGAAGAGAGTATTGGTAACGACGAGTTTCAGCGGAACGAAGCGTTGCAACATTTTTGCGACCTTGTTTCGACTTTTTACATCATTATTGTCCTAGAAATTGTCGTTAACAAAGCATTTCGTGTAACATCACCTTTACTGTAATACTATATATAAACAAATATGCACAAGCTTTGACAATTAGAAATAAAATTTTCATCAACTACATATTAAAGCCGTCATGAACGAGCATATTGTTGCAGACAGCAACATCTTGTCAATGTTAAATTATCCGTCATTGTGGCTGAAGCGTCACTGAAAAATATAAAGAAGGAGACTTGAATTACTGTCAGCAGTATTGTGTCTTCGCCACTAAACATTTTTCAACCGCATAGAACCTATTCTTCCTTGATTCACTCGGAAGAAATGCGTTAGGTTTAGAATGGGTCCTGACCACGGTGGAGTCACTATATCAATTCAGTTAATAAATATGATAATTTTCACTGATTTCACAGCTAACACTGAACGCAGCTACGCAACACAAATTTCTTAGAAGCTTGTCCACGGGAGTTATCCATAAGAAGTATACATTCGCTTAAAGGCTTATTTCCGTTTGATTCCCTTCATTTTAGTCGTGTGGTTGTATACCACTGTATATCGTCCTTTTTGGATTTTGGCACGTCTATCATGAAACCTGCAAGAGCAGTAGTTCCTTTGTTAGTGATTATTACATTTACTTTGTACAGCGTGATTCTCTTTTTCTCCCCTGAATGTGGAATAACTATGGATTCTTTGTCTCAGTTTCATTAGCAGACTTGCTTTTCTTTTACATCGACTAGAACATTAACATGTGATCATTATTTTGCATTACCCTGGAGCAAGAAACTCACCTTTGTTGGCCCAGAGTCAATGTCACGTCATCGCCAATCAGCATAAATGGTGCCCAGTGCTTCACAGCCTTGAAAAGTTTAGACTTCCGCATCCATTTCATGGCTTGGTGGAGGGACGTACTTGCGCTTTGCCCTGCCGCTAAATGTTGGTAAAAGACTTTCATAAACGCCGGAGTGGCCTTGTCGTCAATTGACCACAGTGAAACAATAACAGAACGCGCACCGGCTCCCAGAAAGGCACGTGCAATTCCAACCACGCCCTCTGATTTGATCTCCCCTCTCCCACTGTTACATCAGCTCAGCACAACAAGCTTGGCGCGCAATTTGGCGTTTAATACATCTGCCCTCGTCAAAAGAAAGTCTTCCTCTTTGGGCCTATCGGAACCAGGAAGATTAGGAGACAAGATAATTTCACCGGTTTCTTCACGACCATGAGCTGCGATGTGGACTAAGGACACTGAGTTGAGCCTGCTTAACACTTGATCTTTTGTGGCCTTCTTTCCAGTGAGGGGCTCAGTGTTAACTATCTGTCCAATCATGTTTACCTCTTCCTCGGCACCAGGGAGCTGCGAAAACGGTCTGCGGCCTTTAATTGTATAAGGCGCACAGTTTCCACCCACGGATTGCCAACAAGCAGTGCACCAGATGTACTGTGATACTTTTCCGGACACTCTGCCAAAAGCATTAAAATGTTAAAATTAAAATGCGAATTCTCAGCGTTTCAGACAAAAACCTGGAATGTTGGTCTACCAGGGCAGCATAAGGAATCAAAAAAGATGGACCATCGGGGACAATGATAAGCTCGTCACCTCTTATCAAGTGTGAAATCGGAGCGATCACTACGTCAGACAATGCTTTTAAATCTTCTTGCGATGACGTTGATTCTTTCTCTTCTGTACTAGCCCTATCAGGCAAGTCTTTCTTCTCTTCATCTAAAGGATCGTCCGAGAACTGTTCCTAGAATCTGAAACCTCTCACGCCAATTTGTTTTTGTATGTTTCGTTCCTCAAGCTGGTCAAGGTCTGATTGTGTTTTTTTCGCACAAACTGATACTGCTGTCCCTTCAGTAGTACCCAGAAATTCAACGTCTCGTAGTGTTCCGCCAGAAATATCGTTGATGATAAATTATGGCCTGAAATACGAGACATTCTTTCTATTCGGTCTTCCGAAGATGACGGGGTCGATTTCACTCCATAGTTTGATTCCATAAGGTCCCTGAGAGCTCGTTCTCGTCCACGTTCAACTGGAAAAAGTGCCTCGGCGATCTTGCCTTTTGCTACAAGAGGACACCATAAAGAAGAATAAATTTCATATCATTCGTGAAAACTGATTTTCCATTCATCTTTTTTTGGAGATCCCTTATTTCTTCAAACACTTTTATGCTGGATTTAAAATGCTCCTCTGCTTTAGAGGAGTTACCGAGAGAAGCAAACACTGAACCTAGAGCCTCATTCGCAGATTCATGTAAGAGTTTGTTTTCGATCTCTTTAGCTATGCTCAGAGCTTGCTAAGGGAATTCGATTGCCTTCTCGAAGTTGCTGAAATCCCGAAAAGTAAGGCCCAAATTTCTGTACATAAATCCTTCCAACGCTTTGTTCCCAGTCTCTTTTGCGAATACAAGAGCCTTCTCCCAGAACTCGAATGATGCGTTGAGGTCACCGAGATGGCGATACAAATGACCAAAGTTCGCATATGCATGTCCTTCTAACTTTTTTAGTTTGATCTCTTTACTGATGTTAAGCCCTTTTTGAGAAAACTCCGCTGCCTTTTCCAAGAGACAGAGATTGTTATACACCCTACTAAGGCTTATATATGCGTATCCTTGTGCAGCTCTGCCTCCGGACTTTTTCGTAATGCTCAGACTTTTCTGCAAACGCTCGATTGCTTTTTTGTAATCGCCGAGATTTCAATGCAGTTCCCCAAGTTGAGATATACTCTTCACCCTCTGATAATCTATCTCCAATCAGTCTTGCGATACTAACTTTCTTCTGATGGAAATCGACTGCTTTTGAGACATCATAGAGATAATTATACGCAATACCAAGGTTCCCATACGCCCTTCCTTCTGACTCTTTGTCTCCGACCTCTTTAGCGATAGCTAGTCCTTGCTGAAAGAACTCGATTGCTTTTCTGAAATCACCGAGGTCGTCACAGTACACACCGCCAAGGTTGATGTATTCCACTTTTTCTGATTTTTTATTATTAATCTCTTTTGCGATACTGACCTTCTTCTGATAGAACTCGATTTTTTTTGGGAAATCGTAGAGAGATGAATACCCAATACCAAGGTTCCAATACGCCATCCTTTCTGTCTCTTTGTCTCCGACCTCTTTAGCGATAGCTAGACCCTGCTGATGGAACTCGACTACTTTTCTGAAATCAACGCGGGAGGAATACACCCAGGCAAGGTTGATGTATCCCTCTTCTTCTGATTTTTTATCTTCAACCTCTTTAGCGATACTGACATTCTTCTGATAGAACTCGATTGCTTTTGAGAAATCATAAAGAGAAGAATACGCAATACCAAAGTTCCAATACGCCATTATTTCTGTCTCTTTGTCTCCGACCTCTTTAGCTATAGCTAGACCTTGCTGAAAGAACTCGATTGCTTTTCTGAAATCACCGAGGTCGTCACAGTACACACCGCCAAGGTTGATGTATTCCACTTTTTCTGATTTTTTATTATTAATCTCTTTTGCGATACTGACCTTCTTCTGATAGAACTCGATTTTTTTTGGGAAATCGTAGAGAGATGAATACCCAATACCAAGGTTCCAATACGCCATCCTTTCTGTCTCTTTGTCTCCGACCTCTTTAGCGATAGCTAGACCCTGCTGATGGAACTCGACTACTTTTCTGAAATCACCGCGGGAGGAATACACCCAGGCAAGGTTGATGTATCCCTCTTCTTCTGATTTTTTATCTTCAACCTCTTTAGCGATACTGACATTCTTCTGATAGAACTCGATTGCTTTTGAGAAATCATAAAGAGAAGAATACGCAATACCAAAGTTCCAATACGCCATTATTTCTGTCTCTTTGTCTCCGACCTCTTTAGCTATAGCTAGACCTTGCTGAAAGAACTCATTGCTTTTCTGAAATCACCGAGGTCGTCACAGTACACACCGCCAAGGTTGATGTATTCCACTTTTTCTGATTTCTTATTATTAATTTCTTTTGCGATACTGACCTTCTTCTGATGGAACTCGACTGCTTTTGGGAAATCATAGAGAGGAGAATACGCAATACCAAGATGTTCATGCGCCTTTCCTTCTGACTCTTTGTCTCCAACCTTTTAGCGATGACTAGATACCTTCTCTCTGATATTCAAACCATTTTATTAATTTGTAGAGTCAAGTAGACTCGAAATCGATCACAGCCACATAAGTGGCATCTGTATCTGAACTGCGGGTGTAGTGAGCCCTTCTAAATTCCCTACGAAGATGTTTAGGCCCAGGAATAAGCGGCAGTTAAAGGACGTACTATCAAATCAGCAGTCCTTCATATACTTTCTTTAAAGCCCACCTTACACTGCTGTTACAAGTCTTTTTGCCCTTACAATAAGTGATCGACAACGCTGACCACCTCATAAATAGATACCTTCTCTCTGATATTCAAACCATTTTATTAATTTGTAGAGTCAAGTAGACTCGTAATCGATCACAGCCACATAAGTGGCATCTGTATCTGAACTGCGGGTGTAGCAGTGAGCTGTAATGCACAAAGCCTTTACTTCGGAAGCATGATGCGTATTACTCGAATCACACCATGTTGGGCTGGGAAGTTTTGCTTGCGGAATCCGGAATCAGGGAAATGTCGCTTGTGTAATACAGAATTATGGGTTTTAGAATCCGGAATCCAGCTCAAGGAATCCGGAATCCCACAAACGACTGGAATCCGAAATCCAAGTTCCAGTAAAAAAATGAGGAATCCCGTACAGGAATCCGGAAATCCACGGCGTGGAATCCAGAAACCAAGACCGTCTTGCATTTCCTTACATGCATGGGACGACTCGTAAATCCGAACTCAAAATCCACCTTGAAATCCACCTCGAAATCGTTTCTTCAAATCCTAACTCGGTAAATAGATCACCTCCTAACAAACAAATCTCTTTGTTTAATTTGTGCCATTATCAAACTGTGACTTTTTTCTGCAGTAATTTACATTTTTCAACCAAAGATGTCGACAATGATCTTTATGACCCTGACAATTGCGCTGTTTTACTCAGTGGAGCATGGTGGTACCATTCCTGCAGTTGAGCCAATCTAAATGGTTTGTATCGTCGAGGATCTTACAACACCAGCTACTTGCCCCATGAGGTAAAATGGGTCACGTTTAGAGGACAGTATTATTCTTTGAAACGCACTGAGATGAAATTAAAACCTAAACCATAAACAGCAATGGTATTACCGCATTATGATGACCAATGATTTGCGTCGCATCATTTAAGTTGGTACACATCTGACACCACTTGCTACCTAGTCTTATGAAATTTCCAATCTAAGATTGAGTGCACGCAAGTATGACTTTTTAAGTATAGTTACGGCTTCAGACTACAACCCGGTCAATCAGCACGAACTCAGTTGTTGAGTGTCGTCATTGCTTGGAGAGCCTTAATTCTGGCAGTTCATCTTGTATTCGACACTTGGAAACGAGAAAGTAACTGGAACCGAAATGTGTCTAGCAATTACTTGTGGGATCGTTACCGCGCTGGACAGCAACTGGACATATTTTTTTCCCTGTCCCCATTGACAGTCCCACAAGTCTTTGCCAAAAATAACTCGACACATTTATACTGAGTGGATTTAACCGGCTCTTACAATTTATGCCTTTAACTCATTGCCGGAACAAAAGGTCAAGATGGCTGAAATTGACCAGGTTGGTTTTTCCTTTTTATATTTGCCAAGACAAAGATGAGTTTCACAGGAACAGCGCAAAAAAATGTAGTAGAAGAGGAAGGATCCCAAACTTTTAGCCGTCGTAACTGAACAAACCTGGTCATAATATGGCCAAAGCAAACTATTTTGCTATGGACCAAAGCGGAGACGTCTCGAGTGGCAAAATAGGCCCTAAATGCTCGCTCGGGTAGACAATCCAGACAATCCGAAAACAGGATTAATTCCCTTTTTCTTGCCCACTGGCAGGCCATTCTGACAGCCCACACACAGTTAATTCTGAACCTGAAATTTTTAATTGATAAAGTGACAATTCGAATAGGATTGGTTTCATCATGTGACACTTGTTAGAATGTATGTTTACAAGTGCCCATTGCAGATCAAGTGATGTTTGTAAGCAAATTGATCTTTTGCCTTGCAATAAATAAAGGATGTATCCAAGTGATTATCTTCAATTTCTAAAAGACTGTGAGAACTCCCTTTTTAGTCAGTGTAGGCTTGGCAGAACTGGCTAAATACCTAACCCCCCACCACCCCTTCCCCCCCCTTCCCCCGCCCCCCCCCTCCGCCCAATCCCCGTTTGCCTCCCTTGCCAGCCACTATAGCCCACGTTCAACGAATTAATACAAATTCTAAGTAACATGACTCCAAGGCTTTAGGGTGGAAATTGCAAATTTTTCACGACTCAATTGTCTCGCAATTTCCAGAAAAAACTTGACCACGAAGAAAACCAAACCAAAATGAAAAATAACCAGAAAGCCTCGGATTCATTGTAGAATTTTAATAAATCGAACGTAGGCTATTGGCATAAAATGGGCTTACCTCTTATTTGTGTTAACCTAATAATGTTTTAGGATTATTACGCGCGAAGATTAACATTCCTTGCTCTTTGAAAACTTAGGGGCGAGATCACTTATCTGTATATAAGAGGGGTCTTAAAATAACTTACTTATTTTCACTGAAAGTTTGGATTAAGCCGGTAAGTAGCCTACGTCGAAGACGTACTTTAACATTGGTTAGTGACGGCTGCGAAGCATCGCCGAGATATATTCTCGTTGTAGGCCCCCAACGGACTCAACGAATTACCGGAGGTGTGTTTGGGATTTCCTTTACTACTGATTGTCAAATTAACGACGTCTTTTTTCACAGGCCAATCATTGCGAGTCATGAGTATTCAAATCTTGGTACACAGTTGGGGTCCAGAACAAGGATTTAGGCGCTGTTTTGTAGACCGACTTAACCAGAGTTAAGTTTTGTCTGTGGCGCAGGCTAGCTGGTACGTAGATTACCAGATTTATGTTTAAAATCGCACCCTGGCCATAGTTGTAAGTGCAAAATGTCTTGGGCAGTTTTTTTGCGAAGAATATTAATTCACTAAAGGGGTGATTCTGAAGAAACAAGCCGGTCAAATTTAATTGATCTTTAGATAAGAGGACGATATCGTTCTTGTAGCAACCAGAAACCAGGCTCCAGAGAGAAACAACACAACGAAAAGATACTGGGAACCAGTGTAACTGATCATCTTTAAAGGAAAACTTAATAGTTATATATTAAAACACCTGTTATACCGTTAAAGTGATCCGTGAAAAAATGTTACTGTGCCTTGTACTCGTCTTTGCCGAAACTGCATCGGGCTTAAGCCGTATTTCAGGACCTGGTTTTCAAGCTGTTAACTTTGCTAAGGCCAAAGAAGGACGAAAGTTGAATGGAAGCGTGATAAAAGAAATGCAAGTTGATACAGAGGGTGCGTGTAGGCGTCAATGTGTCATTGACGAGCAATGCCGCTCTTACAACTTTGGACTCAAGAAGAATAAAGCTCGGAATTTCCTGTGTCAGTTAAATGGTTCCGATAGATTTGTTGGTTTTGGTAACTTCACAAAAGATGACAATTTCAAGTACAGAGGAATGGAGGTAATTAACCATCAAAAGAGAAATACCTAGTTAAGGTGTTTCGATATAGTTTTTCAAAAGCCATACCGATATTTTTCAATCGCTTTAAAAGCGATTTTATCCTTGTCTGATAGCTATAAAAGTTGCACCAATGATAAACTATAGATTGAAATTTGGCAAAATGTAGGTTTTAATAAAATCGATGTTACTATGACAACAATAAACTAAAAACTTTGAAATTGATAAAGCTGAATTTTGAGCGATCTAGACCAGCTACTGAAAATCCAACACTAGGAACTTAAAGTTTGGTAATTAGCAAATACCCTTCGTGGGAAGTAAAAAATTCTGAATGTTTGAATTCGATTAAAACGAAAATATAGTTCAGACCTTAAATTGTCAATAGCCGTGATAAATTATTTAATAAAACGTTATAAATGACACAAATTAAATTAAGTTCTTAAGTAGCGTCAGAATGCTGCTTAATATCATATTTCGATGCTCGGAAATTTTGGTGTATTTTCGTTCTTGCGATCACTTAAAAACTAACCCGTTTTCTCAACACCTGTCTAAGTGCAACTTCATTCAAGATTTGGACTTTTAGCGCTTTTTTGTATATCTCTAAAACGACTCGAACTAATTTTTTTAAAATCTCTTCACATAATCTTCATTATTATATGGCTGAGTCTGTTTTCGCCATGCGATTGGTCAATTTGCGATCCGTAACTTGCTATACGGACCAAAATTTTTAAAGAAAAGGTTCATTTCGGAGCTCTAAGTCTCTTTACCTAGGAAAAAAGATTTAAATAAAGTTATAAGACGCCTGTCAACCTTGAAGACTTGGGTGTTGACTTTGGCCTTCAACATTTTAAACTGTGTTTATTTGTGAACGAAGGTGATGAAGAAACAGAAACTCATAAAGGGTTGAACAACCCCTTATGAGTTTCTGGAAGAAACTAACTCGTAATCTTATCGACGAAGATTCTAGTCAGTGTTTGAAAATTTTATTGTAGTACACAGTTAAGAAGACGAAAATCGACTGGCAGAGATTCGAGATGTTTTGGCTAAGATAAAATGAGTAATTCCTTCAACATATATGATAACAAACATACCTGCACCGATCATCTTGAGAAGCTTCTTTGCCATTTTATTTTAAAAAAATTAGTTCGAGTCGTTTCAGAGATATCCAAAAAGCGCTAAAAGTCCAAATTTTGAATGAAGTTGCACCTAGACAGGTGGTGAGAAAACGGGTTAGTTTTTAAGTGATCGCAAGAACGAAAATACACCAAAATTTCCGAGCATCGAAATATGATATTAAACAGCATTCTCACGCTACTTAAGAATAGTTTGAGTCATTTATAACGTTTTATCAAATAATTTATCACGGCTATTGACAATTTAAGGTCTGAAATATATTTTCGTTTTAATCGAATTCAAACATGCAGAATTTTTTACTTCTTACGGAGGTTATTTGCTAATTACCAAACTTTAAGTTCCTAGTGTTGGATTTTCAGTAGCTGGTCTAGATCACACAAAATTCGGCTTTATCAGTTTCAAAGTTTTTTGTTTATTGTTGTCATAGTAATATCGATTATACTTAAATCTACGTTTTCACAAATTTCAATCCATAGCCAATTACTGGTGAAAATTTTATAGCTATCAGACAAGGATAAAATCACTTTAAAGGCGATTGAAAAATATCGGTATCGAAACACCTTAACAATGGTAACATGTACAATTTTTTGCTAGTTAAAAATATTTTTTGTCAGAGTGTCTGCTAGTCTGAAAGCTTTTTAATATTCAACACTTTGACCGGTTTCAAACTTTCTTTGTAACAACGCGCAACAATATTCAACAGAGTGTGCAGACGGACGCAACATATAACATCCAATAATCTTGGGAGTTGTTGGCCAACAATGTTGTGTCCGCTTGCACGGGGCTTTAGTTATTTTCCTTGCCTTTAAAACAGAGTGTCTGCGAGTCTAGCAACGCGGACCTTTGCGGCGACAAAGGAATCTGCCTACCAGACTACTCCAAAGACAGCTTTACATGTAAATGTGACAAAGGCTACACAGGAACACGGTGCGGTAAGTTACAAACGTCCCATCCCCTGGATCTCTTCCACCTTGGGGGTTTGAAGACGAAAGATTCTAATCATTTGTGCATAAAATGTGACTTGAAGTTGTTTATTTATCTGTTAGCATCTTATTATTCCGAAGTAGTCTTTTACTCGTTTTTATATTAAGTCCAAAGTTAGGGAGAGAAAAGCTTTCTCGTGGTCCAAAGAATGTTTAGCAATTATTAAACTGGGCATGGTAGGATATGAAGAACTATGCAGATCGAGGATTCAAAATAATTCCAAGTTAAGAAACAAGTTAAAGGGAACCTCCACTTCAACAAAAAGATAACTTTAAATCACAGGAAATAACTGTTACAGTCAAGTCAACCTAAAATATTTTTAAAGAAAGCGTTTGTATCGGAAAGAAATAACTTTTAGATTCACCTATTTTTGTTTTCAAATTTTGCGGGCGTCGCCATCTTGAATAATTGTGACGTGTTATGGTTGCCCTATTGTTATTAAACAAAAGCTCTTTGTGTCAGAACAATAGAGCAACCGTAACACGTCACAATTATTCAAGATGGCGGCGCCCGCGAAATTTGAAAGTGAAAATAAGCGATTTTAAAATTCACTTTTCCTGATATAAACACTTTCTTTAAGGACAAATTTTGAACAAATTTGTTTATCAACATAATTTTATTCGATTTAAACTTAATCTGTAGTAAGAGTGGAGGTTCCCTTTAAAACATGCTTATCTCCGTGGATGTTACGTTTATATCGATAATGCATCTTTATCGGGAAGTTTAGGAGATAACGGCTGTTCAGGTCTGCAAATATTCTCCAAATAGCAGATGTCGTTCTTCGAGTTGTTTTCTTGCTGTTCTTACTATGTTTTTAGACAATAGTTCGACGTGAAACGAGTAAAATGTTCCGCCACCACTTACTTCGCCATTACTCACTTCGAAAACAACTCAACCTCGTCCCCAGGTCTTCTCGGTTAACGGTTCAATAACCTGCATTTTCACCGCACTTTTGACGTCATCGGTTCGATATGCCAAAAATTTTCCAAATTTGGTCAAAAGTAGCTGGTTATGATGAATTATGCGTGTGATTTTAGTCAATCAGAAACAGAGAAATATTTTGAATGAATAATATATAATTTTATATGCGTGTATTAAGTTTAAACATAAGTTTATTTGCATAACCTAAAATACCGTCAACTCTTTCTGAGACGGACAGTCAGGGCTTGTCCCAAAGATGTCCGTCTTAGGGAAGGGTAATTTTAAAGTTGAAACTATACGCGTTGAATAAACGTCTGTTTAACTTGCACAAAACAGCTACAGCTGGAACACTGCAACAAAATTGGAGTTCTTTTCTTATTGTGCAATCAGACGTTCATTACAATCAAACCGCTTTCACGGCTTCGTGGTCTAAAAGCTTAACACTTTTCGCTCTGTTAACTACCAGAGCAAAACTACTTAAAATATCAAACATTTTGCAGTTTAAGTTACTGTCATGTACAGCACCTACATTTCCGTTTTGAGGTCGTTGTCACCACATAAAGCACTTCCAAATTTGGCCGTTGACGGTTTCAAAAGTGTCCGTTGTCCGTCTTAGAGAGACGTCCGTATTATAGAGAGTATGGTTACAGTAAAATGACTGGGACCAACTTTCGTTAGGCGCCCGTCTTACGGATGAATCCGTATTATAGAGAGCATGGTTACAGTAAAATGCCTGTGACCAACCCTAGGTGTCCATCTTAGAGAGGTGTCCGTATTATAGAGAGTATGGTTACAGTAAAATGACTGGGACCAACCCTAGGTGTCCATCTTAGAGAGGTGTCCGTATTATAGAGAGTATGGTTACAGTAAAATGACTGGGACCAACCCTAGGTGTCCATCTTAGAGAGTTGTCCGTATTATAGAGAGTATGGTTACAGTAAAATGACTGGGACCAACCCTAGTTCTTACTAAACAGAAGGCCGTCTTTTAAAGTTGTCCGTTAAGAGAGAGTTTACTAAAAATCGAAAGGGAGATGGAAGAATTTGAGACAGTACTAGAAAGCTTAAGGCGGCTCGGTTATCTCAAATTTTGGGTCAAAACTTTTTCAGCTTTAACGCAAAGGCTGAGAAAGTTTAAAAAGTCCGAATATACAATTATTTTTGAAAAGGGACGTACAACCTGTTTCACGATGTGTCATCTTGACGCGCATATATCATATAGTTTACGACTCTAATTTTAACTCATTTGAATTAAGAGTTGTAAAATAGTTTCCAAATAATGATATTTGTCAACGATTATCTGGAAAAAAGTTCACACCCAAACTCTTTTGCCTCTTTTACATTCCAGAATTAATCATAGAAGACTGCTCTAAACTTGGTCAAAGTGGTTTGGCATCTACTGGAATCTACTACATCAACCCAGATGATGGCAGCCCAATACAAGTACTGTGTGACATGACTACAAACGGTGGAGGTTCGACCGTCTTTCAGAGACGTTTAGACGGTTCGGTTGACTTTTTTCAGGGCTGGAAATCATACAAAAATGGGTTTGGAAATTTAAGCGGTGAGTTCTGGCTTGGAAACGACAATCTTCATCGCTTGACAGCCTCTGATGACGTCATGCTTAGAGTTGACCTGGAGGACTTTGACGGCAACATAACATACGCAGAGTATACAACATTTCAAGTAGCGAACGAAGCAGATAAATACAGGATTGCGATTGGAGGATACAATGGTACGGCTGGTGACTCGATGGTAGATGACGGAGGGCACACCCAAAGGTAAGCAAATATTTCGGTGGTAATTAATTTGTAGCAACAGAAAAAGACACACTGTCAATACTGCGCTTATAAGCTCTTCCACTTTATTATAAGCCACCTCCGGACCAGTTATAAACCCATCTATAGACCCGTAAACCAAAACATACATCCGATTACAAGCCTCCGGATATAAGCCCCTTACGAATCTATTGAATTCGATTTATTATGACATTTTGAAGGTTAATTTAAAAAAAGAAGTAAATGCAAGACCTATTAGGACTGCTATATCTTGTTTCAAGGCGCTGTTTCTATTTCGGGTATAAAACAGCTCGGATATAAGTCCCTCCGTTTATAAGCCCTTCTTAAACCCCTGACGAAGATGTATAAGCCCAGGGATAAGCGGCCGTTTTATGGTATCAAATCAACAATCTTTCAGTAATATAATTTCCTTTTAAGCCCATCTTACACTGCTGCAAGAGCCCATAACCCGGAGTGAGCAACTCCCATGCGAGGCCTATGTCACGGCGTTTTTACGGACCAGTTTATTTTTAGACACATTTTAGGGCACTTTTTCCCGCGAAAATAGAATCTCGACCATGTCTATGAGAGCATTCGTTAAGTCTGTAGGTTTTGCTGACCGGTTTGTGGAATTTAAAAGATGTTCAAAATTGGGCGCTAAAACCGTTCTAAAAATTAACTGGTCCGTGAAAACGCCGTGACACGAGCGCATGGAAGTTGCTCACTCCTGACTGCTGTTACGATTCTTTTTACCCTTACGATAAGTGATCGCCAGCGCCGACCACCTTAGATACCTTCTCCCTCTCATTCAAATCATCTATTAGTTGGTTAAGTCTCGTATACTCTTAAGCGACCACAGCCACATAAGTAGCATCTGTATCTGAACTGAAGGGTGCAGCAGTGAGCTGTAATGCACAAAGCCTTCACTTCGGAAGCATGATGCGTATTGCGCGAATGTTAGGATGGAAAGTTTTGCTTGAAGAATCCGGAATCGGGAACAAATTCGCTTGTGGAATACGGGATCCTGGTCTTTGGAATCCGGAATCTAGCTCAATGAATTCGGAATCCCACCAACAATTGGAATCCGAAATCCAAGTTCCAATTTTTTTAAAAAATGAGGAATCCAGTACTGGAATCTGGAAATCCACAGCGTGGAATCCAAAATCCAAGACCGTCCCTTACATGGGGTGACTCGAAAATTCCAACTCCAAATTCACCTTGAAATCCACCTCGAAATCCATCTCGAAATCCTAACTCGGTAAATAAATAACCTCCTGACAGACAAATCTCTTTGTAAAATTTGTGCCATTATCAAACTGTGACCTTTTCCTGCAGTAACTTACAGTTTTCAACCAAAGATGTCGACAATGATCGGACCTCTGCCAATTGCGCTGTTTCAAAGAAAGGAGCATGGTGGTATCATTCCTGCACTTTGGCCAATCTAAATGGTTTGTATCGTCGGGGATCTTATAACACCAGGTACCCTAACGACGGAGTAAGATGGGTCACGTTTAGAGGACATTATTATTCGTTGAAACGCAGTGAGATGAAATTAAAACCTAAACCATAAAAGGCAATGGTATAGGCTCTTTGCGTGACTTGATCACGTGATCAACTTTCGGTAAACACGAAAATAGGTCACATTTAAAAACTTTTGTTAGCACGAGCTGAAAGAGCATACTAAAATTAGGTAACCGGAGAATTTTCAGCCTTATATCTCAAAAGTAGTGGTTGCAACGGCCGCCGAAAGTTGGAGGCATTTGTATGAGAAAAACAACTTTTGCCATCCAGTCAGCCTTGCATGGTTTTCCATACAACTCCTTGTAATTTCGAAATTTTCAAAACTTTCATGAAATATTTCCTTAAGCATTTTAAGGCTCAAATCTCCTTTTAATTCATAACAGGTAATTTGTGCCCTTAAATGCGTAAGGGAAAGATTTAACGACAGTTTAAAAATAGTAGAATTTACAAGGATTTGTATGGAAAACCATGCAAGCGTGACTGGGTGGCAAAAGTTGTTTTTCTCATACAAATGTAGCTTGCGAGCAAGCTCTCCTATTTGGGCGAGTGAAACGAGTCTCCCGAGAACGCGCGAGCGAGCGGCGAAGCCTTGAGGGGCAGAGCTCGCGCGTTCACGCGAGGCTCGCTTCGCTTGCACAAATAGGAGAGCCTGCTCGTAGGCTAATACAAATGCTTCTAACTTTCTGCGGCCGTTGCAATCGCTACTTTTTAGATATAGGGCTGAAAATTCTCAGGTTTCCTGATTTTAATATGGTCCTTCAGCTTGTGCTAACAAAATGTTTCAAAAGTGAACTGTTTTCGTGTTTACCGAAAGTTGATCACATGATCACAGTCATGCAAAAATCCTATTACGGCATTATGATGATTTGCGTCGCATCATTTAAGTTGCAATGGTACACATTTGAAACCATTTGCTACCTAATCTTATGAAGAGTGCATGCTATATGACATTTTTAGTATAGTTACGGCTTCAGACTACAACCTGGTCATACACGACGTACTCGTTTATGGATGGATGGCCTTAATTCTGGCAGTTTATCTTGTATTCAACACTTATTTTTTAGAAAGGAGAAAGTAAATGGAGCCGAAATGTGTCTAGCAATTACTTGTGGGATCGTTACAGCGCTGGACAGCAATTGGACAATATTTTTTTCCCTGTCCCAATAACAGTCCCAAAAGTATTTGCCAAAAATAACAAGGTGCATTTGTACTCAGTAGATTTAACCGGCTCTTACAATTTTTGCCTTTAACTTATTGACGAAACGTAAGGTCAAGATGGCTAAAATTGGCCAGGTTCGTTTTTTCCTTTTTATATTAGCCAAGACAAAGACGAGTTTCCCAGGAACAGCGCAAAAAAATGTAGTAGAAGAGGAAGGATCCCAAAATTTTAGCCGTCGTGACTGAACAAACCTGGTCATAATATGGCCAAAACAAACTATTTTGCTATGGAACAAAGCGGAGCAGTCTCGAGTGGCAAAATAGGCCCTAAATGCTCGTTTGGGTAGACAATCGAAAACAGGATTCCCTTTTTCTTTCCCACTCGCAGGCCATTTTGACATCACACTTACAGTTAATTCTGAACCTGAAATTTTTAATTGATAAAGTGACAATTCGAATACGATTGGTTTTATCATGTGACACCTGTTAGAATGTATGTTTACAAGTGCCCATTGCAGATCACGTGATTTTTGCAAGCGAATTGATCTTTTGCCTTGCGATAAATGAACGATGTATGCAAAAAGTATGAGTATCTCCAATTTCCAATAGATTGTGAGAACTCCCTTTTCAGTCAGTGCAGGCTTGGCAGGACAGGCTAGATAGCCAAAAGCCCCATCCCGCCTTCCTCGGATTCATGATAGAATTTTAAGATCTCGAACGTAGCCTATTGGCATAAAATAGGCTTACCTCTTATTTGTGTTATCCTAATAAAGTTTTAGGAATATTACGCGCGAAGATGAATATTAGAGTGCGGACATAGAGCATTTACCCGTAGTTTGTTGATCTTCTTTAAATAACTGTTTATTAGCCTTTTAATTTTCATAATCGTAGTTTCAGCATTCATATTCAATTGTAACTTAAGTTTGTCTTTTATACGTGTAATTTGTAGTTATTTCGTACATTACTTAGCCTAATGAGTCCTGTAAATCAATTCTCAAAAACCCAATTGGGAGAATAAAAAAATATACCATATTGTATTGTACTGAAACTGCAGTGGAACCTCGGTTTAACAAAGTGCCAAGGGACTGGGGAAAGTTTTTCGTTATATCGAGGGTTCGTTATATGGAAAACCGGGATTTAACGAATTTTTTTAAAAAACAAACAAAATGTTCGCTATATCGAGGTATAGTTAATGATTAATTTCCAACGCCCAGCATTTCAGGATCTGAACAATTTCTGTAATAAAGATTTTGTATACGAAGCTATTGTCTCAGTTCAGAGCTGTACATCATAGCTACGGCACTAGAAACACAAGAACAGGCTGATAACTACTGTACACATAAATTTTATCCTCATTGGTCTGTTTCGCATTCATCTTTAGCAATCTTTCGGTCACCTGTTGACATGTTATATTTTACGTTTCGTTTCTGTATCATTGTGTTCGTTATGACGAGGACTGCGTTAAATCGAGGTTTTGTTCATACATTTTATTGTACCTTTGGCAGAGTTGAAGAAAATCGTTCGTCATACCGAGGACGTCGTTATATAGGGGTTCTGCCTCTGTTCACACTAAACAGGATAAGATATCGATAATCTCGTATAGAATGATCAGCAACGCGAGTACGGAACTTGAACAACTCGTTCACACACATCGAATATCGTACCAAAGCTGTTGACCGAGAGGGCTTGGTGAACTAAATCCCATTCCTATCTCCCGAATATTTTTTTCCGTCTCAGTGGACTCCAGTCCTCGCTCCCACTTATTCACTCCCGTGATCCTCCCGTGACAGTCCGAACACCTCAGTGTTCACACTGCACCAAAGTGATGGCACTGAATCTATCTCATATGTGACGTTCCACTTTCAAGATCAGTGCTCCGTTCCAGTATTCGCGCCGTAATCACCGTTCTTAAGTGTGAACAGAGGCCCTATCCGGAATGGTTTTCGCGCCTGCGCAAGAGCTACCCGATATGGTGTGAAAATAGCCTTAGTTAGATGCATCTCTACACAGATGAGCAGTTCCTTTCTGAGCACTTCGGGCTGCATTATTATTGTTAATTTAAAAGAAATATAAAATTTTTTTCCGAACAACTTAGGGCGATGCCGTTGAAGAGAGTATTGGTAACGACGAGTTTCAGCGGAACGAAGCGTTGCAACATTTTTGCGACCTTGTTTCGACTTTTTACATCATTATTGTCCTAGAAATTGTCGTTAACAAAGCATTTCGTGTAACATCACCTTTACTCTAATACTATATATAAACAAATATGCACAAGCTTTGACAATTAGAAACAAAAATTTTCATCAACTACATATTAAAGCCGTCATGAACGAGCATATTGTTGCAGACGGCAACATCTTGTCAATGTTTAATTATCCGTCATTGTGGCTGAGGCGTTACTGAAAAATATAAAGAAGGAGACTTGAATTACTGTAAGCAGTATTGTGCCTTCGCCACTAAACATTTTTCAACCGCATACAACCTGTTCTTCCTTGATTCACTCGGAAGAAATGCGTTAGGTTTAGAATGGGTCCTGACCACGGTGGAGTCACCATATCAATTCAGTTAATAAATATGATAATTTTCACTGATTTCACAGCTAACACTGAACGCAGCTACGCAACACAAATTTCTTGGAAGCTTGTCCACGGGAGTTATCCATAAGAAGTATACATTCGCTTGAAGGCTGATTTCCGTTTGATTCCCTTCATTTTAGTCGTGTGGTTGTATACCACTGTATATTGTCCTTTTTGGATTTTGGCACGTCTATGAAAACTGCAAGAGCAGTAGTTCCTTTCTTAGTGATTATTACATTTACTTTGTACAGCGTGATTCTCGTTTTCTCCCCTGAATGTGGAATAACTATGGATTCTTTGTCTCAGTTTCATTAGCAGACTTGCTTTTCTTTTACCTCGACTAGAACATTAACACGTGATCATTATTTTGCATTACCCTGGAGCAAGAAACTCACCTTTGTTGGCCCAGAGTCAATGTCACGTCATCGCCAATCAGCAAAAATGGCGCCCACTGCTTCACAGCCTTGAAAAGTTTAGACTTCCGCATCCATTTCATGGCTTGGTGGAGGGACGTACTTGCGCTTTGCCCTGCCGCTAAATGTTCGTAAAAGACTTTCATAAACGCCGGAGTGGCCTTGTCGTCAATTGCCCACAGTGAAACAATAACAGAACGCGCACCGGCTCCCAGAAAGGTACGTGCAATTCCAACCACGCCCTCTGATTTGATCACCCCTCTCCCACTGTTACAGCAGCTCAGCACAACAAGCTTGGCGCGCAATTTGGCGTTTAATACATCTGCACTCGTCAAAAGAAAGTCTTCCTCTTTGGGCCTATCGGAACCCGGGAGATTAGGAGACAAGATAATTTCACCGGTTTCTTCACGACCATGAGCTGCGATGTGGACTAAGGAAACTGAGTTGAGCCTGCTTAACACTTGATCTTTTGTGGCCTTCTTTCCAGTGAGGGGCTCAGTGTTAACTATCTGTCCAATCATGTTTACGTCTTCCTCGGCACCAGGGAGCTGCGAAAACGGTCTGCGGCCTTTAATTGTATAAGGCGCATAGTTTCCACCCACGGATTGCCAACAAGCAGTGCACCAGATGTACTGTGATACTTTTCCGGACACTCTGCCAAAAGCATTAAAATGTTAAAATTAAAATGCGAATTCTCAGCGTTTCAGACAAAAACCTGGAATGTTGGTCTACCAGGGCAGCATAAGGAATCAAAAAAGATGGACCATCGGGGACAATGATAAGCTCGTCACCTCTTATCAAGTGTGAAATCGGAGCGATCACTACGTCAGACAATGCTTTTAAATCTTCTTGCGATGACGTTGATTCTTTCTCTTCTGTACTAGCCCTATCAGGCAAGCCTTTCTTCTCTTCATCTAAAGGATCGTCCGAGAAGTGTTCCTCGCATCTGAAACCTCTCACGCCAATTTGTTTTTGTATGTTTCGTTCTTCAAGCTGGTCAAGGTCTGATTGTGTTTTTTTCGCACAAACTGATACTGCTGTCCCTTCAGTAGTACCCAGAAATTCAACGTCTCGTAGTGTTCCGCCAGAAATATCGTTGATGATGAATTATGGCCTGATATACGAGACATTCTTTCTATTCGGTCTTCCGAAGATGACGGGGCCGATTTCACTCCATAGTTTGATTCCATAAGGTCCCTGAGAGCTCGTGCTCGTCCACGTTCAACTGTAAAAAGTGCCTCGGCGATCTTGCCTTTTGCTACAAGAGGACACCATAAAGAAGAACAAAATTCGCCATATCTTTCGTGAAAACTGATTTTCCATTCATCTTTTTTTGGAGATCCCTTATTTCTTCAAACACTTTTATGCTGGATTTAAAATGCTCCTCTGCTTTAGAGGAGTTACCGAGAGAAGCAAACACCGAACCTAGAGCCTCATTCGCAGGTTCATGTAAGAGTTTCTTTTCGATCTCTTTAGCTATGCTCAGAGCTTGCTAAGGGAATTAGATTGCCTTCTCGAAGTTGCTGAAATCCCGAAAAGTAAGGCCCAAATTTATGTACATAAATCCTTCCAACGCTTTGTTCCCAGTCTCGTTTGCGAATACAAGAGCCTTCTCCCAGAACTCGAATGATGCGTTGAGGTCACCGAGATGGCGATACAAATGACCAAAGTTCGCATATGCATGTCCTTCTAACTTTTTGAGTTTGATCTCTTTACTGATGTTAAGCCCTTTTTGAGAAAACTCCTCTGCCTTTTCCAAGAGACAGAGATTGTTATACACCCTACTAAGGCTTATATATGCGTATCCTTGTGCAGCTCTGCCTCCGGACTTTTTCGTAATGCTCAGACTTTTCTGCAAACGCTCGACTGCTTTTTTGTAATCGCCGAGATTTCAATACAGTTCCCCAAGTTGAGATACTCTTCACCCTCTGATAATCTATCTCTAATCAGTCTTGCGATACTAACTTTCTTCTGATGGAAATCGACTGCTTTTGAGACATCATAGAGATAATTATACGCAATACCAAGGTTCCCATACGCCCTTCCTTCTGACTCTTTGTCTCCGACCTCTTTAGCGATAGCTAGTCCTTGCTGAAAGAACTCGATTGCTTTTCTGAAATCACCGAGGTCGTCACAGTACACACCGCCAAGGTTGATGTATTCCACTTTTTCTGATTTTTTATTATTAATCTCTTTTGCGATACTGACCTTCTTCTGATAGAACTCGATTGTTTTGGGGAAATCGTAGAGAGATGAATACCCAATACCAAGGTTCCAATACGCCATCCTTTCTGTCTCTTTGTCTCCGACCTCTTTAGCGATAGCTAGACCCTGCTGATGGAACTAGACTACTTTTCTGAAATCACCGCGGGAGGAATGCACCCAGGCAAGGTTGATGTATCCCTCTTCTTCTGATTTTTTATCTTCAACCTCTTTAGCGATACTGACATTCTTCTAATAGAACTCGATTGCTTTTGAGAAATCATAAAGAGAAGAATACGCAATACCAAGGTTCCAATACGCCATTATTTCTGTCTCTTTGTCTCCGACCTCTTTAGCTATAGCTAGACCTTGCTGAAAGAACTCGATTGCTTTTCTGAAATCACCGAGGTCGTCACAGTACACACCGCCAAGGTTGATGTATTCCACTTCTTCTGATTTTTTATTATTAATCTCTTTTGCGATACTGATCTTCTTCTGATAGAACTCGACTGCTTTTGGGAAATCATAGAGAGGAGAATACGCAATACCAAGATGTCCATGCGCCTTTCCTTCTGACTCTTTGTCTCCAACTTTTTAGCGATGACTAGATACCTTCTCTCTGATATTCAAACCATTTTATTAATTTGTAGAGTCAAGTAGACTCGTAATCGATCACAGCCACATAAGTGGCATCTGTATCTGAACTGCGGGTGTAGCAGTGAGCTGTAATGCACAAAGCCTTTACTTCGCAAGCATGATGCCTTACAATATATCAATAGTCTTCAAACTAAAAGGTCAAATAAAAGGAAGGTTAATCTCAAGAATTTTAAATTTTTAAAGCAATCTATCGAGCGGTTTAAAAATTATTCGCTAATTTGTTAAAGTAGACCAAAATGTTCACAAAACCGCTAACAAGAGCGCTTCGATACATACTAATCAAACCCTTCTCTCTAGCAATTGGCTGGAGCTATCTCCCATGATCTTTCACACAGGTTTTTAAAAAGATTGAAACTACTATGAGGTGAAATTTCATGTCGAAAGCGCTTCATTTTCTACAGATAACGGCCAAACAACAATATTGTCCATTTTTTACTGTGTTTCTAACAATAAAAACTTTATCCCAAAATATCTCGATAGCGATCTTACAGATTTCGCTTAAACTTCACGAAAATCGAGGCTGCTATTGGAGGAAAAAGCTCCCGTGAATGATTTTCGAAGAACAGTTCCCAGTGCCGACATATACTGCTGCAAGTAAAGTAGGTAATAGCGTTGCTATGACAACTCCGATGCCGTTGCAACCCTGATCAGAACAAATTTTCATTTTTATCTAATACAACTGTGGTGGCAGTTTTTCCAAAACTTTGTTTTTGGCGACGTAGTTTATGCTCAAACTTGGAAGGTATTGACCCTGAAAAACTGTATCGAGCCACCTTAACAATAGTGAAGATTGCCTTCAACCAGCTTCGTAAGGAACTACAGTAATTGAAAATTCACTCCTAGAAGATTCTCAACATGATTTTATGCCAATGCATTTAACCCTTAGAGCCCTACGTGAAGCCACTAACGACTGGTATCTAAATATTGACAAAACCATACTAAATGATATACTTTTTCTAGAGCTGAAGAAAGCTTTCGACACTGTCGACCATCATATCTTACTTCAAGAGTGTAAATTATAGGGAGGAGACACTCGTACTATTTCCTGGCTTACCTCCCCTGTACCTCTTTTCTTTCGGATCGCAAAAAGTGTACCTATGTAGGCGGTTCTCTTTCGAAGAAACTGCCAATTGTCTTTGGAGTGCCTTATGGGTTAGCCTCCCACGCAGACGTTCTTAGGGGTTCGTCACGCGTTCCTGCCCCACACGTGGGGCAGGAAGGCGTGACGAACCCCTAAGAACGTTTGTGTGTGAGGCTACTTAAGGGTCTGTGCTCGGACCCCTGCTTTTCTTTTTCTACATCAGCGATCTCCAAGCGGGAATTGGGTAAGTGATGTATGAGACAGAAGAGGAGCTTTTTCAAGTATAAATGGTACGTGGTGCAACTAAATGACGAGATAGCTGACGTATTTTGAATCAATCCGTGAAGCAGTTTATGCAAAGGAAAATACACCAGCTTTATAAACGGGATGAACAAAATTGTTCCAAACAAATGGGTTGCTTACTAATTGGGCCACCCTCCGCGAGATTCTGATAAAAATTTTCAATTACACAGGTTGTGTTAGAAAAATGGCCGGGTGGGTTTTACTTGTTTTTGCCACAACTGTTTATGGAATAAGCCGTATCTCAGAGCCTGATTTTAATTCCGTTAACTTCGCTAAAGCAAGAGAAGGAAGGCGGTTAAACAGTAGCGTGATCAAAGCAATGAATGTGGATTCAGAAGGCGCCTGCAGGCTTCAATGCGTCAATGAAGAGCGTTGCCGCTCTTAAAACTTTGGAATCACAAAGAACAAACCCGGAAAGTTCCTGTGCCAGTTGACTGACTCTGATAGATTTGCTGGGTTCAGTAATTTTAAAGAAGATGATAATTTCAAGTACAAAGGGATACAGGTAACTGCCACTGAACGCAGAAATGAAAATAGTTACAATATAGGACGTAAATGCTACACACAGATAACTTTTCTCTTGTTTCAAACCTGTGTCTCTTGGCTAGTTTTGGATCAAAACAGGCATTTGGCACTGGGTATTATCTCGATACTTAAAAAGCGCTGAAAAAAAGTTCGTGTTTGCTAGTACTAAATAATTAAGGCACAACGTAACTTGGCGCCATAAAAGTTATTACAATATGCTGGTAGACTAACAAATCGTTTATGAAATTAATAAGAACGTTTTATAGTTTGAGGTAGTTGCGATTTCTCTGTGAGCTAAAGTGGTACACCGTTGCGACCAGTACGGTAATCAGAGTTCTTCTCAAGAAACAGGATTTTTATGGCACGTAAGAAAACTGACATTCTCAGTGTTCATATCAATTATGCATGACATGTCGAGAAACTAGCCAGCTCTCCTTTCTGTTTCACCAATAAATTTCAAGTTTCAATAATAACGAAATGAATTTCATGTACAAACAATGTAAACATTGTTTTCCAAGAAATTCTACAACTCGTTCAGAGATGCGATAAAACCACATTTACCATCTTCTACAATTTTCTCATATTTAAGTTTTGTTTCCTCTATTGTATCCATTCCGTTTTCTTTTATTCAATATTTCCCAATCAATTATTCAAAACTTTTCAATCGCAAACCAAATGTCCGGCAGTTTGGCATTTCGCGAGTCAGCTTTACAATTAACCTAAAAATAATTATAGTAATTATTGGATTCGGCTTTCGTATGATCTGAAAATCTGGGAGGGTATTATTCATTCCGAAATTCTTAACATGTTTACCTCGATCAATATTAAGTTAATTTGCTTGGTTCCCGTCTTCATTAATTCAGGATACTATGCAAATATAGGATAGAAAGGGATGTTTAGTCTAGCAGATATATTGAGATCAACTAACAAATGTTATCAAGACATTCGATGCAAATTTTTCTTCCTTTTCATTAGCCGAGAGCCCACCACGTGACCTGCAAATAACTGCCTACAAATAATGGTCTGCTCATGCACAATGTCGTCCAACAGTGTTTACCTGAAAATATTATTCAACTCATGCAAAAATGAAACCACACTTTTCTCCTCCTTGCGATCGCGCTTGCGTGAAAATGGCAGATCGTTTCGCTTCTCCAAAGATATTCATTACAAACAAACGTGTTGATCGAATGACAAAACTGTTATCCGTTAAGTTATATTCTTGCTCATGTCTTGCTGTGTTTTTAGGCAAAAGTTCGGTTTTTTCTTCTTCCAAAATCTTGTAAAATTTCCACCATTTTCCCCGGCTACAGCCAAAACAACTAAGCTAACGGAACCTCGATCCCTTGGACTTCTCGGTTGGCGTGAAATATTCTGTATTTATTTAGTATTTCCCGAATCAGTGGATAGCAATTTTCGCGCGTTTTGATTGGCTCTCGTAACTTGGAATATCCTTACCTCTACCTTTAGTTATTTTCCTCGCCTTTAAAACAGAGTATCTGCGAGTCTAGCAACGCGGACCTTTGAGGCGACAAAGGAATCTGCATCCCAGACTACTCCAAAGACAGCTTTACATGTAAATGTGACAAAGGCTACGCAGGAACACGGTGCGGTAAGTTACAAACGTCCCATCCCCTAGGTCTCTTCCACCTTGGGGGTTTGGAGAGGTAGGATTCTAATCATTTGTGCATAAAATGTGACTTAAAGTTGTTTATTTATCTGTTAGCATATGAGTTCCGAAGTAGTCTTTTTACTCGTTCTTATTTTGAGTCCAAAGTCAGGGAGAGAAAAGCTTTCTCGTAGTCCAAAGAATATTCAGTAATTATTGAATTCGGCTTTCGTAGGATATGAAGAATTATGCAGATCGAGGAGGGTGCTATCCACCGAGGCCGAAGCTGGATAACACCCTCCGAGATCTGGATAATTCTTCATAATCCTACAAAAGCCGAATTCAATAATTGCTTTGCTTTTCATTCAAAATAATTCCAAGTTTGAAAGTAAGCTAAAACATGCTTACCTCCGTGGATAGTGCATCTTTATCGGGAAGTTCAGGTCTGCAAATATACAGTCGACCCCCGATAACTCGAACCTTCAAAGGAAATCGAAAAAAGGTACGAGTTATCGGGAGTTCAAAGAAAATAGCCGAGATTATGGTAAAAACAGTTTTTACTGCACAGTGAACATTTTAATCACATTTAGTTGTAGAAATGTCAAGTGAAAATTAAAAGATACTTTTAGATTATAAATCAGAACGCAATGTAACAAAACATAGCCTAAATAGGGCATGCGTTTTAATGTTATGAGAAGAAAAGCTGCTTCACGTTAGCCTGTGACAATCAACATTAGCCTCCGCTAGTAAACTATACTCCTACAACACGTCAATGGGAAACTAGTCCAAAATTCAATGTTTAGGGAAGCCAGTAGACAGCTTTTTTCCCGACTTTTTAAGGGCTCAAACCATGGCTCGAGTTATCAAGGGTAAAATTATGTAGAAAATAACTTGAGGGGAAACGAAAATTGGTTCGAGTTAGCGGGAGTTCGAGTTATCGAGAGTCTGAGTTACCGAGGATAAAATTACAGTGAATGTGTGACAGAAATCTAGGGGAAATCGATTTTGGTTCAAGTTAGCACGAGGTTCGAGTTATCGGGAGTCGACTGTACTCCAATTAGCAGATGTCGATCGTCGAGTTGTTTTCTTGCTGTTCTTGCTATATTTTTAAACAACAGTTCGCCGTGAAACGAGTAAAATGTTCCACTATTACTCACTTCGAAAACAACTCAAACTAGGTTCAATAATCTGCAACTTTGCTGCACTTTTGAGGTCATCTTCATATGGCAAAATTCTTCCAAATTTGGTCAACAGTAGCTGGTTATGATTAATTATACGTGTGATTTTATTTTGAAGGAATAATAACTTTATATGTGGGTATTGAGATTAAACATAGGTATGTTTGCATAGCCTAATATACAGCCAACTCTCTCTAAGATGGACAGTCATGGCCGGTCTCGAATGTGTCCGTCTTAGAGGGGGGGGGTGTCGTGACACCCGTAATTTTAACGCTGAAACTATCCACAATAAATACACGTCTGTTTAACTTGCACAAAACAGCTACAACTGGAACTTTGCAACAAAAGGGGAATAGAGAAAAGAAGTGTGACGTCACGTTACCATGGTAGCAGAATTTCTGGATCAGAACATTAGGGAGCTTAACCAACGAGGATGGCGAAGGGAACGAGAACTCTGCACGTGCATCATGCTCGAGTACATTTCTTAGCCGTCGTTGCACGTGACTGCGACACGAAACTTCCTAATTTCACACAACACAAACATTTCGGATTCAATCCAAAAAAATTTCACCAATATTCAACAAATTAAATGAAATTGAAGAAGATCGATGAAGTTTGAAACAGTGCGAATTCACTTTTTAAGTGACTTTTTCGGTTTCTTGTCATCCAGAAAATTTGCTACCATGGCAACGTGACGTAACGACTTCTTCTCTCTATTATTTTCTCAGTGAGCAATCACACGTTCACCACAAGCAAACTTTCACGGCTTCGTGGTCTAAAAGCTTAACACTAAACACTCTGCTAACTGGGGCAAAACTACTAAATATCAAACATTTTGCAATTTACTATCATGTATAGCACCTACATTTCCGTTTTGACGTATTTTTCACTATATAAAGCACTTCCCAATTGTCCGTTGACGGTTTCAAAAGTGTCCGTTGTCCGTCTTATAAAGTTGTCCGTCAACAGAGAGTTTACCATAAACCGAGAAGGTGAAGGAAGAATTCGAGACAGTACTAGAGGGCTTAAGGCGGCTCTAATATCACAAATTTTGTATCATAATCTTTTTCTGTTTTAACGCAAAGGCTACGAAAGTTTGAAAAGTCCGAATATAGAATGATTTTTGAAAAGGGGTGTAGAACCTGTTTGACGATGTGTCATCTTGACGCGCATATATCATATAGTTTACGACTCTTATTTCAACTCATTTTAATTAAATAGTTTCCAAAAAATGACATTTGTCACAGATTTTCTGGAAAAAAGTTCACACCCAAACTCTTTTACCTCTCTTACATTTCAGAATTAATCATAAAAGACTGCTCTAAACTTGGTCAAAGTGGTTTGACATCTACTGGAATCTACTACATCAACCCAGATGGTGGCAGCCCAATACAAGTACTCTGTGACATGACTGCAAACGGTGGAGGTTGGACCGTCTTTCAGAGGCGTTTAAAAGGTTCGGCTGATTTTTTTCAGGGCTGGGAATCATACAAAAATGGGTTTGGAGATCTAAACGGTGAGTTCTGGCTTGGAAACGACAATCTTCATCGTTTGACAGCATTTGCTGACGTCATGCTAAGAGTTGACCTGGAGGACTTTGATGGCAACATAACATACGCAGAGTATACAACATTTCAAGTAGCTGACGAAGCAGATAAATACAGGATTACGATTGGAGGATACAATGGTACGGCTGGTGACTCGATGGTAGATAACGGAGGGCAGACCCAAAGGTAAGCAAATATTTCGCTGGTAATTAATTTGTAGTAACAGAAAAAGAAAAGGTCAATACCGCACTTATCAGCTCCCCCACTTCATCATGAGCCACCTCCAGTTATAAACCCATCTATAGACCCGTAAACCAAAAAAATACATCCGATTACAAGCCTCGGGATATAAGGCCTGTTTCAAACGTCGGCACGGCAGAAGCAGGACGTTTGAAACGGGCCTAAGCGCCTTACAAATCTATCAAATCAGCAGTCCTTCATATACTTTCTTTAAAGCCCACCTTACACTGCTGTTACAAGTCTTTTTACCCTTACAATAAGTGATCGACAACGCTCACCACCTCATAGATAGATACCTTCTTTCTGATATTCAAACCATTTTATTAATTTGTAGAGTCAAGTAGACTCGTAATCGACCACAGCCACATAAGTGGCATCTGTATCTTAACTGCAGGTGTAGCAGTGAGCTGTAATGCACAAAGCCTTTACTTCGGAAGCATGATGAGTATTACTCGAAGCACACCATGTTGGGCTGGGAAGTTTTGCTTGCGGAATCCGGAATTAGTAGAATTTCGCTTGTGGAATATGGAGTTCTGGGTTTTAGAATCCGGAGTCCAGCTCAAGGAATCCGGAATGCCACAAACAATTGGAATCCGAAATCCAAGTTCCAATTTAAAAAAAGATGAGGAATCCAGTACTGGAATCTGGAAATCCACGGCGTGGAATCCAGACTCCAAGACCGTCTTGCATTCCCTTACATGCATGGGGCGACTCGTAAATTTGAAATCCGTCTCGAAATCCTTTCTTCAAATCCTTACGGTAAATAAATAACCTCCTGACAAACAAATCTCTTTGTTTGATTTGTGCCATTATCAAACTGTGACTTTTTTCTGCAGTAACTTACAGTTTTCAACCAAAGATGTCGACAGTGATCTGCACCCTGACAATTGCGCTGTTTTATTCAGTGGAGCATGGTGGTACCATTCCTGCAGTTGGGCCAATCTAAATGGTTTGTATCGTCGAGGATCTTACAACACCAGCTACTTGCCCCATGGAGTAAAATGGGTCACGTTTAGAGGACAGTATTATTCTTTGAAACGCACTGAGATGAAATTAAAGCCTAAACCATAAACAGAAATGGTATTACCGCATTATGATGACCTATGATTTGCGTCGCATCATTTAAGTTGGTAGACATTTGACACCACTTGCTACCTAATCTTATGAAATTTCCAGTTTAAGATTGAGTGCGAGCAAGTATGACTTTTTAAGTATAGTTACGGCTTGAAACTACAACCCGGTCAATCAGACCGAACTCAGTTATTGAGTGTCGTCATTGGTTGGAGGGCCTTAATTCTGGCAGTTCATCTTGTCTTTGACACTTGGAAACGAGAAAGTAACTGGAACCGAAATGTGTCCGGGAATTTTTTGTGGGATCGTTACCGCGCTGGTCAGCAATTGGACAACATTTTTTTCCTGTCCCCAGTGACAGTCCCACAAGTCTTTCCAAAAATAACTCGGCGCATTTGTACTCAGTGGATTAAAACCGGCTCTTACAATTTATGCGTTTAACTTATTGACGAAACGTAAGGTCAAGATGGCTGAAATTGGCCAGGTTGGTTTTTCCTTTTTATATTTGCCAAGACAAAGACGAGTTTCACAGGAACAGCGCAAAAAAATGTAGTAGAAGAGGAAGGATCCCAAACTTTTAGCCGTCGTAACTGAACAAACCTGGTCATAATATGGCCAAAGCAAACTATTTTGCTATGGACCAAAGCGGAGCAGTCTCGAGTGGCCAAATGGGCCCTAAATGCTCGCTTGGGTAGACAATCCAGACAATCCGAAAACAGGATTAATTCCCTTTTTCTTGCCCACTGGCAGGCCATTCTGACAGCCCACTTACAGTTAATTCTGAACCTGAAATTTTTAATTGATAAAGTGACAATTCGAATACGATTGGTTTCACCATGTGACACCTGTTAGAATGTATGTTTACAAGAGCCCATTGCAGATCACGTGATGTTTGCAAGCGAATTGATCTTTTGCCTTGCAATAAATAAAGGATGTATGCAAGTGATTATCTTCAATTTCTAAAAGACTGTGAGAACTCCCTTTTTATTCAGTGTAGGCTTTGCAGAACTGGCTAAATACTCAACCCGTATTGGCAAAAAATGGGCTTACCTCTTATCTGTGTTAACCTAATAAAGTTTTAGGATTATTTCAGGCGAAGATGAATATTTCTTGCTCTTTCAAAACTTGGGGGCCAGATCACTTATCTGTGCGTAAGGGGGTCTTAAAATAACTTACTTATCTTCACTAGAAAGTTTGGATTAAGCCGGTAGGTAGCCTGCGTCGAAGACGTACTTTAACACCGGTTAGTGACGTCTGCGAAGGATCGCCGAGATATATTCTCGTTGTAGGCCCCCAACGGACTCAACGAATAACCGGAGGTGCGTTTGGAATTTCCTTTATTACTGATTGGCAAATTAACAACGTCTTTTTTCACAGGCCAATCATAGCGCGTACTTAAATCCTGGTACACAGTTGGGACCCAGAACAAGGATTTAGGCGCTGTTTTGTAGACCGACTTCACCAGAGTTAAGTTTCGTCTGTGGTGCAGGCTAACTGGTACGTAGATTACCAGTTTCATGTTTAAAATCGCATCCTGGCCACAGTTGTAAGTGCAAAATGTCTTGGGCAGTTTCCTTGCGAAGAATATTACTCATATTATTCACTAAAGGGGTGACTCTGAAGAAACAACCCGGTCAAATTTAATTGATCTTTAGATGTCGCGACCATATCGTTCTTGTGGCAACAAGAAACCAGGCTCCAGAGGGAAACAACACAACGAGAAGATACTGGGAACCAGTATAACTGATCATCTTTAATGGAAAACTTAATAGTTATATATTAAAACACCTGTTATACCGTTAAAGAGATCCGTGAAAAAATGTTACTGTGCCTTGTACTCGTCTTTGCCGAGACTGCATCGGGCTTAAGCCGTATTTCAGGATCTCGTTTTCAAGCTATTAACTTTGCTAAGGCGAAAGAAGGACGAAAGTTGAATGGAAGCGTGATAAAAGAAATGCAAGTTGATACGGAGGGTGCGTGTAGGCTTCAATGTGTCAATGACGAGCAATGCCGCTCTTACAACTTTGGACTCAAGAAGCATAAAGCTGGGAATTTCCTGTGTCAGTTAAATGGTTACGATAGATTTGTTGGTTTTGGTAACTTTACAAAAGATGACAATTTCAAGTACAGAGGAATAGAGGTAATTAACCATCAAAAGAGAAATACTTAGTTAAGTTGTTTCGATATAGTTTTTCAGAAGACATTCCCATATTTTTCAATCGCTTTAAAAGTGATTTTATCCTTGTCTGATAGCTATAAAAGTTTCACCAATGATTGATTATAGATTGAAATTTGTCAAAATGTAGGTTTTAGTAAAATCGATATTACTATGACAACAATAAACAAAAAACTTTGAAATTGATAAACGCCTAATTTTGAGCGATCTAGACCAGCTACTGAAAACCCAACACTAGGAACTTAAAGTTTGGTAATTAGCAAATAACCTCCGTGAGAAGAAAAAAATTCTGTATGTCTGAATTCGACTAAAACGAAACTATATTTCAAACCTTAAATTGTCAATAGCCGTGATAAATTATTTAACAAAACGTTATAAATGACTCAAATTATTCTTAAGTAGCGTCAGAATGCTGCTTAATATCATATTTCGATGCTCGGAAATTTTGGTATATTTTCGTTCTTGCGAAACTAACCCGTTTTCTCACCACCTGTCTAAGTGCAACTTCATTCAAAAATTGGACTTTTAGCGCTTTTTTGTATATCTCTGAAACGACTCGGACTCATTTTTTTAAAATCTCTTCACATAATCTTCATAATGTATAAAATAATGTCTGAAACTTTCATTAAGACTGATTCACTTCAACACCTTGAAATTTCAAGACTAACCTATCCTACGAATTGGTCAAAAATCTGCGCTACGACTTTCACTGTTTTGACGTTATGCTTATTTTTACAAATTAGTGCGGACAATACATATATCCATGACTGCTACATTTCAGTGTGAGTATTGTTAATGTTTTACATTCAAAAGATGAGATAAATTCAAACTAAAATGTACTAGTCGTGGAGGTATGTATAATGCACATTATTTTGGGAAAATTAGCATAACGTCAAAACAGTGAATGCTGTAGCGCTGATTTTTGACCAATTCGTAGGATAGGTTTGTCTTGAAATTTCAACGTGTTGAAGTGAATCAATCTTAATGAAAGTTTCAGACATTATTATATACATTATGAAGATTATGTAAAGAGATTTTAAAACACTCGTTCGAATCGTTTCACAGATATACAAAAAAGCGCTAAAAGTCCAAATTTTGAATGACGATCCACTTATACAGGTGGTGAGAAAACGGGTTAGTTTTCAACATCGCAAGAACGAAAATACTCCAAATTCCTAGCATCAAAAGATGATATTAAGCAGCATTCTGACGCTACTTAAGAAGAATTTGAGTCATTCATCACGTTTTTAATATATAATCTATCGCGGCTATTGAAAATTTAAAATTTGAAATATATTTTCGTTTTAGTCGAATTCAAACATACAGAATTTTTTACTTCTTACGGAGATTGTTTGCTAATTACCAAACTTTAAGTTCCTAGTGTTGGATTTTCAGTAGCGGATCTAGATCACACCAAATTCGGCTTCATCAGTTTCAAAGTTTTTTGTTTGTTGTTGTCATAGTAATATCGATTTTACTTAAATCTACTTTTTCACAAATTTCAATCCATAGCCAATTACTGGTGAAAATTTCATAGCGATCGGACAAGGAAAAAACCACTTTAAAGGCGATTGAAAAATATCGGTATGGCCTCTGAAAAACTGTATCGAAACACCTTAACAATGGCAACATGTACAATTTTTTGCTATTTAAAGATATTTTTTTTCTTTAACAGAGTGTCTGCTAGTCTGAAAGCTTTTTATTATTCAAAACTTTGACCGGTTTCAAACTTACTTTGCAACAACTTCCAACAACGCGCAACAACATGCAACAAAGTGTGCAGACGGACGCAACATATAACATCCAACAATGTTGGGAGTTGTTGGCCAACAATGTTGTGTTCGTTAGCACGGGGCTTTAATTATTTTCCTTGCCTTTAAAACAGAGTGTCTGCGAGTCTAGCAACGAGGACCTTTGCGGCGACAAAGGAATCTGCATCCCAGACTACTCCAAAGACAGCTTTACATGTAAATGTAACAAAGGCTACACAGGAACACGGTGCGGTAAGTTACAAACGTCTTTTACCCTGGGTCTCTTCCACCTTGACGTAAGATTCTAATCATTTGTGCATAAAATGTGACTTGAAGTTGTTTATTTATCTGTTAGCATCTTATTATTCTGATATAGTCTTTTACTCGTTTTTATATTAAGTCCAAAGTTACGGAGAGAAAAGCTTTCTCGTGGACCAAAGAATGTTTTATCAATTATTAAATTCGGCATCATAGGATTCAAAATAATTCCAAGTTAAGAAACAAGTTAAAACATCCTTACCTCCGTCGATGTTACGTTTATATCGATAATGCATCTTTATCGGGAAGTTTAGGAGATAAGGGCTGTTCAGGTCTGCAAATATACTCCAAATAGCAGATGTCGTTCTTCGAGTTGCTTTCTTGCTGTTCTTGCTATATTTTTAGACAATAGTTCGACGTGAAACGAGTAAAATGTTCCGCCACCACTTACTTCGCCATCACTCACTTCGAAAACAACTCAAACTCGTCCCCAGGTCTTTTCGGTTAACGGTTCAATAACCTGCATTTTCACCGCACTTTTGACGCCATCGGTTCAATATGGCAAAAATTTTCCAAATTTGGTCAACAGTAGCTGGTTATGATGAATTATGCGAGTGATTTTAGTCAATCAGAAACAGAGAAATATTTTGAATGAATAATATATAATTTCATATCCTTGTATTAAGTTTAAACATAAGTATATTTGCATAACCTAAAATACTGTCAACTCTTTCTGAGACGGACAGTCAGGGCTTGTCCCAAAGATGTCCTTCTTAGAAAAGGGCATCGTGACACCAGCAATTTTAAAGTTGAAACTATACGCGATGAATAAACGTCTGTTTAACTTGCACAAAACAGGTAGAGCTGGAACACTGCAACAAAAGTGGAGTTCTTTTCTTATTGTGCAATCAGACGTTCATTACAATCAAACCGCTTTCACGGCTTCGTGGTCTAAAAGCTTAACACTATACGCTCTCTTAACTACCAGAGCAAAACTACTTAACATATCAAACATTTTGCAGTTTAAGTTACTGTCATGTAGAGCATATAGAGAGTATGGTTAAAGTAGAATGACTGGGACCAACCTTAGGTGTCCGTCTTACGAACGAGTCCGTTTTATAGAGAGTATGGTTACAGTAAAATGTCTGTGACCAACCCTAGGTGTCTGTCTTGGCGAGGTGTCCGTATTATAGAGAGTATGGTTACAGTAAAATGACTGGGACCAACCCTAGGTGTCCATCTTAGAGAGGTGTCCGTATTATAAAGAGTATGGTT